CTAAGTTTAGATATTGGGAAGTGAAGTACAGCTTTACTACCTGCCAAAAAGATAATGAACGAAAGAGAGATATGAATAAATAAAGTCTCACCGCTTTTGCTGCAAAGCATGGGGAGTCTGTGTCGATAACTGTGTTTGGGTTCCAAATATAACCCATGGGAAAAAGAAACCCAGAGAGTAGCAGATTCACATGCTTGTAAAGAAGCTTCCTAGCAAAAAGGAAACGTCAAACAATGGTAGAAAAATGTTTGTTTACCTTGATATTTCTTCAGATATATCATCCCGATATTACACTAGTAAAATACACCCCATGGGATCAGTCACACTAACTCAACACCCATTTTTTTTTACCAAACCATCCAGTTTATCAGTGCACGGGTTAACCTCAAACACAATGCTTCTTTCCAAAAACGACGTATAGTTCGCTTATTAACAGCGATGAAACGTTCATGAACGAATACACGTATGTTGTACAGCATATGCCACTTTCACTGATCAATGCATCATTGTATTTGGCGAATGTGAGACTATCCGGTTGCTTTAATTGTCAACAGGTGCCGGGTTTCAATAGTCATGAATTTGTGGCCTGATCAACGTCTTTTGTTGCCGTTTGTTGCAGTTAGCTATTGTGAACACTGTAACGCGTCCACCAATAGAGGGCAGTTTCAGCCGAGGTTTGTTCCCTAAGGAATTTAGATTCAAATGCGGCCGTTCGACGTTTAGAAGCATTGTTCTCCTATGATTAGAAAAGAAGAATCCAGCAGGCAGAGTAAGGTAGCAAGACTTCCAGCAGGGAGTTTGTTACATTCCACATATGTCCCTTAACAATCTAACGGAACTGAATGAAGTCGGTCGATACAAGTCCCTGTGTTCTACTATATAGTTCTCAAACTTTCGTGATTGACGCGGAGTAAAAGATGGGCAAATTTACACCAAAACACGATATGTAGTAAATCGGTGACAGATTTGTAATAAATCTGTGGTACCGTCAAACAACAACAAGATATATCAGAATTGCAAACATGCCTTGACAGTGCCACTTGACAACTATACGGTCCAAAACCTGACAAGCCATGGTTCATAAGAGAGGAGGAGAGAAAGTCAGCAGTTGGAAATCCGAACAGAAACAACACTATAGTTGTACATGAGATTTCAGAAATGCCAAGTGACCGCTCGGCTAAAGGTCGGTGCTTCCACGACGTCCAACAATGGCAGTGACTCTCAACCAAAGTTGGTCTCTACAGTATGCCGGCCAACAGCGTCAGTAGAGTGCCAGGGCCAGCGCATCTGAAGTCCCTACCCACATCCAGACTACTCGCCGTCAAGTTCGACTGGTATGCCTCCCTCACAAACATCCTGCACACATGGTGTAATGCGAAAGATCGCATGCGTGGCTCAGTGCGTATGTGTGAAAGTAAGCCTAGACCCAAGAGGCCACAGGAGAGACGGCAACCACCAAGAACTCTGGAGTCAGCAGTCGTCACACGGGCGCTGACCAGTGAGTTAGATACATCGAGTGAAGAAACCCCACCGCCACATCCCCCACCCAAGTTGAAAACAAAACGCAAAAGCATAACGATACCAGTCCTATGAGGACTGGCGAGGCTAAAATCAACCACGTAAGCGCTCATCCCGCGAAAATACACAAGCAGCCCTCCCCTCTCACCAGGCGCCCTCTAACGTGTATGCACAGCAACGTTGGGGGGCTAAGAGGGAAGGTAGCAGAAATGAGGACGCTGCGTGAACATCAGCACTACGACATCATATTCATCACCGAATCCTGGCTCCCCCGGACACCCCCGGTGAAGAGGTGTGCGTTACCGGCATGAGACTCTTCCGCAGGGGCAGAGAGAACAGAGCAGGGTGGGACGTAAGCTCCCGTTCAAAGGCAAGGGTGGTTAGCGATACGGGCTTGATCCAGCCCCCAGGATCTCTATGGCGCCACTTTACTCTCCACTGCGCCAAATACCTGCTCGGAGTCATATATCGGTCCCCCACCGGCCCTCCCACACATAACGGAATGGTCACCAAGGCAATCTTAACGACTTCCTCTGCAAATTACGATTCCGTAGTCATTGCCGGCGACTTCAACACCCCGTCCAGCCCCTTCGAGACGGAAGGGAGACGCATCAGATCCTTTAATCAGAAGCTGAAGGATGCCATCAAGACTGCTGGCCCCTCAGAGAAAGTGGGTGATGCTACACGCTGGGGACCTAACGGAAACGCATCGCGCCTTGACTACGTTCTGACGAACGATGAACTCATTGAGAACTTTTGCATCCAACCTCACCTTGGCCTCAGTGACCACGCTGTAATCACCTCCATGATTGCTAGGGAGGCTCTGCAACTGGAGACGCGCAACACCTTCCCTTGCTACAGCAAGGCCAACTATGAGACCATGAGGGACTACCTCATGAATGCATCATGGCTGGTAGACTGGGCTCATCTCACAATAGATGAACACTGGTTGGAGGTGAAGAAAATAATCACTGGGGCCATCAGTCACAGTGTACCAGAAGTAACACACAGACAATCAATGAGAACCTCATGGTTAAAGCGTGGGACAGAGAGGCTTATCGAGAGCAAGAAGCAGGCTTGGTTCAAGTGGCGTTCATCACGCAGGGAGTCTGACTTCTTGAACTACAAAAGGATTCGCAACCGCTGTAACATTAGAGTGCTTGGCGACAGATTTTCCTATCAAACAAACTTGGCGGCGAGGTTACAAAGCAATCCCAAAAACTTGTACCGCTTCATGTCGAGAAGAAAGTCGACCAGTAAGGGAGTGAATCTTGTCACAGGCCATGACGGGAGTGTACTAGGCAGTCTAGAGATTGCCGAGCTTTTGAGCTCACACTTCCAAGCCCAACTTAGCACTGACACAAGATCCACACCGACTCGCTACGACACCGACCAGGTCGTAAATAACGAATACCTCTGTCACGTCTCTATTACAGAGAAAAAAGTGTTCGAGAAGCTATCTAGGCTACGTCCGGGCAAGTCCCCTGGCTGCGATAACCTAAAACCAGTGGTTCTGAAAAACTGCGCCGAGGTGCTTACAAAACCACTTCGCAACCTCTTTGAGCACTCAATAGACTCGTGCAAACTCCCTAAAGAATGGAAGAGTGCCATCTTGTCACCCATCTTCAAGGGAGGAGACAGAAAAAACCCTGGCAGCTACAGGCCAATTGCTCTACTCCCTATTGTGTCGAAAGTGTTGGAAAGCCTGGTAGCTGACACCATCTGGGAATTCCTCAATAGGGAAAACACTGTGCATACTGCTCAGCATGGCTTTCAGAGTGGTCGCTCATGTGCCACCAACTTACTAACTGCCTGGGACGACTGGACACAAAGCTGGGATGACAGTAAACCGGTACATGTTGTATTTCTCGACCTAGCCAAAGCATTTGACAGTGTCCCACCCACAGTACTGCTTCACAAGATCATGTCAGCTGGTATAAGTGGACCCCTACTCTCTTGGTTCAAGGAGTACCTGAAAGGGAGACAGTTCTGCACTAAAGTGAACAGAATAAGGTCGGAGTGGAGACCCTCGACGTCAGGAGTATCCCAAGGAGCAATCCTAGGACCGCTTCTGTTCCTCCTGTTTGTCAACGATCTGCCAGATAAAATATCCTCACCCATCCTCCTCTTCGCTGACGACATAAAAATTTGGAGGGTGGTAAACGAAGAAGCTGATTGTACAGCACTACAAAAGGACTTGCAGCAACTCGAGCTCTGGTCGTCGGAAAATGGCCTGAGCTTCAACCTGGAAAAGTGCAAAGTAATGCACATCAGTAAAAATGGAGCAAGTACGACCGACTTCCAGTACATGTTGAGCAACCGTGCTATCACCAGAGTGTCCATGGAGAAAGATTTGGGGCTCAACTTCTCCGACACCTTGGACACCAGCTCCAACTACAAAGGTATGACAACCAGAGCGAACGCCATTCTACACTTTCTGCGTAGACAGCTTGGCGCCCTCACTCCCGAACTCTTCCTCACCATTTTCAAATCCTACGTGCGGCCGCACCTAGAGGTCTTCAATACGGTGGCTCCTCCAACACTCAAGAGAGACTCTAATCTCCTTGAAAGAATACAAAGAACTGCAACAAAATCAGTTGTGGGGCTAAGGGGAAAGACGTATCCTGAAAGACTTAAACACCTCAACCTATTTACCTTGGGTTATCGCAGGAAAAGGGGTGACCTCATTATGGCATACAAGATCGCCCATCAGGCAGACCATGCAAACAAATCAATTTTGCCTGCAACTCAACGATCTTCACGAGGAAACCCCATTAAGATAGCACACCAGAGAGCCAACACCACACTCAGGTCCAAATTTTTCTCCCTAAGAGTATGTGCTTTATGGAATGCCTTACCGCGACACATCGTTATAGCTCCTTCAATCGACTCATTCAAGAGGCGATTAGACAGTTATGTCACCTCGCATGGACTACCACGGACGTACTCAGGTAGTCACCAACCTCACTAGCCCCCAACTCCCTCCTAACTACCACTCACTATCTCCTCCTTAATACACCCACATTACCTACTAATTCTTCTGTAGGAACCAAACCCATGCGACCATTCGGGCAATTCCCAAATACTTTTCTTTCGTTCTCTTTTCACCCCTCCTTTTCTTCTCCTTCCTTTTTCTCTTCCCTACATTATTTTTTCCCTTTTTTTATTCCTCATTCTTTTACCACTACCTCACTATTCTCTTCCAGATACCTATACAGACAGGAGTCACGGCAGTTCTCTAAACTTCCCAGCAACCCGTAGCTCCCTAATCATTCTACAAATTACAACTTACCAACCCACAAAACATCCTCCTCACTGAAGCTAAAAGCAAGAAAGCAGAGGGGGTTTCCTGGTCCACTGCGGGAGTGGACCGAACAACTCGAACCAAGCCTTAAGAACTAGATGCAAGAGATCAAAATCCACCAGTTTTCTACTCTCGCACTATCAATATTGGATATTGGATGTTGGATTGTTGTGGCGCGACTCAATATCTGCTTTACGGCGGAAGTCCGAAATCAAGTTAGTGTGTACCGACGAGTGTTACTCACTGTTGCTGACTGTTACCATAGTATAAGGTTAAGCAACAAATTCACGTACTTTATCTTACGTACCAAGTGTTTATTCCTTTAGTAGCTACTCATTTTTTAAAGCATATATATGAAGTCAAGCCGTAAGAACTAGACGCGAGAGATCGAAAACTACCAGTTTTCTACGCTCGCACTATCAATATTGGATATTGGATGAAGTTAGCGATCTGAAGAGATATACTTGGGTAGAGCGTGAGCTCTCATTCAATACTTTATGACATTTCCCAGAAACGGACTTTATGATGAAAATAAAACCAACCGACTGATTTTACAAACTCAGATATCGTAATAATATCTTATTCTAAAACGGGGAACCAGTGGGGTTTCTTGGACCAATTGATCCACCGCCTACAAACTCTGTTTCTTGGTTTTTTGCCAGTTTGCTGGCCCTGTATTTTAATTGATTGCCGTGTTAATGATGCTTGAGCATTTTATTAGGCTTAGACGTGATTTCACAGTCGGTGTCGATACGAGTATGTGACGCTCAGATGAGAGGTAATTAACGAACTTCTCTGCATTATTAGTCACTAAGTATGCACTTGGGTTTTTACTACTTTAACCTAGGGCATGACTCCTAACTAATGTGTTACTTCAATGGTTCGCCAGTGAAGCCTTAGAATTTGACTGCTTACTTCTCTTGGCTAACCTCACAATAGATCTCTAACGTTTTTATCTGTTTTCTTTTCCTATAACTACCTGTCTGTGGTCTATGTGTATCGTAGACTGTTAGTGTTTATTTATTATTTATTTTCCATGTTTAAAGTCTACATACCAAGTTTATTTCACACAGTATTAGCAACTGAGGTTTTCCAAGTGATTTCCCCAACTATGTTATGTTGGTTGTTTTGAGAATAATCCTGCTAATGATGCTGATACATTGTGCCTAATCACCCTGGGATTTCATACGATAGGTACGTAATCATTTTAGAAGACTGACTTAATAGCTGTATCATTTGATAAAACAGTCAAGATAGGCATTTGAAATAATGAGTAAGTTAAGCGCCCTTAACATGATATTTTGATTGAGGTGGAGTTTGATTCCATTTGCTATCATGATCTAGCTTCACTAGTCACTGCTTTCAATGTATGAGGACCCCAAGCAACCCATACTTTAGATGAATCGTACTTGTGTCACTTTTTGGTCCACTTGCCCTTTCCCTCCCCCCTGTTTATCTCTTATCCGGTCCCACTAAAGCTTGACTTTGTGCAACCTGTAACATCTTGTTGACTGACGCTTCGTGCCTATAAATGTGATTCTAACCTCGAAGTCTTATCTGTTGATACTACATCCAACCAGTGTTTCGGTAAGTTGTGTAGTCAGATACCTGTGAGCTCCTTTTATCCACTCGAGTGGGGCATTACTACACAATTACTATTTTATAAAGAATTGGGGTTCTTTTCAGCAAAATAAATCATGTAAGCCTATGCAAATTTCCAAGTCGGTGAAGTGATCAGCTCAATTATTCAATGCACTAACTTTTTCCAAGTAAGTTGTTCGCACAAGATTGTCTCAATACATTTTTTCAGACTAGACACATTCCAAACGTTTTCGCTTTGAGTTCAATAAACAAGGCATACTATGTCAGCTTCTTCTAACTGAGCTAAGACGCTCATGCTCTTTCGGCCAATCGAAGTGTTTGTTAGTAGAAGATATTAGATGCTAGCACTAATAATTCCAATATGTTGAGTACTGATCACTGACGTCCAAGTGGATGAAACTGTGTATTCAACAGAATACTGTCACTCGATGTTTTCTTAAAGTGCTGATGTGCCGGTTATTTTCTATGAATACAGATGTTTCAAGATAGGTATACCTGATCATAAGCATTTTACTCGCTAATAGCTATAGTGTTGCCTTTCTTGGTTGCCAGTCAATAAAACTTGATATTCGACCGACTGAAAAATTTCGCTGAGCTTTATCATGCATGACTTGTGATTCGGTACTGCGTTTCACTATTATTTACAACTATTGCAGTTAGTAGTCATGAGGTACAAGCATCACTCAGATACGGTATCGATTCCTCAATATTTTTGTTTTTACAATTCAGTAACTAAGTTCATTTTTGCGTACTAGACTGCAAGCCACAAAACAAAAGTTTATGCTACTATCCGGTTTTCCAGACCAAAGCAGATAAATGTGAGTGTGAAGCGAATTAAGTCAGTCAGTTTTATGAATATACACCAACTGTGGTGACTTGGACATCTGTTGCGCATGTTATAGCACCGTCTACCCTGGTATGTAATGTTAACTGAAGTAGGGTTGGCGTGGAAGAACACTCAGGATGGTCAAATCAAGACGGTACTAGTCAATGAAGTCTTTGGTTGTTGGTCTAAGCCATGTAAAGAGGTGTAGACTACCTGGCTTGTGTCCTTAAGACAGACAACAGAAATAAATTATTGAAAACTCTCGATGATATGACTGACTGGTAAATTCAACGTAGCACCTAGCACACGCGTACATTGGTCCAACTTGCCACACTTAACAGTAGTACACAAACAAAAGGTGGACAAAAGACTGATATCAAAGTGGACAAAGTTGTGTAAAAGAATAAACAATTTGAAGATGACGGTTACTGAGAATATTCAAGCTTAAGAAAAGATCTAAGAGTGAATATATTGTGCGACATTGTGACTGAATTTCAGCCATGTCACCATGAGCCACTCCTCAACCACTGAGTCCTTTCGTCTCCAGGCAAACCCCAGCCAGACACTCTATATCTCCACACGACTCACACCAACAATCAGAAACTTCATCGAATGGAGCCACCTTGATGACCTGACTGGTAGTCGGTTACAATGGTACGGACGTATTTACTTTCCTAGACATTTCTTCACCAACATTTACTTCTAATAATTTCTCTCACATTCTCGTGTATATTTTAATATCATTCTTTTTATATCAACTTCGTCTTAACATGTTGCTGGGATGTGTGGTAACTTGAGCCGATGCATTTCTGTGCGAGGTTCTACCTTGATTTCGGCTGTCTGCAGTTGGTTAGTAAAAACTGCAGTATGCCTGAAGGCAGACTAAACAGTTTGTCTGTAGTTCTGATCACTTATCTGGTTTAGTCTCACTTTCCACCAGAATTATCTGGTACGCTAACTCTAACTTCATTTTTTATCTTTTTGCATGCAGTTGACTTGTCTGCTGTAAAAATAATCCCTTTCTTCCTGTCTGCAGCGTGTAGATATTTCAACGGTACTGTTCCATTGTAAAACTCATGGGGGACTGTCGACTGGTATTCACTTTTAGAATGCACTTTCTACTACTATGCTAGATTATTTTTACTTCTCCCTCTTGTTGCCTTGTATCTTGATATGCTAGTAATACAGTAATGTGCAGTAATGTAAGGTCCCGTATTTTCAGGCTAACTGACACCACGAAGACCATGGAAATCAGCCATTGAATTCCCAAATACTCGAAGAGTGAGTCATACAAATGTTGTCAATCGAAGTTACTTATTTTAATGTCCCAGAAACAGCATGAAGTCACGAACCTGGGTTCTTGAGCTTCAGTTCTTCGTCTAGTGGCCGTGGTTTTGACGTAGGTCACTCTTACCTGCTGTGCCAATCCAGTTGCTTTTCACCGACTGTCTGAGGCCGTTTGATGTGAGAAAATGTTCAGTGCAGAGCATTTTCTTATTTACCGAGTTGGACTTTGTTTAAAGTCTATAATAGCTATTAATACGGAAGTGGTTGTTACTTATTTCTGTTGGAAAACTTTTTTCGGTAATTATATCTTCATCTCCTTTCATTATGCAAATGCATCTATCAAAAGGGATATGTTGTAAGTTTTATCTTTTCATTTCAAGGAGAATCGTGAAGGCTTACTCAAAAGCTGATGTACCTAAACCTTTCCTTATCTGTAAAATATCCTATTTTAGTGGCGTCGTCTTGTACTTTTGGCATTTAAGTCATCAAAAAAGTGTAGGAATTGTGTGTGATCATCGATATCAAAAATGCACCTGTGCCACTTATGGATTGTTCCTTTGAGGTAGGTAAAGTACTTATTCTAAGAAATATTAGGATATGCCTTCGCAAGCTGCATAGCCATGTTAGTTTTCATCAAATATTTATTGTGAATGATTATTATTTGTCCCTTGGGTTTCTAGTGGAACATAGGGCTTCAGTAGCACATCTCCATTACACTCTGTTCTCTGCAGTCTTTTGGACCTGGCTCCACGTCTGCCCATAAGCTTTCATTTCTTCCTCACACCATCTCCTCCATGTCACCCTCGCCTCCGACGCCCAACTCGTCGTTTCCCATTTAGCTCCCTCCCCCTCGACGGCCTGACCTGGTGCATGATGTCTCCGAATGGTCTTCTCAGTGTATGTCCAATCCAATCGATCTCCACTTTCTTGTTCTGCATATTTGTTGGGCGATAGATTCTTGGTTGTTTCTCTGTGGGACCAGAGTTCCTTATTGCTTATTCTTTCCTGGCCATCTCACCTTCAGTATCGAGTGAGCGTAGGCGGCAGGTGTTGATGTGTATCTGTAGTTTGTTGGAAATGCTTTTCGTAACGCACCAAGTTTCTGAACCATATAGAAGCACTGACTTGACATTGGTGTTGAAAATCCGGATGTTGTTCACGCTTTGTACTGAGTGGAGTGGAGTGCAGTAGATCTCCACACTGATTTCAGATTAATGCAGGAAGGCCTGTCTTGCTGTCTTTCCGATACCGGCTGGCTTTGACGTCCTCATGTGTGCCTATGCCACTCGTAGTTGAAACGATGCTGCCTAGGAAGGTAGGTGAAAGAGGCTACTTCCTTTAAGTTTCTCCCGTTGATGATGATTGATGCTTGTTGTTGATGTTGGTTGGGTATCTTATTGTGAATTGTTAACGTTTAAAATTACTTTTGTCAGCCAAGTATATTTTTGGCTTATTGGTGATCCTATAAGGTCTTTCTATTTTCAGGTTATCAGCAGAAGTCATGTCAATTAGCGGAAATAATAATAGACCATACAACATACCTCTCATTGATTGATTTTTAAACTAGTAATAAGCCCACATTTCTCCATACTGCTGAGGTCAGTATCAAGAAAACTCATGAGTGAATGTTGATTTTTAGTCTGGTAACCCACATTTCTCTTCGAACTTAAGTATTTACCAACTGTCATACTGCGTTGAAACCAAAGTTCTAGCATTTTTATGTAGTGCTGTATGGTTTTGTATGCTTTACGTTTCTGAATCAATTCCACCATTTTAGTTCCCGAACACATTTTTTCTGTATGGAAATCTTGATGACACCTCAGACCCCTGAACAAAAAATTACCGGTACTGTAGAAAAGCTAACTGAAGAGTTAGGGGGATATTTTTTGTAAGTATCTCTTCATTTTTATTCTTTTAGAGAAAAAGCCCAAGATAAATTTGAAGCTATCAGGTCGGTGCATACAAACTGGTTTGATGATCTTGTTGGGACTCTGGTATCTGAGTTTCAGAAAAATACATCTGTTGAATGTGCAGAGATTCTCTCTCAGTATGATGTAAACAAAAAAGGCGCTTTAGTCCAGGAAGCTAATCAAACATTACGTCGTAGGAAATCCTGGTGAGTTCATTTCATTTTAATTGACAAATTGTTGCAGGCGACCTTCCGGAGATCCCGAGAAAGATATAAAAGCTCATATTTTACCACTCAACAAATCTTATTTAGAGGATTTGCGTTCTTACTCCAAAGAATTAGATTTAGAGGTGGATAAATGTTCAAAAGAATTGACAAAATTGCGTCAAATCCTCGTTGATGAATTCGCTGAATTCCAATCGGTTGCAAAGAAACTGCAAAAGGTAAGTTTTTTAAATTCTTCTTCTGAGCTATAGCTCAGTCTTTATTGATACAAATAACATTGAAATTTGTATTTATCTTTTTACTTCTTTCTATTAGAGGAAGATGTACCTTCGTTCAGATTTATCACTATTCGTGTTGAAGATCTTTATGCCGGCAATAAATACTTTTTACTACCGTAGTTGTGTGAATTTTAGAGTATGAATTCGGATAATCATAGTTATAACATGTGCATACATTGTTTATAATAGGTGCAACTAATTTACTATCCAAACACAAGTATGCCCATAAATATTTGATGTTTGGTTTCATGAGAGAAAGGTTTCAGTTTAACTTGAGATACGATAAGACTAGTGAGAATTGCGACATAAGTTACTGGTTATCTTTTAAGTTTGGAGATGTGGCTCATTGGGTTAAGCACCCGATTTTCAAGCAGTGGGTTTAGGACTCAAATTTCGTTCTACCTACTTTGATCTGGGTAGTCAGACAGTATCATAAACCTGTATTAGGTTGAGTTACATTATTATTTTTCACAGTTTAGAAAGTGTTTATTAACAAGTGACAAGATCATGCTCATGAAATGAAGAAAAAAAAATTTTTTTTCATTGATAATATATCATATGTAATTATATACATATGTTTCTTCATTCTATTTTTTCAAGTTAACTGGGTCTACAGAAAAAACTACTCCATGTTTTCTTGGATATGATGAATCTACTTAACAATGAGGAAAAAAAATGGAGAGAATTCCCTTCTATTTTGTATTGATTGTTTTTATCTTGTTTATTCATTGGTACTGAAACTGTCCCAGTTGAGATGAAGTTCATGCCTGATATCTTTTATGCATTTTATATAAATTTACTGAGACTAAAAAAGACCGGTGAAGAATTAAAAATGTGCTTTTTGTTATAGAAAAAAGGCTTACCATTGTTCAATCGAGTTTTGAATTCTTTGATTAGCTGGATAAAATGAAATGGAATATAAGTTTTTTATAGTCTTTAATAAGTTGGCAGGTGTATTAATAAACTGAACTTCAAAAATAGTATCCGTAGTCAGTAGCAGTTATACCCCAAATAAATTATTTATATATGATCAAGTGTAGGGCGAAATTGGTTCATGAACACCTGTTTTGTCTGTGTATATGCAGAGATTTAGCCCACTTGTTCCCATATATTTGAACCGTCATCTATCAAAATGTAGGAATCTAAGCAATGCCATTTACTCGCAAACAATCTATGCGCCACATGGTTTAGTACACAAGTATGTTCACAGTTGATGGAAACGTTGAACACTACATTATTATGGTTATCTTTTTTATTTCCATCGTTGAGAGATTGCAGAAACCAGTAACTGAAGATGTTCAGTAGAGGATGAGAAAAGAATATCATATTATCCTATGTTTTTCTCTGACAAATTTCTCATGAAGTGGTTAATTTATTATCATTCACATGAGATGTTTTTCTCCTACTCTATTTGCATTTCGCAAATGATAATGTGAACGTCACATCCTATATTTTAGTCAGTTATTTAAATTCTATGCGTTAATTGTCCTAATACGAAAGAAGAGTTAATCATTTTTTCAAAATGGTACTACTTTTCATAACCAAATGTTGTCTACATGTAGCTGTAATGCATCTCGTCAGTTTTGTATCTATGTTAGGTGTCAAATATTGGCAGGTTTCTTTATGGTTTTTAAAAAATTGCCTATCTCTCAAACTAATGCACCAATAATACTTGTAAAGTTTCAACATATTCGGACTAAATTTGCTATGTCATTGGTAATAGCTAGCAATCCACAGCTGAATATTATCAATAAGACATACTTCTCGCTTACGTATCCTGTATCTTCGTTGACCCGTGTAGATATATATTCTGTTATTCCAATACGTATTGGAATTCCAAACTAGGGGGGGGGGAATAACTATTCAGTGCTCCCTGCTTTTTATTGGTTCTCTTGATGCTGCCAATTCGTGAAAACTAGATCGAAAGCCGCCCAACTGATTAACATGAGGGACTTGCCTGTCATAAAGATCGACTTATAACTTAAGAGTAATACTGATCCTTGACTTTTGCTACTACAATAACTTTTTATTTCTATGATTTTCTGTAATCAAAAGTCAGCAAGATCTAGGTGTGAATTAAGGTATGAAACGTTTCCTGCAAATTCCACAGTTTGCATGATAACAATAGTTCAAGGTTTTTCGGTTTCTGTTTGTTTGAGTACTAGTATATAGTTTGAAAAACACCACTCATGAGTATACTGATAGCTTAATGACCCAGGAGTGCCCTGTTGATGCCTATTTATAAAGAGGCTAATAAAATATGTTGAACCTACCTCTTTGTTGAATTGATTTGTGTATACGTTCAACGAGCTGCATTCTTTCAATGTGAGCGGAAATTGAGAGACCTAGGTTTTGATACCTTTTTCTAGCCAGTGTTTCGTATCGACAGTGAGATTTTTTGTGCATACTATGCAACGCATCTGATTGTTTTAAAGGTAGACCACTTTTAACTGGTATTCGTGTACGATTCAAATCGACATGCAATATCTTTGATTGACCACGTGCTCCAACTGCTTCCCTATGTATAAATATATACATATCCATGAAACCTACTTAAATACATCTTGCTAAATATCGTACATAACTGTGTACCGGTCATTGAAGTGATTTCCATCATAAGCGTACATTAAAGTTACGAAGCAACAGGATTTAAAGAAAATATGATACATTAAAAATATTCGTACTGAAATAGTCGACAGCTGGAGTAGAATAAAATATCTACTGGGACTATGAAATAACTACAACTTTAGTTTTTGTCCGTTGTTCATCAGTTTTGTGAACTAATAATCCGATTCTGACCTTAAATTATGTTATAATAGCCAGTATTTCTAGGCACATTTCATGTAATTTATTCTAGATATCCACCCTAGAACTCAGTGCTATGCCTACGCCAACGAGATCACGAGAGCTAACCATCGGGCTTTTGGTTACTCGTAAGGTGAATTTTGAAAATTTGCTACTATGACCAGGTGAGGTAAATTTAACAACCAGAGTCGGGTATGTATGTGTCTCAGGGACACAGCACATATTCATAGCTAGAGACTCCGGAGTTCTTGCGAGGTATGTCTGCTGTGTAATCTGGCATAGAGTTCGTACGTTGAAGGTTTCTAAGTGAAATCGATGGTGAAGTCAAAGGAGAATAGGAACGAGGTTTTGATGGCTTTGATCTTTGGTAGTGGTCAACGAGTGAAGGGTTAGATAAGGTGTAAGAGGCATACTCGTGGTCGTCTTGTGTTCTCTGAGCTGAGTCGTTTAATTGTGAAGCTTTCATAGTCTTTCTAGACATCATCAGCACTAACTTCAGTATGAAGTGAGATGTCAATATCTTTCCGTGAGTGACTCAGTAGATTGCCCTGACGAACGGGTTTGTGATTGGTTATTCCCTTTGCTTGTTGTATCATTGACTATATAGATCGTCCTGTTGGCTGCTCCTCTGCCTGACCTCTGACCTTTCTGTCGTTTATCATTTTCCTCATTGGTTGATAGACTGGGTCTGTCTATCTGTTGATTGCTGAATGCCAAGCTTCTAGGAATTCGCAGAGAATTCCGTGCTTACACTAGTCACTGCTTGCAATATGAGTCCAGGTTTGCGTGACAGGATAGCGGCTTAACAGCATGCTAACGATCGCTATTTTGGTTATTGTTTTGCTAGAAACACATTATGATCTTCACAAAGCTTCGGAAAAGATTTCACATATTTGCCTTGTGTCTAGCGGGTCCTCTCTGGAAACAAGCATTTCTCTTGGCTTGGGTTTCCCACCCATACAGCTGACAATAAGACATCTGCATAGTGCAGTTGTATGAAATATCTTTGGGCAAATGACAACAATAACCTCAGTTGGCATTTCAGTCGCTATTCATGAGAGCCCAAACAAGGAGGAGACATTCTTTTTCTTCTCGGTCACTTCTATCTCTTAAGCCTTGTAATCCGGCATCATACAGATAGCTATATATAGCGATCTAGTGCTACTGTTGATCTAGGGCTTAGAATAACAGCGCCACAAATTCCTTGACTAAGCACACATTAAAAATACTTTTTGAACAAGCAGGCTTAGATTGCGGTTGCAAAACTTTTAACGAAGCATCTGATTTGAGTATTGTACTAGTGGAAAATTTAAAAACTACAGATAGATAAGAAGTTCAAAAGCTGGCGGCGAACTGGATGGAATGACTATAAGTTTTTGCGTAAATATTACAATGATTATGGAATTTATGATGGCATTGTTCTTGTTCATTATTAGAAAGGTGCTATGTTTAGTCCAATCCAGTTTTATGATTGGTTTGACACCCACGATAATACATGAAAACTCAGACAAAGGCCAGTGTTTTATCCTTACTTCAATATCTAAACCTTTGACCTGAATTCTGATCTACGGGTGTTTTTATGCTTGCCGATGACCAGATTGAGTTCACATACCATTGGTTAATTCTTGAGGTCCATATATACTACTGGTTTGGTGTTAACATTCCCATCATCCTTGGCTGCTCCTCCGTATCCACCAAGCCAGTGATAAGCAACTATCGCTCATGTTCACCCTTTCACTCTTATAGAATCGACGTAGCTGGAAACATCAATGACATGGTATAAACGCATGATTACACGATAGTGTTTTCAGAAAGAAAGTCGACTCTTTCTACCTCTTCAATTTTTTAGGAGAAAAAAGTAGATGAAATTTATTAGTCACTGAAGTCAACAGAAAGAATAACTTAACATCTAAGGTCAGCCAATGTCTCCAGTTACTGAAAGATTCCGGTTATAAGACATACATTATTCAAGCCACCGCCAAGTAAACACCAACTGATGCCATATTTTATCCTGGTCACCATTAGTGGTATCCAAATCAGTCAGGGATACTGGAGTAGAAATAGCAGTACACTATTTTTTCTCTTCAAGACAACCATGAAGTCTCTAGGAGGTTTCTCCAATTTCAAATATTCACAAAACAACTGACTTTAAATCAACCGATTACTTACTTTACAGAAATATCCTTATCTCCCATAGTATCGTGGTGACTACAGCAAGACCTTTAAATAATTGGCTATTCATATATACTTTATATTGTCTATTGTAACACACATGAGCTGGAAAAATATCTTTCCTATTACATTTTATCAACCAAACTCACATACATCCTGAATATTGAGCTTTTTGAACAGCCTTCAAAAGTATATTCTCAAATAATTTAATCGTTTCAGGCGTAGGATTTCTACTTTTGATTTCTGTCAACAAACGAGTTAACTCTTCGGCAGGTAGCATATACTGCAAATGACGTACAGCTGCAAGAGAACCAGAATGAAACTTCATTCCATCATTTATAGGTTCTTTTTGCCGTCGATCTTTATATTTTGAGACAGACATCATATCAGATAAATCCTGTGACGTAATGGGAATCATTGGCAAGTTAGATATTTTCTTTCCTACAGTCTTTCCTATATTCTCTTTAATAAACAGTGAATTACCCAACGTTCCAAATAACTTTTTTCCCACCAATTTCGATATATTAAAATTCTCTACTAAGTCCAAAATCGCTGCAGTGCACTGTTGGTTGGATGTTTCTTCGCCGATATCCAATGGCCAATGGCCTAACTGTTCAGACTGTTGGTCTTTGTCACTCATTTGTTCTGATACCGGTATCTCTTTTTTAGGCATTTTTCTGATTAGTTCTTCTGATATTGGTGATGAAACAGTTCTCGATGCCAATACTTTATCAAAACATGTCCAAACACTTGGTGATTTTTGTTCCACATCTTTTTCAGAAGTTAGTCCCAAGCTTCTAGGGCCTAAATCGAATACGCTTTTTGACTTATTCCTTGGTGTTTTACGTGCATTATAAGGTTTATGTTGAAAAACACGAAAACTAAAAGGAGATGCAGCTTCTGACATTGATCGTAATTTAGAAGTAGGTGTCATCATCTGAACAGAGGAGATAACAGAAGTTGTTTCCATTTGACTGTCTGATTCCTCTGATGTAACCACACTGTACTGGATTGGATTTATTTTACTCCGAGCCTCTTTATGTAATCTTCCATTTGCCTGTTTCTTTACATCTTGTAATGAACGCAATGCATTTACTGCCCTAGCTTCTAAACTACTAACTGTAATGTGTTTCGACTTTTCATAAGAATGTGTCTTCGAGTCTTCTGGTAAAAGAGCATGACTACCTTTTGTCCTTCTTCCTAACATCTTTCTTCTTGAAGGTTTCTGTGCGAATTTAAGTGGATATAATTGTCGCTGTATTGATCGTTGAGGTGTACTTGTAATAATGAAAGGTTGATCACTTTCGACTGTTAAGTTTTGTCTCCTAATCCTACTAGGAGGTAGAATTGCTATATCATCGGTTGTTTCTCCAGCTTTACTCTTCGTTAAGTATTGCTGGTCATTTGTCCTTATCTCCCCTTCATCTATCAAATCATAGGTTTCTTCTTCAAGCAAAATTAAAGGTTTTTTTGTTGACGAATAACGAGCTTGTATTACAGCAATTTCTTTCTTCTGTAATTCTTTACTTTCATAGGTACTATGCTCACCACTGATCTGTATTTTATCAGTCTCGTAGGCCATTATATCTCTGTAATATGAAAGTGAAAAATAACATTCACTGGGAAAAATTCAACTATACTGACACATTGGCATACACTAGTTAACAGAGTTCAACATTACTAGCCTAGATTTTCTAATTTACGTAGTCCTATCCTTCCACTTGTGTACGGTGCCATTGAGCTAATCAAAACCGCAAATGAACGATGAACTTCCATAATAGTTATTACCAGTCATGACTAGAAACCCCATACATTTAACATTGATGTTCGTTCTATGATACAAACAAATGAAAGTCACTAGTTATGTTAAAAAGGGATGGCGATATCTGGTGCATCATTGTGTAAGCCCCACATAGTGTGGGTGACGTTATTTCAAACAAACATTGTGAAGTGAATAATTTTGAGCATAATTTTAATTGTTCTCTTCATTTGTTTTGTTGTTTTTAATCTAGAGTGCCACATTAAGTTTATATGCCAACATGACGAATACTGGCAGTGTACATAAAGTGGTTGCATATAGGTTCAGGTAAATTATCATTTATGGTTGGCTATTGTAAATCGAAATTCCTATCCTTATCAAGCTTATAAATTCTGACATCATGAATATGCCATTTAACTTGTGTAAGCCTTCACTGTTTCCAGTAGTTATAGAAATCAGGGTCAGGAAGAACCAATTAACTTGTTTTTCACTGGAAACACAAATTACTAAACGGTCTTACTTTAAATGTTTTCGTTAGTACTAAACAACATGTGTGTTATGTATTTTACGCCCACTTCATTACGTTTTGTGGGTGTAAAACATTCAACTGTGCCTTATTGGTCATTGTAACGTTTTAAGACCATTAAGGTCTAGATAAAGCCAGTTAGATGAATTCATGGTACAACCTTTTACTGATGAGGGTTGGGAGTGTGAACATGTAGAAAAACCAAGAAGTTTCTCCGAAATTGTCATGTACCATGGTATTAAAATGTGTTTACTTAGCAAATGAGTATACATCTCAGTCTTTATTTATTTATACAGAGAAGTTTAAATCATGTACAGATTTTCACCTTAATTCTACTTATACATCAGAAGTATGTCTAAGGATTTTTTGAAAGAGAAACACTGTCTAGTTTGTGGTATATTACTATAAGAGTAAAGTACTGCCTAACATACCGTTTCTACACAAACTGACTTAATCAGGGCTCTGTTTGGCAAGCAAAACTCAAGCATTTCTACCCATCATAAACGAGATTACGTATAGAAGTCATCCTTCTGTCGAGGCAAGGACAACTCATCCAGTCAACAAGAAATCAATTTTTATATAGTCAACTCAATACAGTGTAATATTTTGTTCTAAGTTGATTAACCATTTTTCACGCACGAGTAATTCCCTTCCCTCCTGTTTTGTTTGTTTGCGTGCTTTATAAAATGCTCTAACTACTAAAAACACTTAAGATACTCGGGAAATTGTAGAAAATTATCAGATGAAAGTATCCTTACTTTACAGTTTGGATTCATAATTAAGCGGGAAAATATTATTGTATGAAGACGCTGACGCAATGCAAAGTCTTCTGAACGAGTTGAACAGAAATCTGAGCATGCTTAGCTTGCATATCGCACCTTTCGGATGTAAGACGATGCCTCAGGACTGGCCTGCTGCAAGTAATCCTAGTTCATTGGTAGCGAATGAAGTGGTGGAACGCGCTGGTCACTTCACTTACTTGGGGAGTTGTATCAGTCGGAAGAAATATCAGCTCGGATACAGAAGGCCAGTTTGGCATTTGTCAACTTGTGTAATCTGCGGCGCCGATCCCATAGGATTTCTGCAATGGTCATCAACCATTCACATCCTAAAACTTGAAGAATGTTTCCGTAATTCAGTCGACTGGATACCACTATCTATCACAGAAGAAGTACAATGCTCTCCAGTCCGTTCGGTCTTGATATACGACTATGAGACATGGTCATTAAAAGTAGAAGACATGAAGCGGTAACAAGTCTTGATCACATGTGTCTTCGTAGCCTTACTCGAGTACGCTGAAATCACACTGGGGACAGTGTTGAGGTCAGATGAAGGGTACTAGCAAGAAAGGCAAATTGACTGATGAGGTTGTGAGCCTCCATCAGTCAAGGTGGATTGGAAACGTGTTGCGCATACTGAGCCAGGGTTCAAGGAGGCCAGATCAAGTCGTGGCACCAGTCGATGAAGTCTCTGATTATTGGTGTGAGTCATGTGGAGGAGAAGTAGACTGTCTGGTTGGGGTCTGCCTGGAGACAGACGAAAGGAATCAGTGGTTGAGGACTGACTCTTGATGACATTGCTGAAATTCAGTCACAATATCTCACAATATATTCATTCTTCGATTTTTTTTCTTAAGCTTGACTAATCTCAGTAACCGTCATCTTCAAATTGTTTATTCTGTCACACAACTTTGTCTACTTTGATATCAGTCTTTTTTATCCACCTTTTGTTTGTGTACTACTGTTAAGTGTGGCAAGTTGGACCGATGTGTGTGTGTGTGTGTGTGCTAGGTTCTACATTGATTTTATCTGTCTGTCTACATTTCCTCACCAAAACCCAATCAGCAATCAGTAGCAGCTTCATATTGAATACCGATGAGTGACTAAATCAGTCATTCTGTCGTTTTCTATGTTAAATAAAATATACTTGGTTAAACTTACCTTTCTGCTTCTGCAAACCTGAATCTTCCATCAACTTGATCAGATAACTGACTTATTCCAGCTCTCAGTTGTCTGCCAATTCGACAAAGTGGAGAATTTGGGTCCAAATGCTAAACAATACATTTATCACGAAAATTTAAGCATGAGTAACCCATTGAATGGTCAGAAAGGAGATTCTTAATGAAAAGGAATGTTGGAGATAATAGGCAAGATAAAAATAAATTACTGAGCCAATTTTTAAAAAAATTATCAGTGTGGGATTCAGTAAGCTGTACAGTTTACTGGGTATTCTTAAAATAGCTTATAAAACTACTGAAACCAGTAAAATCTGAATATTTTATTTTTGAAATAAATTTAATCTATGCTTACTGAGCACTATGTACTGTATGACGACGCTACACGCCAAGTGATTCAAAATGGAAAGCTCAGTGATACCTTTGGAGTGAAGACAGGAGTAAGACAAGGTTGCCGCCTATTATCACCGACCATCTTCCTCGTTGTGCCCGATTGGACTGGATCACGCAACGATCTGTGAGGAGTGAGAAGATCAACATACCCTGTTTTACCGATGAAAACACCGTACGCGATTTGGATTTCACCAATTATGATAAATGCCTAATGTCTTGTCGTACAAACTCGAACATCTACAGGCAAAAACCAATAAGTTGATAGAAGAGGCTAGGCAGTGAAGGAAAACGAGAATTTCTTGAGGTGAACGTCGAGAAGACAGGTTATGAAGATACCCAACCAACAACAACAACAAACACCAATCATCTACCTACCTATCTATGCAGCATCGTTTCAACTACGAGTGGCATAGGCACACATGAGGACGTCAAAGCCAGCCGGTATCGGAAAGGCAGCAAGACAGGCCTTCCTACATCAAACTGAAATCAGTGTGGAGATCTACTGCACTCCACTCCACTCAGTACAAAGCGTGAACAACATCCGGATTTTCAACACCAATGTCAAGTCAGTGCTTCTATATGGTTCAGAAACTTGGTGCGTTACGAAAAGCATTTCCAACAAACTACAGATACACATCAACACCTGCCGCCTACGCTCACTCGATACTGAAGGTGAGATGGCCAGGAAAGAATAAGCAATAAGGAACTCTGGTCCCACAGAGAAACAACCAAGAATCTATCGCCCAACAAATATGCAGAACAAGAAAGTGGAGATCGATTGGATTGGACATACACTGAGAAGACCATTCGGAGACATCAAGCACCAGGTCAGGCCGTCGAGGGGGAGGGAGCTAAATGGGAAACGACGAGTTGGGCGTCGGAGGCGAGGGTGACATGGAGGAGATGGTGTGAGGAAGAAATGAAAGCTTATGGGCAGAGGTGGAGCGAGGTTGAAAAGACTGTATAGAAGAGAGTGAAATGGCGATGTGCAACTGAAGCTCTATGTTCCACTAGGAACTCAAAAAACAAATAACAAATAATAATAATAATAATCACAATAATGTCTATCTTATTAAGATTGGAAACGGAAAAAGTAACATTGGAAAAGAAATGTCTCCTTGTAAATTCAGTAACTAACACCTAAATTGAACATGCAGCATTACTTCTGTTCACAAAATCAGTGGTCTAAAGTGAGAAGTGTAATATATGTTTAATCAGACGAGACTGGGTTAGTGTTTACACAAGAAATTGAAGACTATTTTTATTTAGTCAGTTAGTTTGTCTGTAAGAACCTATCTTTTTAATCAAATGAAATGGATGTGCCTAATCTTACCCAGAGTCTGTATCTCCAAAAGTGAATAAAATTTACTCACACTATCGGTTGTTACAAGTAATGGACTTGTAGGGTAATACTGAACTATATAGGCGTCTACCTGGACGTGTGGAGGAACTCTTCTCAGAGTGGTTGCATAAAACAAAAGTGTAAACAAACACTGGTTAGACGCAGTCATGTTTCGCCTAAACTTGCTGTTTATAGAATATGAACGCATGGTTCTCAACAGTATATATGATTCTAACACAGACCACAACATAAGATCCACATTTACTCCTTCCAACTCAGTGAAACAGTTGCTATAAAAAGTATGAAACCGGAACTATGGATGTATCAAAAGTTTATTCAAGTGTTCACTCTTTACCTATGTAATGTTTCTAATGTGAAGTAGTTTCTTGAACCTTATTCATTGCCTTAAGTGAGAAATAACTACTGTTTGGTTTGTTTTTTTTAATCTATATTTGTATCCCTTTCATACAATACCTCATTTCTATAGTCTACTCATTTTATTACAATTACGTTAGCAGTTTGACTTTTCTCGCACAATCATATTTGTTATCAAACAATCTCATATTTCTCATCTATTTCGAATTTTACTTCATGCCACTTGTGAATAATGATCTGCCACACTCCTTAATGTATAAGAAATTCATTTATAAAGATTGAATCTGGCCAGGATCTAAGGTACACATATATACTCGCTGCAATTAACTGTTTTCTCATAGAAATTTTCCAAGAATTTTAATGCTTACTTTTGATGGATCTTTAAAAGTCTTCTTGATATCAGCCAAATTTTGAGTCATAACTGTTTTCCTTGCTTTCAATTCTAATTTCTTCTTTAGACGCAACTTTTCCTCAAAATCACTCATCTGTAAACCAATCAAACAAAATGACGTTTAATGCAGTTGTATTTGGAGTTCAGACCATAAATTTTAAGTTTTTCTAATTATAACCAAGTTAGGGCTTTTCTATAAAATCTTCTTGTTTACAAAGTAGAGACTGAAGAAAACTTCGAAATCTCAGCTCAAAAAATCTACTTTTGAAGAGTATTAGTAGTTTGTGAAAATGGTAACATGGAAATGATCAATTCAAAAATCTTAGGAAGCGCGAAGTGAATGTGTTAATTTCACTCAGAAAATCTACAATGCTTCTGAAGATCTAAAACCGAAAGCTGTAGCAACTTGTGAAATCCTATTACTGAAGCTTATCCGGAATACAGTACTATCATATCAATATATAATAAAAATTTATGAAAGGGAAAACATCTATTCATTTCTGTAACACTTTATAAAGACGGTCAGTAAAGAGAGTTTGAAGACAGAAAAACAGCTCTTAACTGTGCCCAACAGTTCTCTATGTTTAACAGTGAATAAGTAGGACGAATCAAGAGATGTAAGATGAACAAAAATTGAAGTATTGGCATGTAAAGCCTATGCATCAAACGGCCAGACAGGAATAAGAGAAATAAAAAAGGCTTAAAAGCAGAATAGTTGTTACTGGTCTTCAGTACCCAAAGAAAAGTAAAAGACAATCAAATGATAAAGATATGTATAGTACAGATAGACTACCTGCTAATAATGAGTACCATAAATCTGAAAACATTAAAAAAGAGCACAAGGGTTGATAAATGGCTGCAAAATAAAAATAAATTGAAGTGTAGAAAGGTGTGACAAGAGAATACCCAGTTCAAAGTTCCAATTAGCCCACCATTTTGTTTGCCAACTTTTTTTCAACTTCAACAGTGAAAGTTGTGATGTAGTGCCACACACTTCTCCAGAATCAATAGCCTAGGGTTCAACAAGTATCAACGTTGATGCTGACCTTCATAGTTTTACCGGACTCACTAAGCTGAAAGCACCCAGTCAAGCGTGCACGTCATTTGTCACGCTGTCGTGTTCCGTTGCACTGGTCATAATCGACCCTCTAGCCAGTTAGTTGGAATGCATCAGTATCTTGGCACGACCTCGCAAATATACTATTCCATGCAACTACGCTATTGTGTTCTTTCTTGATCTCGTATTCATGGGTATATAACAAGTACGAATAGTTAGTGATGAGTTTCTCAAGTTCGAACCAGGACAATTCTTAAAGTTACTCTCAGTTTTAGAGCTGCACGTTTATTTGGTTTCACAGTGTAATATCATAGTATGATGTTTTTTCCAATAGTTTGTGAATATTTAATATTATTTCCCATCTATACTTGTATCAGATGATATAACTTACTCCTAGAGAGAACGTTGATAATGCACCAGGTGTAATCATTTCGTTAGATTAAATCGATCTTTATTAGTGTAGTTTCAGCACTTAACTTATCTGCTTATAAACTCGAAGATTGTCATTGTCACCACTCGGTTTATTGCATAATTGAAATGGATGCTTGTTGGTGAGTAGAAAGTTCATTTTGAGAAAGTAATATCAAATATTTAACACCTTTTGTTGTACCTCAGCATTCCGATAGAGGTGTACCCCAAGTGGAGTTCTTTGCTAACAGATCTATAGTGAGATCAGTTAGCACTTTTAATATAGCATCACAAGAAGTGTGCATGTTTGATTTCCTATAAGGATTTAGATTACATTATTATTATTATTATTATTATTATTATTATTATTATTATTATTAGTTGTCCCTTGGGTTCCCAATGAAACATAAGGCTTCAGTAGCACGTCTCCAATGCGCTCTCTTCTCTGCAGTCTTTGCAACCTGGCTCCACGACAGCTCAGAAGCTCTCATTTCCTCCTCACACGATCTACTCCATGTCACCCTCGGACGCCCAGCTCGTCGCTTCCCATCGATGTTCCACTCGAGCAACTGGCCTGACGCGTGATGTCCCCAGTTGGCCTTCTCAGTGTATGCCCAATCCATCTCAACTTCCTTCCACTGCATATTTCTTGAGCGATAGGTTCTTGATTGATTCGTTGCCAGAGTTCCTTGTTGCTTATTCTTTCTGGCCATCTGATCTTCAGCACCGAGTGAGCGTAGGCGGCAGTTGTTGATGAATGTCTGTAGTTTGTTGGAAATCCCTTTCGTAACGTGCCAAGTCTCTGAACCATACAAGAGCACTGACTTGACATTGGTGTTGAAAATCCGGATCTTGTTCCACATGCTGAGTGCAGATCACAACACTGTTTTCAGGCTAATGAACGCCTATCTCGCTATCTTTCTGATCCTTGCTTTGATATCTTCGTCTGTGACGCCTGCAGTTGAAACAGTGCTGCCTAGATAGGTGAAGGAGGCTACATCCTTTAGGCGACCATACCACGTTGAAAACACCAGTTCTCGTCTAGTCACCTAAGTTAAGCAACGTTGGGCCCGGTATGTAGTTGCATGGGTGACATATTATCATACTCAATATGAATTTAATTCTATGACAAATACTGGGTATTTAATTAACCAGTCATTTCCTTTTAACTGATCTGTATTCATATTTGATTAGCCATCTCTAGTTCTTCATCCTCACTCAGTTTTGTCAAATGGGTTTCCATGTGAAATGATTAACTGTGACAAAGTAGGAATTAATCATTGATATCAGTGTATTGGATGACCCTTTTACTTTGATCTGATTCGTTTGAGATAAGTTAATGGTTAAAGCACATATCTGCACGTGTTTTTGTCTACTGCTATTTTTCTTTTGTTGTATTTTTCGCTTAAATTTCCTTTACTGGTGTTCTCTGAGAATTCGTTTACCGATAAACCGTGTTATTTGGCACTCAGGCTATCTGGTGTTAAAGTGGTCATAGTTTATACAGTTGATATTGGATGTCTCAGTCGACTTATCTGTAACATATCATATCTTTTAGTTTGTACACTGCTTTTTGTATCAACTTGACAATTTGCGGGATACGAATATCCTAACTCATTTGACCAGTCGCTAGTTGGTTATGGCGCTTTGTTAGTGTGCAGGAGTATAATTTTTTTGATTTTTGAAAATCTGTTCTTTTTTGGTTCTACTTGTTTGCTAGGGTATTCCTTGAGAAGATTTTAGTATCTATAGCGTAGAAGTGTTATGAATAAATGCTTTTTCCTCCATTCAGTCAGTTTGTGATGTTTTGAACAGTTCTCTTTTAATTACTCATTGTGAACCTGTTCGATAGAATTCAATCGGTGTTTGACATTAAGGATCCCATCGGTCACTGTAATAACGCCTGATTCCTTATAGTTACAGACATGTATTGCTAATAAGTGCCAACAAGCACCAAAAATAGTTCCAGGAGGGCCTCCTACCAACTAGCTTCTGTAATTAACCATGTTGGTGAACGGTTTGCCTTCTTTACATGTTGTATTGGAAATCATCTATGAATAAATGGTTACATTCTATGTTTCTTCTGTTTTCTGGTAACGTATTGTTTTAAGGTAAAAAAAAAAACACACAATAATAATACGTGACTAAATCAGGGTCTACACTATTAGCATTAGTTAGTGAAACAACTTTTACATGTAGCAGTATGCACAAAACGAGTGAGAAAAGTTGTACCTTGAACAAGTTAATTGTGGTGAAAACTACTTACTTCTGTACCAGGTATAATTGGTGTAACAAGTCACTTACAGTATACAAAGAAACTGTTGTTATTCATGAACTGTTTTCGTTTCCAAAATCAAGCTAAGAAGACAGCATATAATATGATCTTTTGCTCCTAAAATTGTTCAATATTCATTAGTAAACATCTGCATAACTCAACAAACTGTTTATCTCTCTTAACGTTTACCTTGTGAAATGATATTAAAGTTTTGATGTTAGTTTGATGTATAATTCATCAACAGATAAGTAGAGTTATGCACTTTCTTAACTGATTTAAAATATGCATACTGAAATGAGATAAAAAGAACAAAAAAAATTACTTTCTTCCTTTCATCATTGAAGTGGCCAGTTAAATCTGTATATATTGTTTCCAATGGTATTCTATATCTATCTGTGAGGAATTCTGTTGTCAGAAAATTTGCTAGTAATTCACTGTCAATCAGTTTATCGTAAGATGACGGTAGTTTCACATTTAAGTCTATAATTTTAAAAGAAACACAATATTCTAAGTGAATAATGAGGTAGTTTTCCTAGTAAATTTTAACAGTGTATGATATAAATATATTATGTTTCAAAAGATCATTTTTTAAGTCAGTCAAATCATTTTCAGACAGGTATCGTTTTTATATAAGCAAAATATTGTCATGTTAAAGTGTCGCTGAAAAGGAGTGACCACACTTCAAGGTTAATAGGTTTTCATATAAGAAAACGTTTTCTAGTTCAATGTTTCAAACTTATCAGTTTTCCGTTTTTAAATGATAGTCATTTGAGGAAAAGGTACAACTAAATTGTGATACTTAGGAGTTACAGAATATTTCTCTCACTGTTTCTCATCATTTAATTGAACATAACTTCATTTATGTATGACTTACAGTCTTGAGTGCGTCGTAGGTCTTGGAGCGTAATGATTCGAAATGATGACGCATTGTCATTTTGATGAAATATCGAGCTACGAAATATGGCCACACTTATAAAGATGACTGAACACTAGCTGTTAAATCTTTTTTTTTACTTTATTTAGCTTCTGCTTGTCGATTATGTTTATACCGTTTACTTTTACACCCTTCAAGTTTTACGCTACTTAAGATTCACAAGTAGTATTGTTCTTATTCTTTTCATCTTGTTGAATTTCATACTGTGTTGAACATTAAGGTTCATTACAATGATATCTTGTGCGACAGGCATTCATTTCAATCATTTAGTCAATCTTCTTCCTTCCTGTTTGAATTGTAATTTCTTCTGTTCTTTTTACCTTCGTAGTTATAATTTCTTGAATACTACTTTATATTTTATCCTCCACCCAAAGCTGTGCGATGACTCAAATTCCGTAATTAACCGTGGTTTATCCACTGGTGTAGCTCTTCATTGTTTGTTTGTTTATTTGTTATAAATGGATGATTATAACTGTGCCTTTCACTGTGCGACAAATTTCAGGATGCGTCACGATTTGAGGTTCGTAGCTTTGGTAATATTTATTGAACTTAATATTACAGTATTGAATTTCCAGCAAATCTTGTGTTCGCTATCCTTAAGTTCTGTAAGTCACTCGAAATCTTTGTCTTCGATTTTTTAAACGAAATCTGCCCCAGAATTTGTATTTCTGCTCACCAAGCAGGTAGTGTATCTGTCATCCACTCCAATGTATTCGAATACTTCTAATAATTATATTCCATATTCACCATACTCCACAACTCTGAAAGTCAATCCGAGGAGTTTTACGTTAACTGGATTTGTATGCTGTTAAATCAGGTAATTTGCCAAGTGGCTCACTAAGTACCGGTAACCGTTTTGTTTCCAATAAAACATTTAACGTAAAAGTCATATATAGCTAATCCCCTCATATTATTCTCATTATCAGAGAAGTATATTGAATATTTTGTGACAGATTAGGTTGAAAACCAAGTTCACGTCAATATTGAATGACCAGACACAAAGACAGGGTGATGATACACCTCCTTTAGGTCTAAATTACGTACATATAGCTGACTTCAATACTCGGTGACGCGGGTTCGAATCTCACAGGGGATATCACTTCCCTCGAGGTTGCAGATACGCCTTTCTGTTAGGTGCCAGCAAGCTCGAAACCTATGCCAAGCACGGTTTCCTGCCGATTGCCTCCAACCAACTAACATTCATCAAAGTGCTTCATGATAGTGAACCTCCTAACTTAATGGCCACAGTGCAAAATGATCAATAGAATTTGGTTAGCACTCAGGACTAGACTACATGCGATTAGTTCCTCTCCAGTGATCCATCAATATACAGAGTTTGTCATACGATGTAGTGTTGAAGCAGTTCAGTGCTCTGAGTCAGCGAGAATAACAGAACAGAAACAGTATACAATGTTCATTTAATTTATGACAAAAACATAAGGAAAAAAAATACTATCTGACTGCTGTTTACAGACACTTTAATGTAGCTTACTGATAACTTGTGTGAACTGAATGGCATGAACCAACGATACTAGTTTATCGTTAGTTGATGCGAAATGACTTATGCTAGGTTGTATTCTGGACAAACAGTTTGCCTTCAATAATGATGTTTAAAGAAGAGACAACAGCAGCTGCTTCACCCTTAAGCATATTCTTGGCAAAAATGTTCATGTCTTCCTACAAAGATAACGAACTTCAAAACATATGGTCTGGCATGATAGCTAATTCTGATTTATGAATGTAACTTTTATTTTGTGTCACAACAGCAGTCAGATTGAGGAAAATCTAAGAGATGGTTTTTTGAATGAGATGGAAAAAAGCCTGTCCAAAATTCCTCATGATGTTAGATGGTGACAGATGCTCACCAATAAAAATGGATGAAGGCTGAAATGTATCTTTAATTGACAAGCTTCAGAAAAGATGAGTCATAAAATTTCACCTCAGGGGCTGAATGATAATATGTCCGTCTTGAGACTTCATGATCCTATGTTCAACTCCATGTGAGGTCATGAGTGCTCATTGCTAATACGTCTCTAACTACAATGAAAGCAACTATCCTATGTTCTTTGCTTTTCAGTGAGTCTTTGAATGATGTTGATTAGTGGTGGAAACTTCTCTGCAACTCCGAATATCCATGCCAAAGAAGATTCAAGCTAGCATTTAGATCAGCCTCCAGACTTAGACGTGCTCCGTCATCACACATATGTGCACCAATGTATTTGTTACTTAGATACCGCTTAAGTTGGTTGCAAACTGACAGGATGAAGTGACATTTAATTGCCAAGATTTTTTAATTGCAATTTATTCTCATTGTTATTATTCATTAATAACAATGAGAATGAATCATAAATAAAAAAAATCTTAGAACCTCGTCTAGTTAACAAGTTCACTAGTTACTAGCCGGTCTTTAGACAGAATAAAGAGGGTAGGCTGGGCATACGGCTAGCAACCCTACCCCGTAAAACCAATCCAATCGCTAAAGAAACTTCAAAGCACAAAGAAAATGTAAAAATTAAAATAAACTCGCTGGAATCGGAGACACGAAATGACGCCGTCTAGTGAAATCCTTCGGGAAGCCATTTGGCCGATGTGTCTTCTCTCGGTGAAAGAGAAAGTAATGTCAAGTCAGTGCTTTTATGTGGTTCAGAAACTTGGTGCGCCATGAAAAGCATTTCCAACAAACTACAGATATACATCAACACCTGCCGCCTACGCTCACTCGATACTGAAGGTGAGATGGCCAAGAAAGAATAAGCAATAAGGAACTCTGGTCCCACAGAGAACCAACCAAGAATCTATCGCCCAACAAATATGCAGAACAAGAAAGTGGAGATCGATTGGACTGGACATACACTGAGAAGACCATTCGGAGACATCATGCACCAGGTCAGGCCGTCGAGGGGGAGGGAGCTAAATGGGAAACGACGAGTTGGGCGTCGGAGGCGAGGGTGACATGGAGGAGATGGTGTGAGGAAGAAATGAAAGCTTATGGGCAGAGGTGGAGCGAGGTTGAAAAGACTGTATAGAAGAGAGTGTAATGGTGATGTGCAACTGAAGATCTATGTTCCACTATGGACAAATAATAATAATATTATTCATTGTTCTTGTAGTTTTGCCTGATATTTATATTTCTTTTAACCTTACAATATTAACTTTCTGTTCTATGCGTATCTGAGTCTTTCTATCTATTATTCCACGAATTCCTTTAAAATAAGTTGCTATATAACATTTTTTCCATTGCTTCCTATTGCATCCTGCATATTTTTATAAATCTATTCTCTGTTTCTTCGACTAAGTGTTAAAACCCCTTACTTTTCCTTACCTACTGATTTCCCGCTCATTCTTTCCGCATTATTCATTTTTACTGTCGGCTTTTTTTATTGCTGACTTTTGTCTATACTATTGTAAAGCAGAACAAATTGAACAAGTGGATCTTTTTGTATTTTTACAGTATTCCATTACTTTGTTAGTCTTTTGAGTTGTGCAAATAAATTGAAAAACGATTTCAGTAGTAATAGAATTTTAGTCAGTTATATTACTAAAATATTGAAAAAAGCCTCTAGATTGTATTGTTAATATTTACTATACCGGTTGTTTTTAAAGCAGTTCAAAGATAAATACAAAAAGCAAATGATATTTGTAATCTTACAGCAATCTCTTCTAGGCTTGTTATTATTATTAAATACAGGAAGAATGTTTCGGTAATCAAATATTTTCAAGGCTCAAAAGTTAATAGATAAGTAGACAGTTACAAAAGTATACAGACTGTTATAAAAGTTTTATTTTGATAAACTTCATGACACCACAAACCGCAAGACAGATCAACATCCACATATTGATAGGTACACATACAAGCAAAATTAAGCTGACAATTAATGCTGCAATATTTAAATTATTTTATACCAGTCATACGAAGAGAGGCTGTCGTTACTCATTTGCCTAGTGGTTAACACCCTTGAGTTTCAAGTGATTGGTCCCAAGTTCTAGTCTTGATGAGAGTAACATCATTCACTGAGAGACAAGTATACTCAGCTGACGAGTTCCGAATAGGATGAAATGCGCGTCCTAAATTCCATTGCTAACCGCTATCCACCATTAATACAACACTAATCAGTAGCCTAGATGCGGTCATGAATAAAATCAGGAAATCCACAGCCGATCTGATACATCGACTAAAGTCATCTCTAACTGAGTCTAAATGGTTTAATTTAATGCCTAGAACTAATAATCCTAGCAAAATTTGTGGCACTATTAAGGTTCATAAACCAGGTTATCCCATTTGATCCATATTTGACTTCAGAAGTACTCCAACATATGAATAAGCAAAGTACTTAGCTTCAATATTGTACCCTATTAGGAACCATTCAAATTCCAGACTAGTAGACTCGTATGAGTTAAAACTAAGGCTTAATGACCTACACATAGAAGAGGATGAAAAAATGGTTAGCTTCGATGTAACAAGTCTGTATACTAAAATACCAAACAATACCACACTGGAGGCAGTCAGAAGTCAACTAAATATTGACTCAGAACTTACTCACAGAACTAAGATATCGGTTGATGAGATAATATTAGGGACAAAGTTGTGCCTGACCTCCACAGTAGTCGAGTTTTAGCAAAAAGGAAGGAGTAGCAACGGGATCGCCAATGTCTCCAATCGTAGCAGATATATTTGTAGATAGTTGGAAAAACATGACTTCACAAAGGTTTGGTTCCTGCACCAAAAATATGGTGACGATATGTGTCTGACACGTTTACTGTGTTGAAATCGGAAGATATCGACAATTTCCCCACACATGTAAACTTAGTAGTAAACGCAATCCATATTCACTTACGAGGTAGAAAATAAACAAGGAGAATTACCATCGTTGGATTGCAGGATAAAACAAAGAACAGATGGTGGCTTACATACTACTCTCTCATGTCATCCAATCGAATATCAGTGAAGGCAGGATTAGTCAAATATCAAAGTGATAGAGCTAGAAAACTGACTAGTCAGTGCAAGGACCTAAACAAGGAATTGAAACACGTAAAAGAAGTACTTATATTTGAAAATTATCCTCTGCAGTTTATTAAGAAATTCGTGCAGATACACAAAAAGCGAAAAGATAACAGTAACACTAGTAGGAATAATAATGACAACACTAGTAGAAAGGAGTTCACAGCTTCCTTTGTGTTACCCTACAAGGAAATTACATCAGAAACTTTAAGTAGGATCCTCAACAGATCTGAAATCAGGGTGGCATTCAAACTTACAAACTCACTCAGAGATAAGCTTTATGTGGTGGCTTAAGGTTGCGACAGAGCTAATTAAGCAGAATAATCTAATCTGTCAAGTTGCATGTAATGACTGTAAGTCAGGTCAGGTCACGTCAAGTATGTATGTGAAACTAGTTGGTCGGGGTGAGTTAGAATAGCCGAATATAGGAATTGAGCTAAATATAGAATGAGAGACCTAAATAAGATCATAATCTAGAAAAAGTTGGTTATTGCATTGTATGTACTAACACGCAACCACACAATACGGTGGATGGGATAAAGCCACTGTACTCATTTCATTCATCGTTCGCATACTTCATAATATTTCATAGTATCACTTACCATACTGTTGTTTCGTAGTTTGAATATTTGATATCACTGTTGGCTATCATCAAAAGGTAGATGGAAAATGAAACATTATAAACTTGGTGATGATATGATTTGCATATAATGTAGAAAAAAATCACTGAATTTTTAGTATAACAATCTGTACAAACCAAACTTTGACAAGTAGTGAATTCAGATTATGACTTCGGCATTATATTTCGTAAAAGTAGTCAAGCGGAACATAGATTGCTTTACTAACTATTCACTACTAGTTATTTAGTCAATAGAGTGAAAATACCAACCGGGGTATCATATATAATACAGTAAGTCTATCAGAGAAATATATCCCAAAGCACCTTTTTTACGTACCAATAAATGAAAAGTTTTTAAATATATTTCAGTCAACTGGATGAGAAAGTATTGTTACTAAGCGAATAAAACACTGATAATTGGGATAATTTGTAGCTGAGGAGGGTAATTTTAATGATATTGTGTTTTGCGAGTTAAATGGTTTAATCGTGAAGCTTTCATTGTCATTCTTGACAATAACATCAACAATTCAGAAAAAAGTGAGCTATACGGTTTCCTCCACAAGCAGCTAACTAGCTTCTCCCGATGGCCTTGTGTGTGATTGGTTGTTTCTGTTGAGGACTTGTCATTGTTTCAATATTTTTGCAGATTGGTTCTCTTGCTGACGTGAACTTTGACCTTCTTGTTGTTTCTTATTAGTTGATAGATTAGGTCAGTGTTGGTGTGTCTATTGATTTACTGACTGACTTGAATAGTAAGCTTCTAAAAATTCTTTGACATTCTTTTTGATTACCTCGATTCAAGATTTTTCTATTTTCCCAGTCTAATTCATATCCTCAGTTTTCCGTATGCATTGATATGAGCAAAGATATGTCATGACGATGTAGTTCCTAAGCCCTCACAATCTCCTCACTCTTTGTTATACAAACCAAAAGATGGAATAGCGATCCAAGAAGAACCAGACGTTATCTGCAAAATAAACTGCAGAAACCGAGAAAAACACTATAACTCATAAAGTTGTCGCCCTCTTCACATCTGTCTGCATAAACACTGACTAGCAGTGAAATATCATGACATATATTCACTTATATCAATGCATACGGAAAACTGAGGATATGAATTAGACTGGGAAAATAGAAAAATCTTGAATCGAGGTAATCAAAAAGAATGTCAAAGAATTTTTAGAAGCTTACTATTCAAGTCAATCAGTAAATCAATAGACACACCAACACTGACCTAATCTATCAACTAATAAGAAACAACAAGAAGGTCAAAGTTCACGTCAGCAAGAGAACCAATCTGCAAAAATATTGAAACAATGACAAGTCCTCAACAGAAACAACCAATCACACACAAGGCCATCGGGAGAAGCTAGTTAGCTGCTTGTGGAGGAAACCGTACAGCTCACTTCTTTCTGAATTGTTATGTTATTGTCAAGAATGACAATGAAAGCTTCACGATTAAACCATTTAACTCGCAAAACACTGATACTATGTAAGTGATATCAATAGAGATGAATCACTGGAGTTACAGGGATTATTAGTAGGGCTGTTGAAAATTATTTACAAGTGATACCTTCACCAAATATAAAAATCAGGTAAAATGAAATCACAATGCCAACTAGGTGGGAGAATTTTGAACTGGGACTGGAGACTTCAACCATAGTGGCCTCAAACTAGGCAAATTGTTGTGATAGCAGTTGCTTCACACACTATCAGTAAATTAGCTTCGTTTTGTTTGTTGATTATTTTAAATGCGTTCGAAATCTTGATGTCATGTCCTTTATCCACTAACTGTCTACTTTAGATGTTGTCTAATTGGAAGCAATCGGTAGGAAGCTCTGAGTCCAGGCTTCGTACTGGTTGGCACTCATCAGGAAGGCGTGTCTGCAACCTTGAGAAAAGTGATGCCTCACTTTGAGATCTAAGTACACATCACCCCACCTTGTAGTCAGCGATATTACCACTAGGCTATCTGGGTAGTGGATGACCTCTTATAGAGCTGAACTACTTTATTTTCATAGTAAATTGCAGACTATATAAACCTACTGATTATTCCTAGGAGAACCTTATGATTTATAGTAAAATTTCTATTTCATGGACTTGTCTCCTGGTTGAAAAATAGATGGAATTGATCTATGCAAAATTAAGAGTGAATGGTCAAAAAGACAATTTCCAAATAGCTTCTTAATTATCGAAAAGTTTGCAACAATTCAGACTTTACACAAAATGAACTCAATCAGTTTCAACTCTTGAATACTGAAGGTGTTCAGTTCAAATGTAACAGTTTTATTCATCTTTAGGTCGCTAAAGTTTCAATGCAAAAACCTTTATGTTAGATAGAGATTAAATCCTTAGTATTTTGGACCAACAAATATCATATGTATAAGCAAACAATGGAAACAAACTGCACTTTAAAGCAGTTACATCAGAATCATCAAGAACCTTGAAATCAGACAATCCCCATGTTCATTGTTGACTTGGTTGTTAGAGATGAAACTTCATGAAATTCTAATGAGAAGTCTTGACTGGTGCGGTAAACCTAGTCAGACAGATACTCAACAGTGACACAGTGTGATGGTCGTGCTATATCGCAAATTGATAGGATAAGAAAAATGTATACTAGTGGATTCCAACTCAACCTCTAAACACTCAAGTATTCTTTATGAAACCTGAAGGTCATAAGCAGGGTTATGGATGAGCAATTCCAAGGATGCCTTTACTAGAACGAAAAAGCCAGCCAGTACTCACAGATTTTCAGTGGTTCTGAAATCTATTTTGGATCGTGCTGAATATCAACTTGAAATTATTCAATCTCAACAAACTTCCTAATTCTTGGAAAAAAATTCATTTTATAGGTGATAGGTGATTTACTCCACTTCAATTAAATTGGAGAATTTGACGCTGATAACCTTATTTTGAACTGCATACTGCAAATAATTGCGATAGCACACATGTGGCACAAGGAAGAGATCTGTTTTTGTCTATATTAGCGACTAGATTCGAACACTTCACGATTGAAAAGATGAGGAAGTTTTCAGTAGTGCTACTGCATAATGTTGATTTCTTGGAATCAAATAAAATAGTTAAGAAACGGTTGAACTATAGTTTACTACTAAAGTTACAGATATCTAACAATATTTGTCCATCTCGGCTTTGCACAGTAACTTATCATGGTTATTTTGTCATCATATATTCTGCTGTGTTTGACCCACCTTATACTGTGGCTCATCTCAGCTGACTTTCGCTTGCCTCATATTTATTCATTGAATCTTCTTATCGGTAGACAATCCTACTAATAACCATTCTAACTCCTGTGATTCATTCCTGTTAATTTCAGTTATACAGAAACAGTGGTGTATCAGTTTGATGCCAACACTTTCACATCCAGTCGATAAATAGATAGACAAAATCAATGTAAACCTAAAACACACACACACACATCGGTCCAACTTGTCGCACTTAACAGTTTTATAAGCTATTTTAAGAATACCCAGTAAACTGTACAGCTTACTGAATCCCACACTGGTAATTTTTTTAAAAATTGGCTCAGTAATTTATTTTTATCTTGCCTATTATCTCCAACATTCCTTTTCATTAAGAATCTCCTTTCTGACCATTCAATGGGTTACTCATGCTTAAATTTTCGTGATAAATGTATTGTTTAGCATTTGGACCCAAATTCTCCACTTTGTCGAATTGGCAGACAACTGAGAGCTGGAATAAGTCAGTTATCTGATCAAGTTGATGGAAGATTCAGGTTTGCAGAAGCAGAAAGGTAAGTTTAACCAAGTATATTTTATTTAACATAGAAAACGACAGAATGACTGATTTAGTCACTCATCGGTATTCAATATGAAGCTGCTACTGATTGCTGATTGGGTTTTGGTGAGGAAATGTAGACAGACAGATAAAATCAATGTAGAACCTAGCACACACACACACACACATCGGTCCAACTTGCCACACTTAACAGTAGTACACAAACAAAAGGTGGATAAAAAAGACTGATATCAAAGTAGACAAAGTTGTGTGACAGAATAAACAATTTGAAGATGACGGTTACTGAGATTAGTCAAGCTTAAGAAAAAAAATCGAAGAATGAATATATTGTGAGATATTGTGACTGAATTTCAGCAATGCCATCAAGAGTCAGTCCTCAACCACTGATTCCTTTCGTCTGTCTCCAGGCAGACCCCAACCAGACAGTCTACTTCTCCTCCACATGACTCACACCAATAATCAGAGACTTCATCGACTGGTGCCACGACTTGATCTGGCCTCCTTGAACCCTGGCTCAGTATGCGCAACACGTTTCCAATCCACCTTGACTGATGGAGGCTCACAACCTCATCAGTCAATTTGCCTTTCTTGCTAGTACCCTTCATCTGACCTCAACACTGTCCCCAGTGTGATTTCAGCGTACTCGAGTAAGGCTACGAAGACACATGTGATCAAGACTTGTTACCGCTTCATGTCTTCTACTTTTAATGACCATGTCTCATAGTCGTATATCAAGACCGAACGGACTGGAGAGCATTGTACTTCTTCTGTGATAGATAGTGGTATCCAGTCGACTGAATTACGGAAACATTCTTCAAGTTTTAGGATGTGAATAGTTGACGAACATTACAGTAATCGCATGCATATGAAATTGTATCCTGCTTCAATCAGTAAAACCGCTTCTTCAAGAATTAACTAGGCAATAAACTGCAAAAGTTCTCAGTTGTCAGAGTGAACGAAAATTTTAATCTCGAGTGAACCTAGAATGATAGGTAGAACTGAATAATACCGACAATTTGATTTTATATGTAAATACAAAATAAATAATATCCATGAATTGATTACTGGAATCTTATAGACAGTCGGCTCACCAGTTAGAATATCATTCATTTTTCTACAATTTATCCATTTATATTACCGAATTTCTAATGTCAGTTCATATTCCTATCATTCACCATGTCCTGAGCTATGGGACTCTTGGCAGTGAATTCAAAACTTACTACACAGTTCATTATCTTGCTTATCATTTTCAAAATTTTATCCTAATCCCTGCATATTATTTACAAATGAAGGATATTCACTATTGGTATAGATATCAGGGAGTTGTTGTACAATATTTAACTGTTTACTACTTTTTTTTGAAAGATATTTACTTGGGTATATATTGAAGTTTAATTAAAATAATGTATGACTCTATAAATGACGAAGCTGGGGGAAAACTCTTCCCTGTCCTAATGATGGTTACTCTTAAACATAAATCTGAAATGTTTTCTGAAATTACAGCGTTTAGACAAATGTTTAGTGAAGTGAAATGTTTCCTATTAACTTCTCGTATATTTCTCTAAGCAAGAAAGTGTAACTAGTGTAGTAAATGAAATTTTTTTTAAATGAAACAGTATTCAGTATTCTGAATGTTAGCTTGTCTTGTGTAGAGCCTAGATATGACTGAAATGGACTCAGGTTAGGATTAGGTAGTTCAGATTCAGAGGTGTATTAGTGTCTCTTCTGGTTTAAATTTAAAGGAAGGAGTTTTCTTTGCCTGAGTTTATTAATTAAATTTATTACCGGAAAATAACTTATTTTTGAAGAGAAAGTCAAAGTTTTATGGAAGTTGTCAATTGTTTTCATCATCCTTCATTTTAGGGATTCATTTTACCGAAGAATATTGCTTTCCGATACTTGAAGTTTCGGTACTGTTGTATGTAGTACTGGAATGAAATCTTACTAAAATTACACTTAAATATCACCCTACATGTTTGTGATTTGTAGATGTTTCTCTCTGAAGTTAATAAGCTTTTTTCAGTGCTTGCATTATCCTCAGCTAAATAATCAATTTGTGCTACACCTTTACTTTCTACATTCGTTTAAACAACAACACGTACTTTTCAAATTTCAAAAATGAAGTACTTACATCGTCATCGTCAAGATGTAAAAATGGCTGAAATATTAAAAAAAAAGTAAAAAGGAATATTCTGGTTGTCACATACAGTTTATCATTTATATGAAAATCAATGTAGTTTCATTAGTAATACTTTTGAGGTTAAATTTTGAGGGGGTTGTGGAGATTTGGAAATATTTCAAGTTGTTATTCATCGAAGACTGACATCAGTTGGAGGAACAGAGGAAACCTGGGAGCACTGGACAGCTGTTTCGTCCTAGTATGGGACTCCTCAGCAGTGCGCACCCACGACCCCACCAGCATGGATCGAACCCGCGACCTTCAGGTCCCGCGGCCAGTGCCTTACCATTGAGCCACTGGATCAGAATACAATGCTCCATATTTCCAACTTCTGTTAGCTCACGATATAGCGCAAACCGCCACCCAATGTCATCGTTGAGTATTTGTCCTCACGGCCATCAGGCTTTGACTCCACCGGTCACGACTTCTCATTGGAACTTCGGGAATACTTCTCGAAGCTAGTCACCAATGAGCACCAGTTCAATTAAATTTTTTGAGGGGGTTGTGGAGATTTGGAAATATTTCAAGTTGTTATTCATCGAAGACTGACATCAGTTGGAGGAACGAAACAGCTGTCCAGTGCTCCCAGGTTTCCTTTGTTCCTCCAACTGATGTCAGTCTTCGATGAATAACAACTTTTGAGATTCATAAATATGTAATGATGGATAGTGGCTAGCAGTGGAATCCATGACGCGCATTTCGTCCTGTCTGGGACTCCTGAGGTGGATGAACCTACCTCCCAGTGAGTGATGTAGTTCCCGCCGGGATTCGAACTCGGAATCGACCGCTTCAAATGCCAGAGTATTATCTACGAGACCACCCAGCCACGATAGCCACTTCTTGTGCGACAGGTATAGTTTTAGTATTATTGCTTGTATTATACCATCGTTGACTGAACCGAACTGATCGGTCTCCATTGGCATATGGGTTCCATCATTACCATAGTTAAAACACAAATAATATCGAAATATACGCCCATATGCTAATGGAGATCAATCAATTCGGTCTACTCAACAATGGTGTAATACAAGCAATAATGCTATCAGAAATATGTGTTGAAACTGTAATCAACATAATTATAAAGGAAGGGACATACTAATGAAAAATATGAGTAGTTAGAAACCACTCAGGCTGATCTGTGGATTTTGTCAGCCAGATCAGGATAACTTAAACACCGAATGGCTGTTTCGCTCATTTAGAGTCCAACTTATCAGTGATGTGCCCAGATAACTTCAGCTGAAATGTTCAGATCACCTGAATCTGGTTAGCTGACTTGGATAAACTGGTATATTTTAAATAGTACGCACAGTTTTCAAAAGGACGCTGTTGACATCTCATTTAAACAGTGAGAATTCTACTCATCAGTGAAAAAATATCAACTTGAACAACGTAATTTGTAAATGATTGACAAATAAGAAAAGAATTTTTAATTAAAAAAAATATGAAACTTTCGCACTATTGTGATAACTACTATAATCAAGTCCGTCACTTTGTTGATCAAACGATAACGTAGATAATGTTTTGATCCTTGGAAGTGATACGTTAAGGAATGGAATTTTTTCACTGACTTTGTTGACATGACTTTATAGTTGACCAGATTATATAACTGATATATTTAATCAATCACTAGAGTGTTATGGATATGATTCGAAAATTTTTATTCATCCTGTTTTCTAGAACATTATCAAAGATCTAACACTAAACAGACTGCATTGGATTGTCCAGTTAACAAGCATTTCTTTCCTTTATCGGTCAACACTAGTAACTAAACTTTAACTTTGGTTACCTTCTAACTACTGGGTTGTCTTGATTACCTTACTTTTTATGAATTCAGCTGTAGCATAGTTGGTTCAATACTAAAGTCACTCAATATGACGACTAGTAGCTTAGGTTTAATTCTCATGGCTACTCTCAACTTCAAGGAAAACTGCCATGCGTTACTCTTGTGAATTCAGTTTGGTGATTTATTTATTAGTCATATATACTAGGACCATGGCAGTACTTTAAACTGGTTGACAAGATACTCAAGAACGCGGCGATCGACTGTACAATGGTATCTCAGAACTTCGTAATAAATATACCCTACAGTGTTTTCACTTGTACTGTCACTTAAAAGTCAATATGAATGAAATCCTATTCGTAGGCAAGTTTTGTATTGCTAGACTTTATATGATTTAAGAATGTATGCCTAAGCTGATATTCAGTAATTGTTGTTTTGATAGTATTTTTTACACAATAATGATGCTTTTATGTTAGCTACACTTTGATGCATCAGTGTCAGACCAAATATAAGCATGACTAATAAAACTGTTTAGTGTGTTACGCAGCGCTTCATGTCGCAAAGTTGTTGAAACTTGGTTAATGAAGGTGAAAGATATAAGAAGGCCTCAGGTATTTGGCAACTGTTTTCTTCATAGTATCACTCACTAGTCGGTAAACGAATGCATGAGTTATGTGAAAGACCGAGTGACTTTTATAGTACAGCTAGTGACCGTTTTGATAGCGATTAACCAAGTAACAGTCTTAATCCTCACAAATATAATGTCACTGTCATATACTGCTATGGTAGTCATGCGTATCGTCAGCGAACTAGAAATATCCACTTAAAACTATTGCCATAGAGTTACATTGTGTTTAGTCATCATGTTATCCATTGTGTGGAGCTGTGGCTTATTGGTTTAGGGAGATAAATTTCAACAAGATATGATTATCAGTTCACACGCCCCTCCATTAATCAAAATTTAGGTGGTCAGATAGTATCATTATTCTTCACTCAACAGGTGTCACTCACTGCCTATTGCATTAATATGAAGTACAAATCAACTTTTTCGATTCAATTCGTTTCATTGTTCATGTAAGTGTAAATATGTTTCTTTAAAGCTGGTAGTTTAAAACACACCTTTTTTTAAGTGTTTTAAGATAGATCAACCAACCTATATCATAAATGCAATAATTCAAACTGATGAAGGTAAATAGTAAACGTACCACTTCACAGAATTCACTCACCTGTAGTCTGCTAGAAAGACAACTCGACGAAAGAATGAATAAATTTATTACATTGAACATATCTTTTATTTCTCCATATACTGTGTTTTGTTCATTGTCTGACAGTAACTCATCATTTTCTAGAATTGCTATACAGTCTAAAATATTTAATATAAAATCTTCAACTATATTTGAAGCTAATTTTGACGTGACTGCATTCTGGCTGAAAAGATTTGTGATTAGAATTAGAAAAACAAGACATCTTTTATGCACAAAAATATATAACATTATATATATATATATACATAAGATGTTAAGGTTAATGTCTGTCTGATAAACGCCTTTTTCAGGTTTTTTCCAGCTATTTCTGTCCTTTGGTAGTGTGTTACATTATTCTGCTTTAAGATGTCGCTGTTATAGATATCACTTGAGGAGTTATGGCTCAATGGTTTGGAGAGTTAACTCTGAACCAATGGGTTGCATTTTTCACACACCACTTCACCTTCTTAGGTGTGGGTAACCAGGTAGTATCACTAGACCTCACACAACGGGTATGGTTAATTGTCTGCTGCATCACCGTGCACAAGGTTGTTAAGTGACTCATTATTTTCTCCATACCTCACTATGAGATTAGAGAAAGTTCTGGCAGATATTCTGTTAACAGCATACATAAGTAGTAGACAACTATCAGTTTGCACAAATTTCATAACTTACAATTCATTTTCTGAATAGTCTGCAAGTTACCGAATAGATTTATTAAACTTTTAGGCTTGTTTGGGATAGAACTTCGAGCAATAAACCATATATAACTGCAGGAAAATATAACTGTTGCCAATACATATAGCAGGATATTTTCTTGATATATTTTAAAGAGTTTCAGATTTAATTAGGGTAGTTTCACATTAAAAAAGACCTAAATCTGAAAAGTTGTATTTCCCTGGAATGTTTTGGTGTATCTCATTTTTACTTTTTGAACAAAGCAACATCCAGAATTTGTCTTTTGTTCACCATTAACTGTAAAGCAAACATACTGCTGGAAAACAGGTAATTAGAAGCTACTTACAATAATATGCAGAATCTGTCAGCCAAAAGAACAGAATCTTATCATTGGATAATCGTTTTCATTCAACACTAACCGATTATTAAGGTTGCTTTATTTTGTAGGTATAAATATGAGTCAGTAGATGAAAATGTTGGGCTTGAAATCCAAATATCTAATTTTGACTGAATGATTTCCACAAGATATTTTCCTAGTATCACAATTTAGCATCTGGAAGACAACCCGGCTACTTAAAATATCATAACTATAAGGACCAGATAATTGTAAATTATATGCAATTTTTCATTCATATTTATCACTAACATGTCGTCTAGGAGTACACTATGTTATTAGATATACATGAAGAATCAATTATTTTCTTGTGAATTTAGGATGCACTGATGATCATGTTCAACATGATATTGAAACATTTGCTAACTGAAATCCTAGCTCATAGAAAAACTCATTTTCAATATCCACATTCTGAGCTAAACAAATTCATCACCATGTTTAGAAGTATAATTTCCTGACTAATTCAATTGCTACAGAATTTGAAATTTGATGGGAAGTGTGAAGTACTGTTATTTTTAGCAATAATAAAAATTTTCGAATTCTGAGTATGTTAAGCTTACACTTCTCCATAAATTTATGCATCAGATTTGTAAACTATAGTCTCCTAATTCCTAATATGCAGATTGTATAGCCAGGAGTTCAAGTTCACATAAGCAATTTTAGTCTCCATAGACCAACTAGATTGTCAGTGACCAGTAGTCTTCCAATGTTCATTTATCTCATGAAAAGTGAATAGATAGGATAGTGCTTTAATTTACTTTGACTTTCTAAAGTCTAAGATTTGGAAACTGTAAAGATGAGTAGTGATAAAAAATGTTAATAGGGATTGTAAAATTTTAAAGATGGAGTTATTTTCATGTCGCTATTTGTTTTTTATCGGATTTAAGATTGTGTTTTACAGAAATTGCAGTGAAATAATCCTGGTAAAAATGAGTTTATTTGTTTTGACAACGATGTTCAAAGATTGGCTGGTAACTTCTATTGTACACGATGTTATTCACTAACCCAAATATATAAGTTTTTCAGTGATGTTGAGCAACAAGTCAACAGCAGGTGTGGTAGAGACTTGAGGATTCTACGTAAAGTTTATGAGGTACCCACCTTATAGGGTAATATAATGGAGGCTGTGAACTCCTTTCTACTAGTGTTGTCATTATTATTCCTACTAGTGTTACTGTTATCTTTTCGCTTTTTGTGTGTCTGCACGAATTTCTTGGTAAACTGCAGAGGATAATTTTCAAATATAAGTACTTCTTTTACGTGTTTCAATTCCTTGTTTAGGTCCTTACACTGACTAGTCAGTTTTCTAGCTCTATCACTTTGATATTTGACTAATCCTGCCTTCACTGATATTCGATTGGATGACTTGAAGTTTAGATGCCTGTTGGAATGTGTTTGTTTTCTGTAGAGAGTAGTATGTAAGCCACTATCTGTTCTTTGTTTTATCCTGCAATCCAACGTGTGTAATTCTCTTTGTTTATTTTCTACCTCGTAAGTGAATATGGATTGCGTTTACTACTGAGCTTGTATGCATGAGAAAGTTGTGGTAAAGACTTCACTAAAAGCCAAAACGATGCCTCTCTGGACCAAGAGTGAACAAACACATTTTAAAATTACTTTACTAAAGGACTGAGAATTTTTTCATACGTATAACTTTATAAGTGCATATGCCTATCATTTCACTGGACTGTGCAAATTCATGTCTGCTAGTAGAAGTAAGACATTTTAGAAGTCGGCATGAATAGACATTTTGTATGTTCAACATTAGGCCTACTTACCTGTACAAAAAGACAATTTTTTCACAACATTCTCTGGTAACTTCAGCTTGTGATTGTAAAGTAAACCAAATAGCTCTTTGTGATGGTTTTTGGCTGTTTATTACAGCTTGATTATATTTTAGTTGAGTTTCAACATCATCAGCCAACTCCTGAAGTATTTTTGTTTTTTGACGATAAAATTCAGCTTTTTCTAAAAGCGTCATCTATATTTTATGATGAAAGGATATTATTTGTGGACAGTTATGTCATCAGTAAACATATTTATTAAATATTCAGTAACTGATATTGTGAATTTGGTGTAAACTAAAGTACTTAGTTGATGTCAAGTTTGTGCAGTAATCCTGCCGACTTCGTAGGTTTATAAATTCTAAAAATAAGTTTACCATTAGTGATAATTTCGAGCCGTTAGATAAAATTAGCATGAAAATTTCTGTTCATTTATGTCATACATGCTAAGCACGGCCTATTCTATTCAGAATTAAATTCTTTTCTATCCCCTTTTTTTCTTCTCTAGTTTTGTAAAGAACATCAACTGAACCAGCGTAATAAGAGAAAACATTTTGATCCCTTAGAAGTTGGACTACTGGTAAATTCGTAAACCCTTAAACTCTGAATTCGGTGCAGTATGTCGTCCTAACCAACAGATTTATTAATTAGAATGACTGTTTCGCCTATCTTTGAGGTGAATCCAATCAATGGAACACCTTCAATCAAGAGCATTGTAATTACTGATAGATAGTGGTGAGCAGTGGAATCCATTACATGCATTATGTCCTATTTGAAACTCAGTCCAGTCAGAGATGGTGATTTACGAGCAGTAGCATCAAAACTATACAATACCTCCTGCACGAGGGATGTTTATCGTAACTCATTGTCCTAGAGGATAATGCTGTAGTATGTGGAGCGGCTTTTTCTGAGTTCAATTCTTAGTGGGGACAACATCACTCACTGAGGTGCAGTTACATCCGGCTAACGAGTCCCAATTAGAACAAAATGAACGTCCTGTCTCCGAGTGACAGCCACTATCCATCATTTATATTAAAACTGGAGATACGAGCGATATAGAAGCATTCAAACAGATGCCCGTATGCCAATAGTGGTGGACCAATTCGGTCCAATCAACAAAGGAGATCTTTAAACGATGACGTCAAAAAAAACACAATGTGTTTAAGTGTAAGACTGGTTCACAAAAAAGTATGTGTGGCGTTGACTCTTAATATGCGTACTCACTGTAGTTCAATAGCCTGCAGGTGTAGCTTACTTCTTGACTAAAAACAGGTGAAAGTTACTTCAATGCTATTTAATTCACAAGCATTATGAGATTTATGTGGTTGTAGACTTAACGTGTGTATTTTAGATGGTATGATACATAGCCATTTGACTATCTGAGTTATCCGTAGTTTGGCAGACTAGTATTTATACTGAATGATGACTGAAGGTGAAATGAAAATTTGAACTACGGCCGGATTCGAACCACCTACCAACGTGTTACCGGCCCGATGCTCTACCAATTGAGCCACGAGGTCCGACTACTGTCCAGATTTTTATTTCACTTCAACCACCGTGGGATTCGCCCGACTACCATCTGAATTCGTGACGCGTTGCTACCGCTTGATCGTACTCACACTGGCTGCGTAGTCAAGACTTCTAATCCTAATCCAAATCTAACGAAATTGGAAAGGGGGAGTTTCGCATTGATTAACATTTGACTATCTAAGATATCCATAGTTTGGCAGACCAGCATTTATACTGGGTGACGATTGGATGTGAAGGTCGGACCTTGTAGCTCAGTTGGTACAGCATGAGATCGGAAACCCTGCGGCCGCTGGTTCGACTCCGTACGCTGTTCAAACTTTCATTTCACCTTCAATCATCACCCAGTATAAATATGAAAGGTAGTTTTTGTCAAGTGTTAGCTTATCTGCTTTGACCACTGAAACTAACTTGAGTATTTTTGATGGCTGGTAACTCTTAAATAGAAGTATTGAGGCTAAACCTAATGTATATTTGTATTTGCGGACATTCTTGAACGCTAACTATTCATAAACAGTAGCTCTGACTGATATTACATACAGTCTGTATTTGTGTAAGTCACAGCGTGTCTGAAATGAAGTAATCCCAGCGTTCCTTACAGAAGTCTGGTCCCAGCTTCTTCAGGGAAATAATCAAAATTAAAATATCAAAGGTATATAAATGAATTCAAAAAACGTGTATTTAATCTTCTTGTCCAATCCTCTTCGCACAGTCGTTGTCTTTCTAAAGTATGATTACTAATCATTTAGTGTAAAATTTCACGTCTCTTGTTGTGTGTTTAGCGTGGTGCTGTTATTCCCATTCTCCATGATTGTAAGTACGAGACAAAAAGGTCACAGGTGATAGATATAATAGTAATTATCATTTTAGTTATCTGAGATAGCCGTGGTTTGGCAGATTGATGTCAATACTGGGTGATGATGACTGAATGCCTAAACTTTCATTTCACCTTAAATCATCACTGATCATCAACATAATAGTCATTCGTTGATTCTGCAAGTACAATAGCGCATATAAGGTGGATATGCATATCATTTCAGTTAGTATATAGAGACGAATAGTACTAACGAATTTTTCATTGATTTATCGGAAGAGAATGGAAATGAGTGGTAGTAGTGATAGAGGTGACGACAATAATGAAAATGAATCAAATTAATCTAGATTGTGTTGTTGCTGGTACAAAGATAATAAAGTTCAAAGTGATATTGAGGGTAAATGCTAGAGCTACTCTTTCTGCTTACTAATTGGTAATTGTCAAGAGACAAATAACTGTATTCCGTCTAGTCTGTTCAAAGTGTCTGGATTTCCCCATACATGTAGGGCTTTGTCTGTCAATGTTTCTTGATATGACCCAAAACCTTTTTGTAGAACTTTGGTTCTGTCAAAGTCAATGTCAGTTTCAACTTTATTATCTTTGCACTATCAGCAATGCACAACGTGGATTGATTTGACTTATTATTAACGTCACCTCTATCATTACTATCCCTCATTTTCATTCTCTTTTGATAAATCAATGAAACACTCGTTAATACTATTCAGTTCCATCTCCTAAACAAGCTGACATACACATCCACCTCCATCATATATCCTACTGTACTTATAAAATTACCAAGTGACTGTTACGTCACCTGTGACCTTTCAGTCTCATACTACCATCAAGGAGAATGGGGATGGTAAAACATACACACGCGCTAGCTATTCAGCGAGAAACGTACAATTTCACACTGATTGATCAGTTATCATAATTTAGAAAGACAATGACTATGCGATTATTTCCCTGAAGAAGCTGGGACCAGACTTCTGTATGAAACGCTGGAATTATTTCATTCCAAACACGCTGTGATTTACACAAATGGAAACAAGATCTAATGTCAACCTTTTACTCAGCGCCCAATATTTGCCATACTATTTGGTCAAGTCTTGATCATAGTTTATCTAAAGTAACTCTGATTCCTGGCCGGGATCACGTTAGTAAATGACGTACTTTTCTAAGACAGATTTCAAATATGAATGGCAGTAATATATGTGAAAAACTTGGGCACTGTGGTAGAAGTTAATTCCATATTAAATTTGTTCATTTGATTTATAACACACAGTGGTCTAGTATTATTTAATTGATGACGTTTCGAGCATAAATTATCACTGCTCATAATCACATCAATGTAATCACACCAATTTCGACATTTGATTTTTATAGTTATATCACATTATATGAGTTATTTTTATTGCTGGCAAAATTTTCCATATCTCTGGAATAGGTGCTGCGTCATTTCAGTAATTACTCTCTCTCTCCACCTAATTATATTGGACTTAAGAACAGTGGCTTCATCCCATCCACCGTATTGTGTGGTTGCGTGTTAGTACATACAATGCAATAGCAGAGTTCTTTCTAGATTACTGATCTTATTTAGGTCTCTCATTCTATATTTAGCTAAATTCCTATATTCGGCTATTCTAACTCACCCCGACCAACTAGTTTCACATATATACTTGACGTGACGTGACCTGACTCACAGTCATTACATGCAAGTTGACAGATTAGATTATTCTGCTTAATTAGCTCTGTCGCATCCTTAAGCCACCACATAAAGCTAATCTCTGAGTGAGTTTGTAAGTTTAAATGCCACCCTGATTTCAGATCTGTTGAGGATGCTACTTAAAGTTTCTGATGTAATTTCCTTGTAGGGTAACACAAAGGAAGCTGTGAACTCCTTTCTACTAGTGTTGTCATTATTATTCCTACTAGTGTTACTGTTATCTTTTCGCTTTTTGTGTGTCTGCACGAATTTCTTGGTAAACTGCAGAGGATAATTTTCAAATATAAGTACTTCTTTTACGTGTTTCAATTCCTTGTTTAGGTCCTTACACTGACTAGTCAGTTTTCTAGCTCTATCACTTTGATATTTGACTAATCCTGCCTTCACTGATATTCGATTGGATGACTTGAAGTTTAGATGCCTGTTGGAATGTGTTTGTTTTCTGTAGAGAGTAGTATGTAAGCCACTATCTGTTCTTTGTTTTATCCTGCAATCCAACGTGTGTAATTCTCTTTGTTTATTTTCTACCTCGTAAGTGAATATGGATTGCGTTTACTACTAAGTTTACATGCATGATATGATTATGAGCAATAATTTATGCTCGAAACATCATCAATTAAATAGTACTAGATCACTGTGTGTAATAAATCAAATGAGCAAATCTAGTACGGAGTAAATGGCAGTAAGTCAATTAAGTCATTAATATGCTTTTAGGATCACAGTTATACAAATATGAATTTGTGAAAAGTGTGCTTTTATAGGGCTGCCAAATCCTAGAATTTTAATGAAAACCATTTAGCTCCATGACACTTAGTAGGTGAATATACCTTTAAATTTTATAATTTAACACTTACGTGTTATTGAGCTATACATCAATTGTCAAGCTCTGTTTGTGATATCCTACATCCAGTGAACAAATAAAATCTGAGGATAATATAGCTGAAGTTTCCCTACTTTTGAACACATGTCATGTAATATTTCTTACGAATCAACTGAAACTTGAGCACGTTTCCAGGAAGCAATGCTCATTTATCAACTTTCATATCATCAAATATCTTTTGCATTTTTTATCTAAATGTAAAGCCTGAGTATTTATCTCGTATCTTGTTTCATTTTGACATTTTAGTAGACGTATACATTCAGCTTTGATTGTTAAAATAACTATAAAAAAGCACATCTGAAGGTGATAACTGCTCCATATAGAAGATTACTTGTAAGTGGGATACACTGATTGATTGGTGCTTAATTGGACCATGGCTACACTAGAATCTTCATTTTCTAATTTTGGTCTTAAGATGCTTTAGGTTGAGATGATGTTTTTTCAAAAAAACCTTCTTTCCACATATTCCTCATCTTGCATCAAACTACAATAGGATTTCAGTATGTTAGTTGGTTGGATACAACAGCAGAAAGCCTTGGAAATAGTTTTGTGCTTCTTGGCACTCATCAGCAACAGGTATCTGCAATCTCGAAGGGACTGACTTCCCCTCTGATATTAGATTCCATGTCACTCAGTGTTGATGTCATCGACATTACCACTGTTCTATTTGAACAGCGGACACCAGTTCTCATTAAGTGGTAGACCACTGCCAAAAAGATAGAAACCTAGGTCTATAGCTTACTTCCGGTTACCTCTATTATTATTATTATTATTAGTCCCTTGGGTTTCCAATGGAACTTAGAGCTTCAGTAGCACGTCTCCAGTGAACTCTGTTCTCCGAAATCTTTGGAACCTGGCTCCACGACAGCCCACAAGCTCTCATTTCCTCCTTGCACAATCTCCTCCATGCCACCCTCTCCTCGGACGCCCAACTCGTCGCTTCCCATGGGGATTCCACTCGAGCAACTGGCTTGACGCGTGATGTCCCCAGTCGGCCTTCTCAGTGTATGCCCAATCCTTCTCCACTTCCTTCCAGTGCACATTTCTTGAGCGACAGCTTATTGCTTCGTTGGTTCGTTCCCAGAGCTCCTTGTTGCTTATTCTCATTATTCTGGCCATCTGATCTTCAGTACCGAGTGAGCCTAGGCGGCAGTTGTTGATGAATGTCTGTAGTTTGTTGGAAATCCCTTTCGTAACGTGCCAAGTCTCTGAACCATACAAGAGCACTGACTTGACTGACTTGGTGTTGAAAATCCGGATCTTGTTCTACATGCTGAGTGCAGAAGATCTCCACACTGTTTTCAGGCTAATGAACGCCTATCTCGCTATCTTTCTGATCCTTGCTTTGATATCTTCGTCTGTGCTGCCTGCAGTTGAAACAGAGCTTCCTAGATAGGTGAGGGAGGTTGCTTCCTTTAAGTTTCTCCCGTTGATGCTGATTGGAGTTTGTTGTTGTTGTTGGAGTTGTTGGTGCGGTATCTTCATCACTTCTGTCTTCACTATATTCACCTGAAGTCCCGTCTCCGCTGCCTCACCTCTTCTGTCAACTTGCTAGTTTTCGCCTGTAGATCTTCAAGTTTGTGTGACACTAGACATTAGACACAAGTCATCACTGGCGAAATCCGGATCTTCTAGGTTCTTTTCCGCAGTTCAGCTGTTGTATCCCCCTCTTCTCGCTCCTCACTGTTTGCTGCATGATCCAGTCCAGTCGACCACAATCAGGAATATCATGGCTGATAGTAGACAGCCTTGTTTCACTCCTGTCTTAACTTCAAAAGCATGACTGAGCTTCCCATTGTGAATTACTTGGCATATAAGCAAGGCAAGTTAGTGGATGAAATTGTAAACCCTCATGGACTGATGTGGCCTAGACATGTGCTATGCATACCAAGCCACTGCCCACCTCATCGTACCATGCTAGGGGAAGTTGGATCAGGTTGGAAGAAGGCTCAGTATGACCAGAATAAGATGTGGTACTAGTGCATAAAGCCCCTGACTCTTGGTCTTAGCCGTGCATGGAAGTTTAGACTACCGAACTGGGATCGTCCTCAAGACGAAAGGAATCAGTGGTTGAGGACTCTTGGTGAAATGCTGCAAATATATAACAGCGACACAAATGTATTCACATTTTGACATCTTATGAAGCGTGATTGCCTTGATTAACCATAATTTTTAAGTTTTCTCTATCCACTTGTTCTTTATGTACCTCTATGAAGTGTTGCAACTTGGACCGCTGCAATTGTGTGCAAGGTCTTATGTTGATTTCATCTGTCTATCATAGGTGTGGAAGACTTTAAAAATGATGTCAAACTTGTTAATAACTAATTGATTAAATTTCAGTGATGTCGTAAAGTGACAGAATTTGGAAATATGAATCACTGGATTCCAACCCAGTGACTTAATGGTAACGTGCTGGTCACGGAGCTTGAATGTCATGCTTCCGATCTCTGGAAGGAGTCGTGTGTGCGCGCCGCCGAAGAGTCCCACATCAGGACGAAACGGACGTCCAGTGCACATACGTTTCCAATGTCCCTCCAACTGATGACAGACCATGATGAATAAAAAATAACTGACTAAGTAATTTTCAATTACCTTTGATAAACCTTCATCATTACTAGTTAACTCTTCAGCTACACTTTCGTTAGTTTCCGAGCCAAGTAGAACGCTCAACAAATTGAACATTTTATCAATCGGAGTTGCTTTGCCTGACAGTTTTCCAGAATCCAATTGATCTCTGATGCGCATAATCAGTTGAAACGGATCTGATTCCAGAATACTAAATTCTCTAAGGGAAAAATATCCTTTAGTAGTAGAAAGAAGAAACTGATTTTCATTAAACTAATTTAGTTGGTTTACTAAATTTATCCCTTAATGAGACAGTAATATTAACCTTGATGTGACAGAGGCATTAAAATCTCTTCTCGTGGGGTATATGTAATAGAGGAAAGTAAATAAAACTGGAATTTTTCGTAAACAAATTTTTCTAGTCGCTATTAATATGTCGCAGAAAAATTTCATGCTACATAAAGTGTTTCTGAAAGTTTTTTAAAACTGAAAGCAATCAGGATACCAGCGAATATGAAATACGGAAAGACATCTATGCAAAATCCTATATGACTTTTGGTTAAAACTTTATCAGAAGATATATCAGTCTCAATAAAATCTCTTCTCACGCTATTCTTACCGGCATATATGTGGTTAACGCTGTCAACAAGAGCTCATTTCAGTAGTATAAGGTTTGTTTCTTCGGAGAAAGTCAATAGACTGAAAAATCGACCAACAAACTTTTTGGAAAATATGATGTTTTTCAAGTAAACAGATTATAATATGACTGGGAGATGAACATAAATGAACTTCACAAAATAGAAATTTCTTATAAGGTTGAAATATTCGAGCAATCCTGGCTGTATTTTCTTGAGTAAACGGTTTTACATAGTAGTCACAAGCTTTTGTTCCGAAATACTGAAGCACTGACGAAACCCTTGGTTATTTATACTTGTATTGCATATGAATAGTGAATAGTGCTCAAAAATAATGTAGAATATTAGGTGGATTGTTTATTTTGCCTACAGATTTCTTAGTTTTCATGGTTAAGTACGTATGATGCAGTTTTGGCTTAGCTATAATTACCGTATCGATGAAATGACTTGAAACCTTGTCTGTTCCTTAAATAGGAAAATAATGCTTTTATTGCAATAGGCAAACATTCCTGCAACTGTGTTGGTATGAGGTATATTTAGATGTCTGTGAAACGTGACAAATGGGAAACAGATGATATTGTTCTGAGGTGATGAGTGTCGACACAAAGATAAATATGATTTTTCAGTTATTTCTAGTGTTATTATTCACAGCTAAGATTACGAACACGGTAAACTTATTCAGTCTGAAAGGCAGAAGAGTGGTATTCAAGTCTCATATCAATCTGATGTGATTTCTGAAATCTAGTGGTTAGAGTTGTTTTAAACACTTACTAAATGATAGTGTTTTGCCTGAAATCACGATCTAGAATCTTGGCTAAATCGTCTTCAATGACAATCCTTCCGATACCACAGCTGAGCAGCTGAGAGGCTACTAGTGGTGTAGAATATCAGTATAAACAGCATAATTGAAAAGTCACGTATGAATTCTTCATCCTTTTTATGGTATACTAGTTCAGTTAAGTAGCTAACATGATCAGTGTATCTGTGTCACTTGAATTTTGATATACAATTTCCCTCAGGTGAAAGAACCAGCCTTCTAGTGATTAAATGGCTCACTTTATGCTAGCGAAATAAACTTTTCGGTAGTATATGCAAAACAGTGATTCTTCCGTGTCCAAGCTACTTGATTTTAATCTGCATGATGGTCATCGGTTCCTGATAACTGGTCAAATTTAAGTGTATATGTATGGCGTGATTTTATATATTGATCTGGTTCTTTGAGTATCAAGACTCAAGAATTCCACAATTCGTAAAGTTTTTCTGGTTGTATTACATGACGCTTGTATGTAGTGGCACAGTAAGATAAAAATGTATTGAAACTTTCCTATTCTCCAATCACCTTTTTACCGGTGTTCATTGTCCCCTACCTAACCCGGTCTGATTAGTGAAGTAAACGTGCTGTGAAATCCTGAAACCTAGTGAAAACATGAAGTGAATGACTGATGTTATCACTTGAATTGTCTGAACTGAAAAGATTTTATTAATTATTATTTGTTCCAGGTTGTCTAATTTAAGGGATTTTTTCTCATGTGTTTAAGCATTTTTATATATTGGTTAAGGTTTGTCTTTTAGGAAAAGCTAAGAGAATATGAATGAAACATATTCAGCAGCTGTTATATCCTACTACAGTAGTCCTGTAAAATTGCAAGCATAACACTTTATAATATAGTTTTGATGCTGTAACCTGCATATCTTCGTTGTAAAATTGGGTCAAACTGGTCGGTCATTATTTGCATATGGGCTGGTGTGCAGGTGCCTCGATAATGCCGATATTTTCAAAGAGTGGCCATCATAACTCCGTAATGTAGTGGATAACACTGTGGCTTTTAGAGAGACCGGTTCGGAGTTCGTGACTCAGTGGGAACAATGCCACTCACTGGGCCGGTACGTACATTCAGTCGACGAGTCTCAAACAGGGAGAAAAGCGCCTCCTGGATTCCACTGCTAGCCACTATCCTTCATAGGTATTTTATTTGCCTGTTTATTATTCAGTCTTGAGGTATATACAAGTATTGCTTTCTTATGACAAAGGGACCGAGTAATTTTTAGTTTGGTTTATTCTATCTGCTTCGTCTCTACGAGTTAGGTTTCCTTATACAAATCTATGGGTAACAATGATGTACCCGTTTGCATGGCACCGTTTCGTAACCGATAATTATCAAAAAGAGAAAGAAAGACTTCTGGATCAAACTAAACATAATAGATATCAAAATTTAATGTTAAGAATAAGTACCTTATGCACCAACAAAGAAATATGCTTACTTTTCGAACATTGAAAGAACTAATTCAGCCTTTGATAATTTACTCGGATCTTGGAGGGCTAATGCAAGACTTTCTAAACATAATGATGGAGAGGCCATTGTCTGTGATTCCCTGTTCTGTTCCTCTAAAAAATCTTTGATTTTTGATAGAACCTCTTCTTTATCAAAGTGGATTTGTGATTTTCGTCTTCGTATAGGTGACCTTTGTCGTTGTCCACTAGTGTCTGTCTTTAAATCAGTTTTTTTGAAATCATCATGTCCAGTATCCTTTTTTAACAGTGTATCTAAGTCTTCATGTTTACAAGATTTTCGGGAGGGTACATACGACTCACTATCTTCACTGAAAATTTCATCCTCAACACTTTCTTCAACCTCTTCTTCGACAACCATTAGCGTATGTTTTTGAGGTTCAATACCTTTTTTCAGTGATGATTTTCTGTCCTCAATTGTTTTCTTTTTCTTAGAAGTTAACAACTTTTCTTCATAGTGACATCTCATTCCTATTATATGTTGCAAATCCACTTCATTTGCTTCTTGATCTTTTTCACATAAAGAATCTCTGGATTCAACTGTGCCTAAACATTTTTGCTTCTTGTTTTCTGTGAAATGTTGATGCTTCCTTTGAATTTTGCACGTTTTTTGTTTAGTCTTTTCCTAACATATATATATATATATATTATATATATATATAATATAATATAATATTATATTATATTATATATAAATATAGGTCACTTTCATGATTTAAAATTAGGATTATGTATTCTAGAGATTGTGTATTTTTCCATCACTTAGTTTAACAATCTGATAACCAAAATAAAAGAGTTATATTAGTATCTTTAATGAGACTTTATACACGTGAGTCGATGATGAACACAAAATATTATTACAGATAATTTCCCAGGGATATATTCCACCTGATAATAATGACTAGTTTCAGTAATAATAAAATACACATTATATAAAGAATTCATTTCACCTTTAAAGCTGATTATTTGTGTTTCAGTTCACAGTCAAATCTTATAAACTTACAGTTTGTCATTGTTAACACACTTTACATGCAAGAAAGAAATCTTGGAAAATCCTTGGCAATCCATACTTAATACAGATTTTTCTCTATATATTCTTGCAAAAATATTCTGCAATGATAAATTGGACTTAGTGTTTTCATGATATAAACTTGACTTACTTTATAAATGATGAAAAATACTCCACATTTGTGTCGATACTGAATGTGAGATTAAGTACATTTCGTATCAGTGCTAGATTGCTGGAAGTGACCAACCAGAAGATCTGTACCAAGGTTTCATGATCACTGGCAGTCATGTGTAAGGCGTTTCTAGAACTTCAGCGGAGCTGATACCCCATCACTTATTTGAACCTGCACCACTTAGTGACAAAATAAGTCAAAGACTTAAACAGTAAACTACTGGGGCCATGATTAACTCTTTATAAGACTGAAATATGTACAGAAACTTGATCTACAGAATTCTATCAGTGCTGAGCTCTAAGAATTAGACAAATACACCAGTTACCCAGTAATGACTTGTTCATGAAAATCATCTAGTCCTATATAAGAGCAGTTTTGTTCCCTTGAGGTTACAGAAACACCTTGTTGAAGACTGCCAACAAACATGAAACCTAGGTCAAGCAGCGCATTCTACCGGCAGGTTCCAACCGTCTAACATCAATCAAACTGTATTGTAATATTGGATTTCAAATCCTGGTGACTCTATTACAAACTAATCGACTGAATTTGTTCCGAACTTAGGAATAAACAACATTCAATTGGTTACTCTCTAGCAAAAAATCAATGCACTTTTGTGTTTTACTTATTCATTAAAAGTCGTATACATAACTTAGGCTAATATTTAAAGAAATTCTTGACAAAATTATTTACAACCTAGTAAATCCATATTTTGTTTCTTTGCGCAAATTTTCGGAATAATTATTCCTTTGGATGAATAATATAAGTCTATGAAATGAATTAATTCTGACCCAGTGTCTTAACTACTAATGAGAATATTACTGTTGTAGAGTCATATACTCCCCCAGAATCAATAGCCTAGGGTTCGACGAGATTCAACATTGAGGCTAATCATCACAGATTTATCGGACTTGATAAGCTGAAGGAACACTGTCAAGCATCCACAGCATTTGACATGCTGTCGTGTTACGTTGCACTGCACGTAATCGATTTTCTAGCCAGCTGCTCGGAAACCATCGATATTTTGGCTAATTCTCTCAAATATACTATTCCATGCAAGTACCCCATTGCGTTCTTTCAGGGTCTCGTATTCGTGGGTATACTGCAAGTACGAATAATTGGTGATTAGCCTCGGCATCTGTCTAGTTTGCACAAGGGCGATTCCTAAACTGTGATCCCTATTATCATCATCATTCAAGGTATTAAGTTCTTCAATTCAGTATAAATAAACACTAATTTTATTTTTAGACATTTTTCCTTTCTTCCTTTGCAATAATTATCAACATTTTCACCTTCATAATGTTCCTTGATAAGATCATCGAAACATTAGGCTTACCCGTTCGCCTCGTGAGTGTCCTCTTTCACTTATTTATTATTTGTCACTTGGGTTCCCAGTGGAACATACAACTTCAGTAGCACGTCGCCATTTCACTCTCTTCTATACAGTCTTCCTAACCTGGCAACAAGACTGCCTCACACCATCTCTTCCATGTCACCCTCGCCTCAGACGACCAACTCGTCGTTCCCTACTTAGGTTCCACTCCACGACCTGGACTGGCCTGATGCTTGATGTCTCCAAACGGTCTTCTCAGTGTATATCCAATTCAATCCATATTCACTTTCTTCTTCTGAATATTTGTTGGACGATATATTCTTGGTTGGTTAATTGGTTGTCACAGTGAGTTCCTTGTTGTTTATTCTTACTGGCCTTGTGATCTGATTTTCAGTATCCAGTGAGCGTAGACGGCAGCTGTTCATGTATACCTGCGGGTTGTTGGAAATGCACTTCGTAACGCGTCAAATCTCTCGACCATCACATAGAAGTACTGACTTGATTGGCATTAGTGTTGAAAATCTGGATTTTGTTGTTTATGCTGAGTGCAGCGTACTGAAGTAGATATCCACACTGACTTCAGATTAATACAAGAAGGCCTGTCTTGCTATATTTCCGATCCTGGCTGCTTTCACATCCCCATCTGTGCCTGTGCCGCCTCTAGTTGAAACGATGCTGCCTAGGTAGGTATGTAGGTGAAAGACACAACTTTCTCTAGATTTCTACCGCTAACGGCGATTGGCGCTTGTTGTTGATGTTGTTGGTTCGGTATATTCATTACCTCTGTCTTCTCTAAGTTCACCTGAAGGAAGTCCCGTCCTCCTTGGCTGCCCTGCCTCTCCTGCCAACTTGTTAGTTTTCGCCTGTTGATCTTCGACTTTCTGTGACAAAACATCAGACATAAATCATCATTGGCGAAATCCAAATATTCTAGTGTCTTTTCATCGGTCAAACAGCGTATGTCGATCTTCTTACTCCTCACAGTTTGTTGCATGATCCAGTCAAGTCCAGCCGATCATAATCAGGAAGATCACTGGTGTTAGTAGGCAGCAAGCTTGTCTTACTCCTGTCTTCACTTGAAAGGCGTCGCTGAACTCTCTATTGTGAACCACTTGGCATATAGTATCATATAGTATATATTGCTGTTGAATGAGGTTAATAAAGGTTTGTAGCACTAAAACCGTAGTGTTGAAGCAGTTGTCAAATTACTTCTGCGTCGATGCTACCGAAGGTCTTTTCAAAGTCGATGGAGTTGACTGACATTCTATGCTCTGTTCTAGGATGATACGTAGCGCAGCGTTGCAATTTGATCCGCACATGATTTATTCTTCCTGAATCCAGCCAGCCTCTTCCGGTCATAATTTTGAATCCAGAGCATGTTTTAATCTCTCCAGGATGATGCGGCCCAATATTTTGCTTGGGGTGGAAGGAAGCATAATTCCATGCCAATTCTGCAAAGACTATGGTCGCCCTTCATTGAGACTTTGATAAGTTAGCCCTTCTTCTAACTGGCAGTTATCTTCCCTTTCTTCCTTCCTTGCGAACCTTCTGCAATAGTGGTGCGGTGTGAGAATGTCCGTTGCCGTCTCTGCGTCTGTTTCCAGTGCTTCTGGTGGAATTCCGTCTGCTTCTGCTGCCTTCTTGCTTTAAGTAGCTTTATGGCTTTCATGATTTCTGCTTTTGTCGGATGGTTTGTGTTCACTTATAGTTATGTATGTGAGCTGCTGGTGATATTTCTGGCCGAGTTATAGGTGGTAGTGATGGTCGATTCAGGAGTTTTCTGAAGTGATTAGCCCATTGTTTCCTTTGTTTCTCCTCTTTGGTAACTAAGTCTCCTTCATTATCTTTTATTGGCATCATCTGTGATGGTCTGTTCCCAGATAGTAACCTAGTTATTTGATATAATGTTGTCAGGTCTCTCCTACCAGCAGCCTGTTCTGCTTCACTTGCCAGTGTGTCGTAGAAGTGTCTTTTGTCTTTCCGCCCACTGTTCTTCGCTTCTTTGTCCAGTGTTTTCTATGTTGTATTCATTTCCTCTTCTCGTTGTTCTTCCCTGCACTGCACTGGTCCACCCTCTGCTTCACCATCTTCTTCTCCTTCCTCTATCAGCTTCCATGTGGAGATTCGTTTAGATCCATTCCTTGTCTTGCTTCTTCTTTCTTCCTAACACGGTTATGCAGGTTTATTTCTATGTCCCTTTCAAACAGTCCCAGCGTTCTTCTACGCAGGTTTCTTCAGGGACATCGCTCAGTGTCTCCCATTTTGTTCTGTTGGCTGATGTGAAGATGTTCTTTATAGATTCGTCCTTTAGTATCTGTTCTGTGTATTGAACTTGAACTGTGTTCTATCACTAATTTCTGTGAAGGCTTCCAACTTGATTTGGAAGGTCCCTCTCACTAGAAAGTGAGAGGTTAGAACCTACATCTGCTCCCCTTCTTCATCTGATCTTGTCTCCAGTAGACTGTATCTCGACCTTCTGGAGATTGAAATGAAGTCGACCTGATTTTTAATGTAGTGTGTCCTGATGTCTGGTGAAATCAAATCTGTGTGGTTTTGTGAATATCCTTGTGTTTGTACACGCTACCTCCAATCATCAAATCGTTGAATGTACAGAAGTCTGCAAACAGTTCTCCATTCTCATTCATTTCACCAAGTGCCTGTCGACCCACGATTGGTTCCCTTTCTATGTTGTCTGCTCCCAGTTTGGCATTCATGTCACCATGCCATCTGGGCTAGGGTCTTGTCTATTACTGATTGAAGTTGTCTATAGAAATCCTCCTTCTTCTCTTGATCTGCATTCCATGCTTCTATGCATACTTTTGCCTTCATCAAGAAAAGACACATCGGCCAATCGATTTCCCGAAGGCTTTCATCAGCTGGCACCAGTGCGTCTTCCAGGTTCCAGTGAAGAACAAATCTATTCTTATTTTTTATATTTCGTCTGTTTTGAGGTTTCTAAGCGACTGGATTGATTTCCCTGGGTAGGGCCACTAGCCTCACGCCCAACCTTCCCTCTTTTTCCGGGCTTTGGACCGGTTAATAAACTGGTGAACTAGTAAACTAGGGGAGGTTGATTATCTTCTTTACTACATGTGAATTTTCATACCGGATTAGAAATCCTTTGAGTTATTGCATAAAATGCAGTAAGATGATATGTTATAATTCACGTACTAGTGGTTATCAAGCGAATCTAGAACACGTGCTTCGTTTAAGTTAGGACTCGTCAGCTGGGTGTACTTGCACTCAAGTGGGTGATGGTGTGACTTGAACCCCACGCCTATCACTTTGGTCTATTCATCCAATTCAGTATAACAACAAGGAATAACATGTATCAACAAGTAACATACCAGTTTATAGAACAAAAACAATTATTCACTTCAAAATACTTCAATTACCTTAAATAATTCGCTTGAAATAAATGCATCCTGTACAATGGAAAAGAATGAAACATGACAAGTATGAAATGAGAAGTATCCGAAAATTCTTGCCTGATTTTCAAGTCACTATTAAAGGGATGTCGACATTCTGGGGTTTAAATGATTTCAGCTTGTTCACTTATTTAGTGAATCAAAGACCATCTCATTTATTCCCCATAATCTTGGTAGTAAAGTCCTCCATTAAACTCCTGGCGATCCAGAAGCAATAAAATTATTCTTGGAAAAAACATATATTACAAGCCTAAATTAGAAGTTAACTATTCACCAACAAGTAAATTATAGCAGCGTATATTCAGGTAATATCAGGACATTCACACAGGAACCCATATGCCAACATAAGTCGATCAATGTGATCCATTATAACAACCAGAAATCACAACCACCTATGAATAGATGTAATTAAGTTTATCGAATATGAGAACCAAAAATATCGTTGACATTGAATGTGTTATAATGCAGAATAAAGCAGTTCAGAAAATGTATTTGTTTACTACTGATATACACCAAATACTGAAATGACTGACATTGACAAACTCAACTTGGAACCTTGCAAACAAGTGTATCGGCTCAAGTTGTCACATATCACAGTAGTTCAAAAAAACAGGTGGATGGAGAAAGACTGAAATCAAGAAACACAAGGTTTTATGGGAGAATAGATAACCTGAAGATAAACGTTAGTGCGAATAATAAAACTTTAGACGTCAAGGAATGAATAGATCTGCGCCATTGTTACTGATTTCCGGCCAGTTCACCAAGATTCCTCAACCACTGATTCCTTTCATCTCGAAAACCCCAGCCAGTTAGTCTACATCTCTCCACACGGCTAAGACCAACACTCAAGGACTTCACTGACTCCCACCATGCCTTCGTCTGGCCACCCTGAACCCTGTTTCCAACTCATGCAACTTTGCTCAGGATGACTTATCGAAGTAGGCAGTGGCTCGGTATCTGTAGTACATATCCTGGCAATCTTAGTCGACTAGGTTTCACAGCTTCATCAGTCAACTTGTTTGTCTTGTACCATTTCACTGGCCTCATCACTGCTCACATGATGATTCCAGTATACACTAGTAGTTCTACGGAGACGGCTATGATCGCTGCCTGTAATCGCTTCATGTCTTCTTTTTTCAGTGGTCATGTCTCAGATGTATAAAAGGACAGAACGGATTGCAGAGCAGTATACTCGTTTGTTGATAGATAGTCAGGGCCACAGACTCAGCAAGCTGGTAAATGCTGAACTAGCCTTCTGTATCCGAGCTCAGCAACCACACTTTTCGATTGGCTGATACACCCCTCCCAAGTAAGAGAATTGGTCAACACGTTTCACTATTTCACTGCTTATCCATTAAACTAAAGGTACTTGCAGTGGACCAGTCCTAGGGCATCATCTTACATTTGACAGGTGCGAAATAAGTAGCACTATTTATTCCTCTCATATCCCTTGTATTTTGATGTCAAGGTAACATAGTAATAAACTGATACTGTAGTATCCACTTACTAGTCCTGCTGAAACGATTGCAACTCAACGTCTTAGCCTATTCATGAATCATGACATTCTCTAACAAAATGATAGGATATACCGAACGAACTTAAATTTTGAAAGGATATAATTTACTTCCATCTAGTAAAGGTAGTTAAAGCATTACAGATATAACACTGTGTATAGAAAAAAATTTATACATATACAGAAAAATAGTAGTGCATTCTTGCTGTTAAACTTTAGCGTCTGCTCTTTTTAGAAGATGGAAAAAACTGTGCATATTTATGATTATTATGAAATTGTCATCACATACCTCAAGCATGTCAACTTGATCGTTTACATCAACACCAAAATTGCTTAGAATTGTAAGTGCAGACAGGGCATAGATAAATGCATCTTTCTTGGCTTTTTGTTTACCACTTTTAGATTCTTTCACAAAATGAAAACACTTGGAAAACAATTTTTCTGCATAGTTTTTTATATGTTCAAAGCATTTTTCACTTATCCTAAACTGCCTATAATGATAGTGAATAAAATAGTCATTTCATTCTGTGGTCATTAAACGTTGAATAAAAATAATATAGTGTCTTGTAACTAGAAGCAACTGACAAAAATCTCCGTTTTCGTGGTCAGTCGTTGTACCGATAGCATGTGTAGTGGAAGCTTTGGGTGGCTGATATATTGATCTCTAGAAAAGCATCAATTCCATCCAGGTTTCGGTCCTATTTCCCCTTGTATATACGTGATGCTTAGGAAATTAAGACAAGAGAGTTTATGTTAACCTTTAGTCTTGCAGTTGAGTTTTATGCTTGTTAGTGTTCGTCAGACAGGTGTGCCTGCAACCTTCCAAATATTGAGCTTCCACTGAAAATTTAAACTTGCGTTGTCTGTAGCTGAAGCAGAAAACGTTACCTACGTGTCAGACAAACGAAAAAAGACTTTCGATTTAGAAATGTTCCGCATGAGGAAAGTATTTTATGGACAGTATACTCGGAGGTCAAAGCTCTGACTCATCGGGAATAACTTATTATTATTACTTGTCCCTTAGGTTCCCAGTGGAACATACAACTTCAGTAGCACGTCGCCATTTCACTCTCTTCTATACAGTCTTCCTAACCTGGCAACAAGACTGCCCACAATCCTTCATTTCTTCCTCACACCATCTCTTCCATGTCACCCTCGCCTCAGACGACCAACTCGTCGTTCCCTACTTAGGTTCCACTCCACAACCTGGACTGGCCTGATGCTTGATGTCTCCAAACGGTCTTTCAGTGTATATCCAATTCAATCCATATTCACTTTCTTCTTCTGAATATTTGTTGGACGATATATTCTTGGTTGGTTAATTCGTTGTCACAGTGAGTTCCTTGTTGTTTATTCTTACTGGGCATGTGATTTGATCTTTAGTATCCAGTGAGTGTAGGTGACGTCAGCGAAATCCTTTAGATTTCTGTCGCTGATGGTGATAAGAATGAACTACGTTTACAAAATTATGTAAGACGTCTGAAAGGCCAAAATAATAAGGTTAACGTTTGATCGGGATTACCGATACTATACCCCTGTAATTTGAGCAATACGCAAGAGTCAAGCAACTGAAGAGTTTCACTTACATTACAATCTAAACGATACATATTGATTATCTTTATAATATTGGAATAATAAATAGTAACCCATTACAATCTTCATGTAATATTGTAAGGTGATTTGATTTTTCATCGAGACCATAAAAGTATTGTTCAAGGGACTGTAGACTGCAAATCTTCAAGATTACATGACAATCATCTAAAGTGAATATTAAGTGATGCATGTCAGTTGATACTCCTTTGAATATTTCAAGATATAGTGGTTCAACGGTATTATATTCGTCACAAGACCTTAATGTCCTGGGTTCAAACCCTTGCAAACACAAGGATGCGTAATGCTGAGGATTCCCATACTAGGATGAAACAGACTACGGTCAAAATGGGATATTTCAAGGGAATTTTATAAAACAAACTGAATCATATACTCAAAAGAAATGGTTTAATCCGTAATAACTAAAATGATCCTATTACTCAATTCGAAAACTCTTGAGTGCCATGTATGAAGTTTGTACAACGCCTTAACGTTTGACACTATTTGCACAAGTCCGCACAGCTTATCATTTGAAAGCTTAGGATCTATTACGTTTAACTACTTTTGACCAATTTTGTTTACATTTTGTAAAGTCGTTGTCTTCTCTATGTCATTATTATCCACAAGCATATCGCAACAATTTAACATACAAAACCCAGAACAATAATGTCTATACATAGATTTATCTGTTCATCTTATATGAAAGTTTTCCCTTCACTAGGAATTGAAAACCAAACAACAATATTTATACGAATTTTGACCACTACCGTTCGTCACTTTAAGTTTTAATGTTCCTAAATAATTACCGGTCTCATATAAATATCTCTGAAACATTGAATTTGATCGTGTTTACTGCGTAAAATATATCATCGTCAGTTGTTTCATTTTAAAGTGATTTAATTTATATTGTATGTTGACGTTGTAACTTATATTCACTTATCTTGGATAGTATTTCTTGATTATTGAACTTCAGCTTTTTATCATTTCGACACAAGCTGAATCATCTGTTTGACTAACAATGGATTTATGAATGGAACTCGAAACCAGTCATCGTTAATTTGAACTTTTTAATGAAAAAAGTGAATTTTTACATAGCCGTTGAATTTATTTCTTACACTGAATAGTGGTTGATTAGTTAAATACAACTTTCCATTCTATTGAATAGCTATACACTGCTGAACTAACAGATTTCAGAGAGATGGCCACATTATTAAGCACCATAGAAGTAATCAACGGTTAATTAATTTTCATCCATATCGGTAAAAATTGTTTTTACAACAACATTTATAATGGTAACCAAAGCTTCTACTTAACTTTTAAGGATAATTATTGCTATTTCTGCCTCACGTAAGTCATTCCAGTCGTAAATACTAATTAAGTGTTTCAATAGATCCTTTACAATTGTTTCCTTCTTCATGTTCTTTGGTTTTCCTGGATACCAGTCTGCTTTAACGAGCTCTCGCAGGTATTTTTCCTGAGTCATTGACTATGTAGAATAATAATAATAGTAATGTGAGTATTTATAACACTTTCTAACACTTTAGTAATATTTTAAGTATTTATCAGTATAAGTATCAAAATCAGTGAAGGATATCTGTAGAAACAAAATAAAAAACCGATTCGGATTTTTTTAGTGAGGATGACTACTGGAATTTCAACAAAACTTCCACTCCTATTCAAATGTTATAGTTCAACACTCCTATTATAACATTAGCATGAAAATTCTTTCTTTGTTAGTTACTAACCGTTATTTTTTATTGATTAAATAACAAAATATATGTGAACAGAAGTCAATGAATGTGATTTATTTATTATCTGGTCGAAGTTATAAATTGGAATAGGTAACACAGAGTTTTTTTCTCGCCTATTGTGAACTCAGGTTTAAGATGAACACTGGATTTCAGTTTCTGTCGTCACCAGAATTCACCGAGATAGCATTCATGTTAGACTTGCTGATGGCTTACTTCTTGAGTGATGTCGAATCGTTTCATAGTCTATTATCCTTTTGAATACCTGGGTCTTAAGTAAAGCATAAAGTAGACTCTTCATGTCCTTGGTAACGTAATCACATTAAACTTGTCTGCTTAGGTCCTAGTGCGTATTTAGAAGTACGTTCAGAATAATAGTTGTCTTTTAGAAAATGACTGGATTAAGGTAAACGTATGGAAAAATCGTATAATTTTTCAAATCCTCGTTTAAACCTTCTGGAAAAATAATCGCCCGCAACTTTTGTTTTTGTATGGTTAATGGTATTTTTAAAGTGATCAAAAGTTTAATTAGTCTAAAGTTCCGGTTAACATGTTCTGCATCTACATTTTACCTTGTTCGCCTGCAAATAAATAGTCACTATCTTCCAAACTACTTATACATTTGAACAGTAGTTGAAGTGGAAAAAGCGAAGTGCAGAAATTTTTGGCTTCCTTTCACTTTCTGTTTGCTATTTGCATATCCATGGAATCGGGTAAATCTGTGATACACACTTTGGAATTAGGAGGTGAAGTGAAGCGAGATTTCTGAAACCAAACCATGTATTAAGACCTCAGAGACTGATAGATTGCTTATGAAAGCAGAACTCAACAAATTCCTCATTGCAGTAATCATTAAGTTGCAGCTAATAGGAAGTTCAGAGCATCGAGATAGAATGTTCCTAAACCAAGCGCTATGTTGCATTCTATGGATTACTGAAGAAGATCAGTCGTTTTATACAATGAAACAAGAAGTTCAACATTAAAATATCCTTACATCCATATATTTGCCTAAAATTTGCGGGGTTTGATTGGTTTCAGGATGGTATTCATCATAGACTGATATTAGTTGGAGAAATACTGAAAATCTATGATGGGAGTATGGCAGGGTTATAGCTGCGCATTTCTAAAGAGTCCAGTACTAGAACGGAACAGCTATCCAGCGATTCCAGATTTTCAATAGTTCACTAACTTATATCACTCCATGATGAAAACCACTTTGACATCGATAGATATTTCTTAATAAATCAACCTTATTGACATTCAATCCAGCAGCTGCAAGCATAATAGCATTCATACTGAGGTAATGAAACCAATAATCAAACTGTAGTAGGTTATGAAGTGATATTATGAATGAGGTTGTTCTCCTGCCTATTCTACATATCATACTTCATACTCGTTGATCCAACACCTTTGTATTCACTAATAGACTCATGATTATGCGTTATTTCAAAGTAACTTAGTTCAATGCAATAAATTTTATAAGTTTGTCATGAGCTTATGGGTAGATGATTAAAGGAGAAACTAATTGAAGTGTGTTTCAGTGAATGAAAGATTCTTGAAAGAACTCTTTAGTAATCTCTACTGGTAAATATGATTTGTATACAAAGGAAAAATATCTTTTTCTAATGGATTTATTGTGAAAAATTATCAAAAAGTATGATTCGAAACTTACAGTTGGCATGATTACGTCAATTTTAATCAGTTCATCTAGATATTGTTTTAAATAATGTTTTTAAAAGAGATAAATGTTTATTCTAAATATGAATTCATCATATAAGCTTTGACAGAAAACAAACAAACAACAAAATTTGTAATTCGCTCATTCCATACACAGTATTACAATGACTTTTAGTTTTTCTGCCCGCTTTGGACTGTGATACTTATAAAGCAGCCCATTTCATGAAACGTTCCTTTACGGTAAGAATGTGACTAGAGTATTTATATGCCATTGTACCACTTGAGAATGACATCGCTGAAAAGAGTGACTTTGCTAAACGTCTTTTGCTCAGTGACTCAATAGGGATTTTCAAACTACTTACAAAGTATTGTTACTTGTATTATATCCGGTGGGAACAACATCACTCACTAGGAGCCAGGTGCATCCAGCTGACGAGTCCCAAATAAGACGAAATGCGCATCCTGGATTCCACTGCTAGCCACTATCCATCATTACTATACTAACAAAGTAGTGAGTATTTTTAAGTACAATTTCTTATTTTCCTCTTATTGGTTTTATTTGGTGTTACCGGTTGGACTGTTGAGTTGACATTCAGCCCTATGGAAAAGATCATTTTTATTCTTCGCCAACTGCAGTTTTTGGGCTGTTTAATATTGTATTAAAATCTTGAATTCGAGTGAGTGTGAGTTTGTATTCATAACTGTGGGCTATGTAGAACTATTAGTTATTCTGGAGCAAAAGCCAGATAGTCTGTCGACTTTAAACTACTCTGTCGCAGGGGAGCCTAGTCACATGAATCTTGTCAAGCTTTGGATGATTCTGTATTCCAGAAAATTATTTACACTGAAGTTATTTTGCAGTAATTTCCAAAGAAATACGCTTCAACAAAACTTTAGCTGGATATCATTCATTTCCATCGATCAAAATGACCTAAAGTAGTGTTTACTAGGAAGAAAACCCGTTTCATAAGAATCTATTTTATCAGTATAAGTGCGCCAAAAGTCAGGACTAAAATAAAATCTTTTCATTGCTTAAGAATTCATCTATATGCTGCGTTTTCAGTATTGTGACCAGTTTTCGTCCATGTCATTAAATGATGACAGGGTGTACAGCCTTTTGGATATTTCCACTTGCAAATTGAAAATGTCTGGGATGCTGTTCTCATCACCTAAATACAAATTGTTAATAGTCTGTATTGATGACCCATCCAACAGTTGGGAGTGAAGTGGCTGATGCATTGATCACTTCACCTAATTAAGGAGTTGGGTCAGCCCTTCTGGGTCCGGAACCGATAAAATATCTGCTTACATACAAAGGCTCAGCTGGCCAAATTATGCCACTTTTTGTCCTGGAGTGATATCCTGTTGCTGAGTGTCCTCCAAAGAGGTTCGCTGTGCTCTACCATACGGCTGTGAATCATGGTCATCTTGGAAGGCATGAAAAGATTTAGGATATTCGACCACTGCTACTTTCGTAGCATAAACCAAGGCTATGTATAAAGTTTCAGGTGAAAGTGAAGACTCAGCTCATAAGGTTGTATATCTTCATCGACTAAAGTGGCTGGATATGTGTTAGACGTGTCCAATCACCATATACTCTATCATGCTATTTTAACTAAAGTAGAGATACAGCCAAGATAAGATATGCCATATTTCATAAAATCCTTGGTTGTTGGTTTGAGCCATGTTGGGAAATGTAGACTTCCAAGTTATGGTCGGCATACCAATCAAAGTCGGTAATCTGATAACTCTATATTGTCCGTCTCTCTATCCATTTGCCTATCTGTCTATTTGTGATATTTACCTCCATCTTTAGGGCTATAGTGAACACAGTGTTTCTGAAGGCTTTGCATCCAAAATAAAACAGTTGAGCAGTGATGTTTGGAGTTGATCTGAACTCAGGTGAAGGAGTAATAATCGATAAAAATGTTTACTCTTAATGTATGATTATGTTTCTTCGCAGATATTTTGTTGAAGAAGATTAACGTCACCACACTACTTAAGCATCTTCTTCTGCCGATTACCTTCAAAAAACGTAATTTGACCTGTTCCTGAGCCGTTCACATAGCTTTCCACCTACAGGGACGTTGAGCTGAATTGACCTAAAATCTCTTTGTAACTATGAAAGTATACGTACCAATGCATTTTCGAATTTCTTGAAATATTTATCGATGTGATTATACGGGATCTTTCCATATTTACGCATAAGATATCAGTAATTTCATTTCCCTATCTAGAAACTAAACTTTTGATCCTGTCGATTATTTTAGACAAGACAGGTAAATGATTACCGCAGTAAATGTGAATTCACCTTATTTTGAAGTTTCTTCTCAGCTACAGACAACCTTAAAATACAACAGATGTTTTAGATTATCAATGAATGAAAGTTGAAGATGTTACCATTATGGACAGTGAATTGAAATTAAAAGAACCGTACCAAAATAACACTTGTTATATGAATAGAAATTAAAATTTTCTGTAAGCGCATCAATTTGAAAACCTCGATGACCTCAACTTTTCTATAATCTAGTTCACGTATATAATGGGTATAAAAATGAAGGCTTTTTCTCTTTTTGACACTAACTTTTAAATATATACTCAGAAAATCTAATCGATGTCCCATAGAAACATGTTGTAATTGCTGTATTCCTGTTCTAGATAAATACGAACATTAACCAACCAATGTTAAACGACCTTAACTTCTCATTCGTTGTCTGTTTATTTGCATTCAGAAGTTTGTTTTCAGAGATTCCTGGTGTTTCCATCTGATAGCAAATTTCAATCAAACACAGTTCTCAGTATTTTCAGAACCTTCTTTCTCAGTAGACTGTTTATGTTTGGTAAACAGTGCTGATTGTAGTTAACATTATTAGTCACTATGTATAAGTTGAATTTGACAACTGAAATAGCAAAAGTTGATTACGAAGTTATCAGTTTGACTGAGACAGCCGGTGTTGACAGACTCTTATTTGTTGCGCAAACGCGCTTTCGGAAGTATGAAGGGATGATACTGTACAGCCATCATTGTCCATTATAATTTATTGATAAAATATACAATAACAGCGAATGACTGAAGACTATAGAGCACCTTTTCTCAAAGTACATAGATTAAACTCCTAGCTTTACAAAACCAATACCGTCAAGAAAATCAGTGCAGTTTACAAACTACATGGATTGACATCTTGCATTTACTTTGATAACTGGTGTTGGTTTGTGACTAGGGACCTTTGAAACGTGTCAGACCTTAAGAATTACCAAACAAAATTCTATTATGCATAAAAAATCAACTCTAAAGCGTTGAAACGTCAATGCTGTTCAGATGTCCACTGAATGGTGCCGTATAACTTTTCCGCATGCTTACCAGTTCGCTGTTCGAAAACCGTACATTAAGAGGCTAAAATTAATTAACATATAGGTTAGTGTTAAAATAAGGACAATCTAAACTTCTAACCAGTCATCTATAGCACTAAAAACTACAATTTTTGTGAAAATATATATCCGGCATTAACTTACTAACTTTAAACGGGAAATAAGCTACTGCTAGACTTACCTGGATTATTGAAATCAGCTTCAAATCGTATGGCGTTACCCTGGAGAAATTCTTCATCAGCTTCTTGAGCAACTCCTTCGTCTTCTTCTTCCGTCTCCTCTTGTTTCTCATCACTTCTATCTATACCTTCACTTTGTGTTGCTAGACGTCTTTCAAAGTCGTCTACAGAAGACTCGTTGAAGTAACTTTCTTCACGTACTTCTTTATTCTCCTCAGCTTTTTTGCTTTCTTTCTGTGAACATACTGCCTGTAATTCTTCCTCTTCTGCATTTTGAATAAATATTCCTGACAGCTTTTTATGGTTAGTTTTTCTCTGATTTTCAACTGCCAGTTTATTTGCTTTAGATATCGCTGGCAGCTTGTCATATTTTTCGCTAACTTGCCTTTCCTTCATAACTTCTTTAGTTGCGTGTTTGTTTACGGATATTTGCTTTCTACTGAGTTTCGATGTTATGTGATCAGCTTTTTCCGTAATCTTCTCCTTGTTTATTTGAAAATATAGTTATTTAGTGAAACATATATAAAAGAATTACAAATATGTACTCAATATATCAAGCGTTTAGTAAACAAATGTAATACAGAAGTGGAACTCCTACGCAATAATGATCAGCTCAACTTATCGATAACAAAGGTTTAGTAGGACTGCAAAAGATTCGGATGGTTGTTTACGATTAGGTTAGTGCTATAGTGAAGTAGACATGTGGAGCACTGCATCGATGTGAAAAATGTTTACTTCATACCCTTTAATATATATATGTATATATACATTGTGGTAGATGCTTAATTCAAACCCTAAAATATCGTAATTAGTTAATCTACATGTAACTGTGAATGATCAGTGACTGCGAAATATTTCGTCCAACTTCTTGCAGTATTTTATTTGAGTATGAGTTTACACCTACACTGAACATTTAAAGGGTCCCAGTAAGTGTTCATGAAAATATCTTTATTAGAACTATCTAAAGTTTAGACAATTTGAGACTGACGAAACGTACTCATTTAGCCAAGGACTTAAAGTCCAAAGATACTTCAGCAAAAAAAATATTTCTTCTTACCGGTTTTACAGTCATACCGAAAATTCGCATTTATTTTTGATATGACGTCATCCAGTTACACTAAAAATTGTTCACATGAATGAGAAATTGTTGGAGAGAACAGAATAAAGGAAGGGTAAGTGAAGAAAGAAGTCGGTCATGAATAGAACAAGATTCACCAACTGCTGTCGAGTAATGTGAGAAACGACAATGCTACTACTATTTATGACACAACAAAGTAATATGAAAAAACTTGAAATAGTACTACTTAGGCGAATTTAGAGAAAGGCAACTTAAAAATCATTTTTCAAATGCAGAATGTGAGTTTTCTTTATTAGTACCAAACGGAAAGAAAACTCAACGTATAGCCTAACACGCAAGTGCATCGGTTCAAGTTGTCACACTTCACATTAGTAAACAAGGAACAGATGGATAGAAGAGTGATATCAAAGTAGGCAAAGTTTTGTGAGAGACTATACGATCTGAAGATAATAATTACTGCAAGCAATCAGGCTTTATATGATGTCAGGGAGTGAATATGTATGAGCCATTGTGACCGATTTCCAGCCGTCACCAATGAGTACTCAACCACTGATTCCTATCGTCTCACAGACCTCAGCTAGACAGTCTATATTTCTTCATACGGCCAGACCAACAGTTAAGCCACCCTGAACCCACTTTCAACCTAATCCAATTTCCCTTAGCATGGTATGTCCAGGTAGGCGGTGAATCTATGTATGCAGTAAATGTCCATTCATGAATACTTAGTGCTTCAGCTATGCACAAGAAAGAAAAAAGTGAGACTAGTTAAGATTATCCTTGTAAATAACTTGAGAAGATGAAGTGCATGAAAAAACTGGGTGACCTGACTCCATAATGTTCTCATAGATGGTGGGTGTTGTTATCTTGTACTTGTCTTTTAGGAACTAACCAGAATACTTTTTTCTAATGTGCTTTAACATGACTTGTCTATACTAACCAATCTTATCAATTACGTATGAAAGATTCACAAAGATGAACACCGTTTTTTAAAAGTTATCGTATCTACTGTTAGTTCAAGAACACCGTACACAATCTAACATGGTAGAAAAAGTGTTAATTGCATTTTTATGGACGGCTCTTCACTATTTTATGGTATTCGAATCTCAGAACTGCATTCAAGAACTTTGTTTCTGGTGTGTAGTGGGGGTTTGTTCGAATATCTCAACTTTAATCAATAAATATTCAATGATATCTGTTACTCAAGGCCGATGGTTTATGTCTAATGTCTTGTCACATAAACTTGAAGATCTACAGGCGAAATCTAACAAGCTGACGGATAGGCAGCGAAGATAGGACTTCTCGTGGAAGTAGAGAAGGCAGAGGTGAACAAGATCCGGATTTTCAACACTAATCCCAGTCAAGTCAGTGCCTGTATATGGTCGAGAGATTTGACGCGCTACAAAATGCATTTCCAACAAACTACGGACATATATCAACAGTTGTCGCCAATGCTCAATCCATACTGAAGATTAGGTGGCCAGAAGGAATAAACAACAAGGAGCTAAATTCCATATTAAATTTGTTTATTTGATTCATAACACACAGTGGTCTAGTACTACTTAATTGATGACGTTTCGAGCATAAATTATCACTGCTCATAATCACATCAATGTAATCACACCAATTTCGACATTTGATTTTTATAGTTATATCACTTTATATGAGTTATTTTTATTGCTGGCGAAATTTTCCATATCTCTGGAATAGGTGTTGTGTCATTTCTATTACATATTTTGAGTGTTGATTCGATGAACAAAGATTCAGTAGCCAATCTCTCTCTCTCCACCTAATTATATTGAACTTAAGTACAGTGGCTTTATCCCATCCACCGTATTGTGTGGTTGTGTTAATGCATGCATAGCAATAGCGGATTTTTTTTCTAGATTTTTGATTTTATTTATGTATGTTATTCTATCTTTAGCTAAATTCCTATGTTCGGCTATTCTAACTCACCCCAACCGACTAGTCAGCGTAATTAACAAAACTTGAAAATTCAGCTCTGATTAGTCTACGGAATGACAATAATATAGTAATTGTTAAGTCTGACAAAGGCAATTCAACAGTAGTTATAGACAAATTAGATTACTTCAACAAAATTAACGAGCATATCCAAACAGGACAGTATGAACAAATCAAGAAGCTCTTAGACACGATCATGAATAAAATCAGGAAATCTAGAGCAGATCTGATACCCCGACTAAAATCATCTCTAAGGGAGTCTGAACGGTTTAATTTAATGCCTAGAACTAATAATCCTAGCAAAATTTGTGGCACTATTAAGGTTCATAAACCAGGTTATCCCATTTGATCCATAGATGACTTCAGAAATGCCCTAACATATGAATTAGCAAAGTACTTAGCTTCAATACCGTACCCTATTAGGAACCATTCAAATCCCAGACTAGTAGACTCGTATGAGTTAAAACTAAGGCTCAATGACCCACACACAGAAGAGAATGAAAAAATGGTTAGCTTCGATGTAACAAGTCTGTATACTAAAATACCAAACAATACCACACTGGAGGCAGTCAGAAGTCAACTAAATATTGACTCAGAACTTACTCACAGAACTAAGATATCGGTTGATGAGATAATATTAGGGACAAAGTTGTGCCTGACCTCCACAGTAGTCGAGTTTCAGGAAAAACAGTAGGAGTCGCAACGGGATAGCCAATGTCTCCAATCGTAGCAGATATATTTGTGGATAGTTGGAAAAACATGACTTCACAAAGGTTTGGTTCCTGCATCAAAAATATGGTGACAATATGTATCTGACACGTTTACTGTGTTGAAATCGGAAGATATCGACAATTTCCCCACACATGTAAACTTAGTAGTAAACGCAATCCATATTCACTTACGAGGTAGAAAATAAACAACGAGAATTACTTATGTTGGATTGCAGGATAAAACAAAGAACAGATGGTGGCTTACATACTACTCTCTACAGAAGACAAACACATTCCAACAGGCATCTAAACTTCAAGTCATCCAATCGAATATCAGTGAAGGCAGGATTAGTCAAATATCAAAGTGATAGAGCTAGAAAACTGACTAGTCAGTGCAAGGACCTAAACAAGGAATTGAAACACGTAAAAGAAGTACTTATATTTGAAAATTATCCTCTGCAGTTTATTAAGAAATTCGTGCAGATACACAAAAAGCGAAAACATAAGAGTAACACTAGTAGGAATAATAATGACAACACTAGTAGAAAGGAGTTCACAGCTTCCTTTGTGTTACCCTACAAGGAAATTACATCAGAAACTTTAAGTAGGATCCTCAACAGATCTGAAATCAGGGTGGTATTCAAAATTACAAACTGACTCAGAGATAAGCATTATGTGGTGGCTTAAGGATCTGATAGAGCTAATTAAGCAGAATAATCTAATCTGTCAACTTGCATGTAATGACTGTGAGTCAGGTCACGTCATGTCAAGTATATATGTGAAACTAGTTGGTTGAGGTGAGTTAAAATGGCCGAACATAGGAATTTAGCTAAATGTAGAATAACAGACCCGATAAGATCAGTAATCTAGAAAGAACTCTGTTATTGCTATGCATGCATTAACACAACCACACAATACGGTGGATGGGATAAAGCCACTGTACTTAAGTTCAATATAATTAGGTGGAGAGAGAGAGTGATTACTGAAATGACGCAGCACCTATTCCAGAGATATGGAAAATTTTGCTACCAATTAAATCAACTCACATAAAGTGATATAACTATAAAATCAAATGTCGAAATTGGTGTGATTACATTGATGTGATTATGAGCAGTGATAATTTATGCTCGAAACGTCATCAATTAAGTAGTACTAGACCACTGTGTGTTATAAATCAAATAAACAAATTTAATGTGGAATTAAATTTTACCACAGTGCCCAAGTTTTACACCTATAACAAAGAATTCACTTTGGCCTGGCAACAAACCAACGAGGAAGCTATCTCTCAGCAAATATACAGAAGAAGAAAACTTAGATGTGCTGGATTGGACACAGACTGAGGGGACGGTTTAGGGACACCAGTCATAAGGCCATGCGCTCTAGTGGAACTTAGGTGGAGAACGACGAGTTGATCGTCCGATGGTGATATGGAGGAGATCATGTGAGGAAGAAATGAAAGATTCTGGGCAGCCGTGGAGTCAGGTTAAATAACTTCATAGAAGAGAGTGAAATAGCGACGTGCTACTGAATCCCTATGTTCCCTTAGAAACTCAAGGTACAAATAGTAACAATAATGTAAGCTGGGTTATATAAATAAAAGTAAGCAGCTTTAGTAAACAGCCTTACCTAATTGTATTATTACAGTAACTAATTGAATTCGTAAATAATTATGTAAAAACAGCTTTTGGGTCTTCAAATAGATTAACCTACTTCTTTCTTTCCCATAATTTTAACCTTTTTTTGTGTTTTCTTTTCTTCCTGTGAAACTATTTCTTTCGAAGTTGTCTTTACATTTGGAGGTGCTTTTATTTTCACTTGTTTTGTACCCTCAGCCTGTAGTTGTGCAGTACTAGTTAATAACTTCTTTTTCTCGTCTTCATTTCCTGTTGTAGTTGTGATGGGTTTGAGAGTTACACTCAAGTCACCAGTAGTATATGTTGTCAACTTTGTTCCTGACCTTTCTTGTTTTTCGGAAGTGTTCATGTACCTCATATCTGTAGGTGTTCCATTTGATGGAGACTTGGACATTTTGATTGTTTGATCAATTAAGCTTTTTACTTTTTTATCATCGCACATTTTAATGGCTTCGATTAATTCATGAGGATCTGTTATATTCAAAGCAATAGTCATTTTATGTTTTGCATTTATATTTTCACAAATGGCTTCATAAATTATGGTTTCGGCCTCTTTTCTGTGCATGCCTTGGCTTGTCAAATAATTTACCAGTATATCTCTTGTCGCTTTGAATCCATGTAGAAATAATTCTAGACGTTGTTTATCCCCAAGAAATGCTACAAACTGCAATTTTACACCATGCATAACGTCCACAGTAGTTTCAGGGTTCAACATTGTGTCAATGTGTTCCATCAATGTCCGTGGACCACCAAGTAAGCTGGTTAGATAAAGAAACGACCATGTAGGACTAAGTATACTATTTATCATACCAACACGAACATTCCTAGATTTGAAGTATTTATCCAAAACCTCAATGGCCGAGGTGTCCTTTTTAACAATATCATGAAATAAATCCATAACTTTAGTGAGTGTACCCCATTCTTCAGTCATTTCATGTAAATATGTCTTAACTATATCAGCTGGGAGGATTCGACCTCTTTCTTCTTCTTTCTTTCTTCGGATTGTCTTATCATCAATTTGCCCTAGACGAACAGTCAAATCATCTTCTTGTTGTGCTGCTTTATGCTCCATTTCTATTTTAATCTGTTGAGCTTCAGCTACTTCTTCAGCAATTGCTTTTCTCGTTGCTTCAATTTTACCTAAATTTTCTTGTACTAAAATGAAAAAATAGTTTTTGTGTATGTAAATTGTATCTAGAGTGTCTTTGATATACTTTCAGAGTTTTAGACTAATGATTTATAGTGGCTAGAAATGGAATCCAGGATACGTGTTTTGTCCTACTTGGGACTCGTCAGCTAGATATATCTACTTCCCAATGAATGATCCTATAACCTCTGTTACTCAAACACAGGACTGATAACTACAAACGCCAGAGCGTTAGCCAAAATACCACCGGGTCATGATAGCGATTTCTTGTGTGAAAGGTATAGTCTTTGTGTTGTTACTCGTATTACCTCGTCGTTGGACTGACATTATCAAGCCAACCAACACCATAATTTCAAAGGTGTATAAATTACAGTTTCTGCAGTTCTGTGAGAAGACTTGATCACAAACATGATAAATCTTTACCAAGAATGTAACACAGTTGTATGAATATATGCGTGCTGTTTATTCTACACTGACTTAACAGTACCCCTAAGTAACTTTTATCAATAAATGATTTCCAGAATAGTAGCCCTGGATTAGGCATAGTCTAAATTAAATTAGTAGCTAACAGTAGAACTGAAGATATTTCGTTTGATCTTAATTATAACTTTTCAGATAGATGAACTGGCGAACCGTAACTTGGTGCATTTGTCTGAGACCGAAACCCATTATCCATCACTTTAAGCATCTGAGAATTATTCTGATTCTGTTAATATGACCAGCACATTTTGCAAATTAGGTTAAAGTTTCATCTTATTGAACAAGAAGTTGGGGATTACTAGTTCTATTTTGATATTAGGGGTAATGGATGGCAATGGAATCCAGGATGCGCATTTCTTTTCATCTTGAACTTGCCAAGTAGATGAACCTGCCTCCCAGTGAGTGGTTTTTTCCTCACTAAGACTCAAGTGCAGAACTCATTGCTTCACTAGGGCATTAGGTCACCATAGCCACTCTGTATCACACCATCAAAACTACCCATACCCGTCACACAAAGAGTCCTTATCTTGACTCAGTGACCTAGTAGATAACTCTCTGGAATCTGAAGTGATTGGTTCTGTGTTAGAAATTCAGTGAGAAAAAAATCACTCACTGGGAGGCAGATGCATCTAGTTGATGGGTCTCAGATGAAACTATAATCTTGAATATCAACCAGATGAAAATTTATTTACATATATAGGGAAGCTCAGAAAGAAAATATAAATTGGAGCGATAGGCGTGTTAATATAGCTTTGACCAATGGTAATATGTTGAAAAAGGGGGTTTAAAGGATGCAAAGATAATTATTCTAGTAACATAGGTGGAAGATAGAAAAAGGATGGAAGCTGGCACTTGTCGTTTCATTTGAGAAGACCATTTTCAAGAATATAAATCTTATATCAAACTTTCAAGTTGTTTCATCCAGATTTAATGCAAATGGTGAACTTATAACAATCATCCAACGAACACAAAACGGCGAATGCAGAAATTCAGAGAGCTAAGAAAAATATTCCACCCACTACACAGCTGAAAAGCGTTCTCATTCATTTCGTCTGAACGTGACACACACTGTGAAGAAATGAGCGGTAAATAATGAATAAAGATGGAAAGAAAAGGAAGTGAAAATATATTTATTTTATCGATAAAGGTACTCAGCCAAAATTACCTGCACTAACGTGAACAGAGCAGTTTGGGATCTATACTGTTAAATCGATGACTAGAAAAAGTATATTGGTAGGCTCTGTATGATATGATTGCCAACGACTAACCATTTGTACCAGTCGTGAGTAAACGGACGTGAAAGTTTTGCTATCGATTTCATATTCTTGAGAAGAATTTTCCCAGGAAAATCAAGACGGTTAGTAATCACACAAAATATAAATAGAACAAAATTATTCATTTTGTTTCTTCTAAAATCCTACGTAGGATTTACTCAAATAGAATCGTTTCACAGATTCTAAATACAATGAATGCTAAGTAGCTTTGATTTGAGTGGCTGTATTCATATTTACGTGAAAAGCTACTCAATGCTTTTCTTCTCGAGAGAAGCATTTTTTATCAATCAATTCGCTTTTCACTTGTTTACCATAGTAAAGGTGCTACATAAATGATAGCATTCCACTTCACTTACTGCTGATATACTTCCGCTTGAACAACCAACTTGTCTGTCACTGTAAGGTCTGTCCGTCTGGATGGTGCACCATTTTCAACTTTAAGAGCTGACTGAGCGTAAGTGCGTCTTGATGTGCTTAATGAACTCAGGGTCTAGTGATTGGTTTTAGTGTTTTTTGCCTTTCAGATTGTACTCATCTGTCGAAGAATCCCGTGTTTGTTGCTGACCAAATATCAGTAGGTACTTTGGACACACCTTATAATTATGGTAACTCTGCTAGGGCTAACCATCGGAACTCAACTCATATTGTACGGACCACAATTTTCAGCATCTAATTATAGTGGACCATCACCCTACAGCTACATTGTACCATTTCTTCCTACATCATGTTGCATCCACTGGATACATACCACGGCAGCCAGTACTCGTTAGTTCGCCCACTAGTGTGTACTTCAAACCCACTAAACTATTTCTGTGTACGGATCTGTACTGGAGACCGATTGCTAGCTCTGGGTAGTTAATCTCACTGATGATAGTACCTTTTGGATAGAGGGAGCTGTGTGAAGTCTGGTTGTCTGGACAGAGTGACACCTTGAATTTTAAAAGTTCCTTGCTCAAGTGAGTCCTGATGTGTTTACTGTGCTCCGTCTCACTTGGTCCTTTTCCATGTTTTGTATGTTTTAGACTGTGCTTATCTGTCAGGGAATCACCGTATTTGTTGCTGACCAAATATGAGTAGAGGGCATTGGATACAGCATATACCTCTTATTCGTATTTGACAACTGTTTATTCATACTGACTGATTAATTATGAAGGTTATAACTCTTGGTTTTAAATAAATTGCGGCGATTTATCAGTTTGAAAACCAGTCGACTGTAAACCGCACCTCATTTTTATGATCAACCTTCCACCTGCTGTTAACCTTACACATTTATTATTACAGATATAACCTAGGTCAGCTTATTAATTGATAACGCACATAACTATTGTAGGAAAGAATAATACAAACTGATCCACAGATTTGAGAATGCAAGCATCATGAAAGTAACGCAACTAAGTCATTATGGCCTCGTTATATCAACACTTAAAGTTGCTTTTTATCTGTACTAACTTGCTGGCTTTGCTTGACAGGATTAGATAACGTAATATAGCTATAGGAAGATCAGTAGTTTGGGACAATTCACAAAATATAGTAAACCTTTAAAAGTATTTTAGCAGTCGGAGAAGTTTATCAATAAGGCTTTAGTAAGCTGGAATTGTATTCGAAAAACAGTTGACAAACATGTTTAAATACTTTTTGGTGGGTATATATCTTGTTCTTCTGATTAGTAGCAGTTTATTTTCTTGTGTTTAAAAGTTAATCTTCAGCAAATATATTGAAACAAAACAACAAACAAAGTAGCTTACTTTTCTTTTCAAAAATTTGTTGAATTGTTTGCTTGGTAACTTGTTTGGCAATCTGATGCAGTCTAGCTGTCTTTGCAACGCGTTCAGTCTCATCTCTTCTACAAGATCTTCGTAGATATTAACGCAGGGTTGGTCTAACTGAGGTTCAACTTCTATTGCTGCATTGGTAACCAATTCAGTGCGTACTTTCTCTACTGCAACAGGCAGTTTATTCGAAGTGATTACTCGTAATAAACCGATATCTTTCCCTGAAGCTATCAACGATAATCTTCTCATGGTTTTCTCATTAGACTAATAAATATAAGTTACGTCATCAATTCTATAATCACCAATCACTTTTATTCATTTTAGTAAACTTATGTGATAAATTGCATAAATAGACTGAATTCCAACTTGGATGTGAAGGTTGTTGAGATAAATATAACAACTATCGTTCACTTCATTTAAGATTACTGATTCGAGGAAACGACTAAGTGGAATTTATGAGTAGTCAGTTGGTTTTGCAGAAAATAAAATTCTTACTATTATTTTTATAGAGTAATTCAACCTAAATCTAATTACATCTCTCAGTAAATCAAGAAAAGCATAAGTGTTGCCAGAGTAACTCCCTTTTTTCAGTGGATAAGTGCTCCTTCAATTACACTGACATCCAATCCAGAACTCCTGATTAAGTTAAGCGGTATTTACTATACTGAAACCAAGAGAAAAGAAAGTACAAAACGTTTTGCCCACAGAAGTTTCTAAGTTTAATGACCTGGAAATATTGTTGAACCAGAGAGTTTAATCCAACTACTCATGGGAAGCCTCAGTTTTCAATGTTGTCAGTTAATGTTAAAGGTTGGGGTTCTTGCATCATAAAAACACAGGAATGGGATTAACTAATACATGTACTATGGTCCAAGGGTCTTTAATCAAACGACACGTAACTCAGCCTCAGTGACAGCACCCTCTAGAAAAACAAATAGGTTTCAGCTTAAGCTGTAGGCGGTCTAATAACCTTGTTTACCAGATTCTGAAGCAAAGGTTCAATTATTCATATCCTATTGAAGTCATATTTCAAATTACATTTCTTGGTTGTTTTCTGAGAAGTTTGTTTACCCTATTTGAATGAAACAGATACTTGGTAGGTGTACCCTATTAGTGGATACCATTTAAGGGAACACATTAATTATGTGAAGTGGTAAAACACACTGGCCATTTCGCTCACTTGAGGAGTCACATTATGCAAGGCAGTTAACATAGTCTTAAAATAAACAGACACTGGTAGTTTCGTTGTAGCTAGTTATCATCAATTGTAGTGTCTATGATACTTTAGAGTGCCCATTATTGTTACAGTGCTGTACAGAGTGAATTGTTCCTCTGTGTGGATAAGAAAAATAGTTCATGATTTTAGGCAAGTGTGTTAGTAATATTCATACCACTCCTAAATTTCAAAATGAAGTAAACAAGTAAGCTGTTAGGTGGCCAACCTTCATCAAATGAAGTGGTTTACATAAACTGCAGATATTCTCAGCCGACGTCGACCTCGGCATGCTACGTAAGGTAGAGTGAGGGTGGTTAGTCAAGTGCATGACCATTTCTTTGAGCTATACAGGGGACTGTAGGCCTACTGTATTAGGTGAGTTATTTCTTTACACAAAAAAGCACCATAAGTATTTGTTTTTTGTCTCCTCTTTTATGGATTTTCCTTCATTGTGCTGACATGAACCAATGACAAAGTGGTCCACAATAAAGTTTCAAAGAATGTGTGTTGTGTCACATGGCTTGAAAGCTTGAAAGTCAACTACTGAGACAAACGAGCATAAGCACTAATAATACAATCGAAATGACTGAAAGTTGGCAATATTTCTCAAGTTTATGAATTATTTCCTTTGGTCACTGAACTGAATAAGAAAACTGATATAAGTTCATATTTTATTCGACAACACGATACTACTGCGGAGTTCCATACTAGTATAAAACAGCCGTCTAGTCCTCCCAAGTTTCCAAGGGTTCTTCAGCTGATGTCAGTTCGTAACAATTACTACGTCAAAATTAAAATCCCTATTAACCTTAAAAGGCATTAGATCAAATAATCATGGTGTAGGGATGAGTTATATTCGAGTTAGGTGAAAACCGTATGAGCACAGTAGCAAAATAAAAATGTGAAGTGCTACGTAAGGGTAGAAAATGAGTACTGGTAATAGCATGAGTAAACAATGGTATAAAACCAACGACAATGATTATTTATTAATGATATGAGAGACAAAAGGTAACAGAATGGAATAAGATGGGACAAGAGGTTGAAATATGAAGTTTATGGTAGAAACTGTGAGCACTAATATCAGATATTTTTGTATTGATTCCTATGGCTTCGGCTATGCATAAGAAAGTGATGTGTCACAGAAAAGACGATTAAGGGTCTACTATCTGCTAATCACCAAATTAATGCCTTGCTGATGCGCTTTATGATTCCTTTTTTCTAACCAAGCTGTTGCATATTCATATGCACGCGTAGATGGAGCCTTCTGAGTACGACCTGTGTAGGTAGCTCTTCAAGATCAGTTGAACCCATCAATGTACATTCAAGTGGTCATCACTGGAAGTCTATCTTTATTTCGCTGTTTTAGTAACGGTCTGGTTGAGTAGGTAACGAAAAGATTCACTGTAGTGAATGCTCTTCTGATAGCTATATGTATGCTGATTTGAAATATCTAGTAACGAAAATATCCATGGAATCATAATAAAACAATACTAAGTACAATGGAGATAATGATCATTTTGATGAGTCATATTCATAGCCGTACATCCTTAAAGTAAGTAAGAGAACTGAATGTTCTAGACAAGTTTCTGGTCAAAGATTAAAGTTAATCGACAGATGTAGAGAGCAAATTAAGTGGTCTTAAAAGCTTGTTTAAAAAAAAGAAGAAGAAATGCGTATTGAACTGTAAGATACAGTAAAAACAGATAAATCAGCAAATAAAAAAACCAAGGTAAAACAAACAGAGGTACGGAATATCTGTTCAAGGCGAACGTAAAACAAGCGTTTGTATACGAATTTTAAAAGTCCACAGCTGAGGTTCATGGCTACGCATTATCTAAGCTTCGGTCGTACATACTTATCTGATCCTCTTCGCTTATAGATAGTTTGGTCAAACTAGATGGAGAACCCTGAATGAAGTTTCCAGCGTCTACGAGGTGTCCAACAATGCAGCTGAAGACGGTTCACTGGTCACTTTTCAGTAACTAAGCTAGGTAATGTGTGTTAAAAGATAGATTCTTTTCCCTACTTAAAGAAACTTAACTTTGAAAGTTTGTCAGGTGGTCGTTCTAAGTAGAGTTCTTCGTTGCAACTGTTATTTTTTCGGGAATACTAATCTTATAAAAGAAAAGTATATTTTAGTTGAAATGGCTGATCAAAATCTACCCCTAAAATTCAGATCAAACAAGGAATTAACTTATAGCAAGTGGAAAGTTTGATATGAGTGTAACTCAAAATTCATAATGCAATATAAACGTCTCTTGTGTATAGTCATAAAAGATAGAAGAAAATGATTCAGTTTTCATAAAATTAGATTTCGCGCTCATTTGTAATTAAAACTATCCACAACAGTCTTAAACGAGCAGTATGGTGTCTTAATAATATCTGTCTAGTGACCGAAATGCATGTGATAGTGATCCTTACTTTCCAGCTGCTCATTAACTCGTTTCCCATCACGTGAATATGGCATAACCTTATATATACTATTGCATAACATTTATTTTCTAAATAAAAATTAACCGAAATCATGTAATTTGCACTCACCAAGTATCGTTTAACCAGTTGCTGCAGATGTACTCTATGGATGTTGTTTCACATGATACCATTTCAGCAGGCTTAACACAGTATATAATGAAGGAATTTAAGTACACAGTAAGTGAATTATTACTTCATTAATGCACATTAAGTCACCTTTTAGACAATAAATACAACTTAAAACAAAAATTACAAGTGAAGTGAATAACGACTGGTTGATAAGCATCATAGTAACAGTATGACAATAATAATAATAATCACAATCACTAGTAAGCAGGCTAATACACTAGGCTATAGTTTGAGATCAATCTTCAAGTGGAGATAAGAAGTTTGAATCTGCAACACTGTAGTGGAAAGCTGAGTCATTACTTCATTGAAGCTAAGCTGAGATGCATCGACAATATTAATTCTGCTTCATAAAGTGAAAATATTTGCAAGACAAAGTTCGTGTTGAACATTGATCTTTGTCTATGCATGTTTTTCACAAACACTAGAAATCTCTAGAAATAATTGGTCAAATACTTTACATCTGAATATTAATATATTTACAATATTTGTTAAAAAAAAAAAAAATATATATATAATATAGTCAGAAACTCACTAACTGACTGAAATCTCTCTCAGTGTGTCACGTTGGTGAGTTTCCTAGCTTATTAGCTATTATTTCTGTCGCTGACATAAAGACTTTAACCATGTTATCGTAGGATGAGATAGATATGTTGCAATATGGTGGTAATAAATAATCAGAGTCTCCTTTGAAAAAAGACGCTTCTTCTTCTGACACAAAGCTGTAAACTTTATGCATGAGTCATCATCAATCATCAATATCAACCTAGGACCAGGCATTACTGCCTAACGGTCTGAGTTGCCACACCTCATATCAGTACTTCAAGTAGAAAGGTAGTGGGGTGAAAGATGAAGATATGAAAATTCAGTCAAAAGAAATATAAAGTACAAGAGAGAGAGAGAGAGGAAGAATGAGAAAATGGTGAGATTCGGTATAGTGTCGTTAAGATGAGGATAATGCATGTATACATCTGTACCACTGATATAGCTTCTCAGCCATATCACCTACAGTCAGTCTTCAACCACTGGTTCCTCTTGTCCCGTCGACCCCAACCACCTAGTCTGCATCGACCCACATGGCTCAAACCAACAGTCACAGACTTCATGCATTGGTGCCATGTTTTAGTCTGGCCACCTTGGACCTTTTTCCAGCCTGAGCCTACTTCAGTCAATATTGTGTGACGAGGTAATCGGCGACCAGACATACGTAGTACGTGTCCCAACCATCTCAATCGATGAAGGTTCACAACTGTGTCAACTGATTTACCTCTACTCCCTAAAACTTTACTCCTGACTTTTGCGTTACTCACGTGATGACACCACGGAATACGGCCTATACTACGAAGGCAACGGTGGTCAAACACCCGAAGCCTTCTCATGTCTTCCACCTTCAATGGCCATGTTATACAGCCATACAGTAGAACACAGCGGACTGCTGTGCAGTGTACGCGACCCTTAGTAGACAATCGGATATCACGGCAGCGCCACAGGTGGCGTGAGTTGGCGAAAGTCAATCGAGTATTTTGTATCCGTGCAGAAATCTCATCGGCAACTGAGCCACCAGGGTTGATCCTGCTTTCCAGGTAAGTGAAGTGGTCAACACACTCAACCACTTCACTCTCTATTGTTAGCCGTGGTGACACCGTTGAAGACCAATCCTGGAGCAAAAATTTGCATTTGGGTGGTGAGAAACGCATCCCAAACATTTTCAAATTGCCACTCAGTGTTCAGAAGACTCTGCATCTTGTCAGCATCTTCACCTAACAGGACTATGTCATCTGCATATTCTAGGTCGAACGAAAATTCTCTACCGGTTAGGTCAACGTCTATGTAGTCAGGCGACGAGAGGGAGACCTCCATAAGAATATCGATGATAAAATTGAATAAGAATGGAGAGAGTGGGCACCCTTCACGGACACCACTCGATGAGTACAGCTCACCTGACATCTCACCGTAGGCTCTGACACGCCCGCAAGTGTTCGAGTAGAGAGCCTTCAATAAGGTGATGTACTTACTCGGCACGCCTTTCAGTGAGAGACATTGCCATAAGACTTCTCGATCAACGGAGTCAAATGCCGCCTTCAGGTCGAGAAATACAGCTATTGTCGGGCGTCTGTAAGCATGCCTATGTTCCAGGACCTGGCGCAGTGTGAATATTTGGTCGATACATCCACGGCCAGGTCTAAAGCCTGCCTGGTTTTCTCGGGCTTGCTGTTCCCGAGCTCCACTCAGGCGTCGGAGAATTATAGAACTTAGGATCTTAGACACTATGTTTGTCAGGCTGATTCCTCTGTGGTTATCACAAGAGGACTTCTCGCCTTTCTTGAAGACTGGGATGATGAGTGACTTAGACCAGTCGGAGGGGATCGTATTTGATTCCCATATACTGGCTAACACTTCCGTTAACCTGACTAAGAGCACTCTACCACCATTCTTGTATACCTCAGCAGGTAGTCCGTCTGGTCCTGCTGCCCTTCCTCGTTTCAGGTTACCTACCGCTTTCTCAACTTCTCCTAGTGTTGGGGGCCTGTCTCAATGTTTCATTCAGGATCCGACTGGATAGCGGGCAACGCAATGGTGGCTGGAGGCCAGTTAAACTGTTCCTCGAAGTGTTCTGCCCATCGTCCCAGTCGTCTCCCCTGCGAGTGAATCGCAGATCCGTCCTTCTCCGCTATAGCCTCACTAACTGTTGTTGACCTTTTCCCCCCAGTCTCCTTAATAAGTCTAAATAACTGTCTACTGTTACCGATCGCCGCTGCCTTTTCCATCTCTTTAGCCTTTGCTGCCCACCACTGTTCGCGATCGTTGCGTAGACTTTTTCTCAGTCTACTTTTAAGTTGCGCTCGCTCTTCATTGTACTCAGACCCTGCAGTAATGTGTTCATGTGCATCCATTAGTTCGGAAGAAGCTCTTTTCAGCCGCCATTTTGGATTCGGTTACAGTCTTCTTTCTGGATGAGTGACAGTCTTTTGTTCCGATAACTGCCTAGCCAACTTCTCACTGAACACGGCTTTGGTGTTTTCGTTGTCCAGCAGCACTCGTAGTGGTTTTGTTGCCAAATCTTTCTTACGTCCATTGAGACGCAGGCATATACGTGCTCGGACCAACGCATGATTGCTGTCCAAACACGTACTCCAGAAGGAGCGGCAGTCTTCCACCGATCCTCTCCAGCGATGACTAATAGCAATGTGGTCTATCTGTGTCCATCGCTGAGTTGAGCTCGGTGGACGCCAGTCAGACAGTGCTTTCTTTATGTCTGAAATTGTGCTGGCTAAAAATAGGCGGTTATCTGAGCATAGTTGTAGTAGGCGATCACCGTTATCTGTACGTTCAGCCGGGATTCCGAAAGTGCCACCTAAGTGCCTTTCTGCCTCACTCAGTCTACCCACCTGTGCGTTGAGATCACCTGCAACAACCACCACGTCCGAACGTTTGGCTTTCGAGAGGAGGTTAGACAGTTTATGGTAGAACTCGTCCTTCACTTCATCCAAGCTGCAGTCAGTGGGTGCGTAAGCAGAGATTACAAAGAGACAACGGCGAGTCTCTATTCCTTTTAGTTATCACTGTGCCGTTCAGCCTCATAGCGCAGAGGTGACTATCAACTGGGATCCAGTCTAGTAGTGAGTTTTCTGCCCTAGTGCTTAATGCTATACCTACACCTGCTATCGAATCTCCAGAAACTCGGAGGGTGAATTTCACAGATTCACCAGATTGGCTGGGAGATGTTAGGTGAACAACCACACTTGGGTCCTGTATGCATGTCTCACAAACACAGTACATATCCATGGACCGAATTGCTAGAGTCTTTGCCAATGAAGTCTGTTGACCAATTTGACAAAAGTTGCGAGCATTGAAGGCTCCAATATGTAATTTGGAGCGTGGTTTAAAGAGACCAAGGATGCTGTTCTGTGAACTCAGATCGTTGTCAAAGGCTGCAGAACTAGGAGAAATTGAAGATGATGTAGTATTGTTAATTGGGAGGCTTGAAGGAAGATTAGGAGGTAATGAGGGGGGCTGATACTTCCCGGCTGCCCACACCGTGGAAGGCTACTTCTTCTTAAGGTGCCTGAAGGAGATTTGTGTGAGTGCAGAGTCCACCGGACATCTGCCTGAGGCATGTCATATATGGCCGACCTTTTCTAACCCCGCCCCTCTCATTCCACTGAGAAGGCAGCATCAGCATGGCACTGCTAGTCATCCAAGGGAAACACCTTCCTGCTGTCACACCTCATCCAGGTAGCAGCAGTACGACTCCGCCCTCAGATCTCCATCATAGTATAGTCATTTACACCACAATGGTAACTGCTTTTCCTGTAACCACTATCCAACCGGCCTTCCTGGTATTGTAGGACCTCAAGGGAACAAGTGTTCCACCAGCATAGCTCGTTGAGTGATTGCAATGTGCAAGCCCGACCACCACGTCAAGGTAACAGCTATCGGTTGGGTTATGCATGAGTGAAGTAACATTTTCTGGTTTCCAGAAGTGGCAAGTTTAAATCTATTTTAATTTGTGTTTTTTGGCTGATTATCAGTTGCTGACTGTTTTACGATGAAACCTGTCGTTCAGCCTACTAATACTTAGATTTCAAAAATGTAATTGTTCACTGTGTCGTTGCTTACAAGCAAAAGCAAAATAACGAAGTTTGTAAACATTATTTGTGAATGGTTGGCATCATTTTGACTACGAAACACAAAGTAGCACTAGGCTTAATGTTTGATCAACCAGTAAACATTTGTCCCTGTGAGCTAGAAGTTGATTAAAATGGATCAGACACTTATTTCATTTACCTTCATAAATATTCGCGACTAAAATAAGTTTGATAACACTTTATAAGTCGAATTTATGAAGTAAATACTAAACATCATTAATTTTTAAAAAGGCTTTAGGTGCAATCTCAATGTCATTAAAGGGCTTAAATCAAGAGCACTTCGAGTTTTTCTTGAAATATAACACGATTCACTAGTTATATTCTGAATGTTTCCTCAAGAATGAAATTATTTCAAAAGTGATTTCATGGAAAAAATAATCATGTACTAGGTACTATGCAGCTAATTCGTTCCTGAGTATTACCAAGGTCGAATGACATGCATATATATATATATATATATATATATATATATATATATATATATATATAACCTTTCTCATGCAAACGTTTTTCTAATGTTACATGGTCCATAACAAACTGCCAAAACCAAGTAACTAAAAAACCAGTCTACTGAAAGGCCATTTCAGTGACTCTGTCCACAAGAATTCCAGTCTATGTGGTCTGAATTTTTCTCGATAGGAAGAGGGAATATATAGAGGAAAATAATGTATGAAAATGAATTCAAAACGAAGTGGGAAGAAGGTACCTATAAGAATCAACCTACAGATATAGATTTCTCTAAGTTATTTGTTTACTGTCTATTAGTTAAGATTATGGAGTTCGTACTGATAAACACAGATCATTATGATAACAAATTGTTTTTGAACACACTCAGGTGGCTTAAACCGACTGTAAATAATCAATTTATATTTACTTATGGTCAAACATACATACAGCGGACTAATCAGTCACTGAAAATAAGGGCTACGTGACGTATTCTAAAGTGGTTTCAGAAGCAGCTAGTGTCACCTGACCCAATGAATTCTGCAAACAAGAGTTCAAGCTCCACAAGTATTAAACAGATCATTGAAACGTGGTTACTTCCTCAGTAGAAAACCTGTTACGTAACTATTTTGAAGTTTATAGAGGCATCGACCGCTAGAAAGTTCAAGCTATCTTTATATATTCAAAAACAAATCCATGTAAATCAACCTTCAAAATTTATTTTTATTTATCCTAAGTATTTTAATGCGTTCAGTTATCAAACAACTGGGTGATTAACGCACAGGGAAATAAGTGACTTATGAATTTCTTAAAATCTGCTTTCTGAAGTAAAATTTGACTGAATAAATATTCATTTTGGTCCGATTTTACCTTACATAATGTCAGTGCCCACAAGTCTAATTATCTACTCACTGTTATCTGTCATATTATCATTGTTTATATATATCAAAATGCTGACATCCACAACATCATTAAGTGACTTTTGTCTACCGCAATTCACTTCTACTATCCAAAAGTGATTTTTCTCGAAAGATATGAGAAGTTCTCAACTGTGATGATCTACAGTGTTATCGCTGTACATTCCAAAAATGATACAAACCTTTTACCAATTTCTTTCTAATTTTCATCTTATCTCTAAGTGAGCTTAATCGGTTCATAAATTTTAATCCAGTCTACATAATTATTTATCATCAGTTCCTGTGTAGGATATTAAAGGTTTACTTTACACTTCAAGATATTTGATTGTGACTAAAATAGACCTTAATGTACCAGTTAAATTTGACGGTCAAGTATATGGGTCGAAGTAATCATTCGAGGTTATTCAAGATAGTTAAGTGCAAAAATTCAGTTAAATATCGAATGATCGACCCCACTAAGGTAAATAATTTAGAGATAACTCGATTATCTCTCTGCATACATTGACTCATAATCATAATATAAGACAAGGATAGGGTAATGGTTCTAAAATCCAATATATCGAGGTCTAAACTTAGGTATACAGAAGCCTTCTTAATTGAATCAACACGTAACGCAGGTAACAGTGATGATTCATCACACACTGAAGCTGTGTAAAAAAAATGTTAATATCATTCAAATAAAAGAATGAAGAGGTGTTTGACGGTGAGAGTGAAGTTTCAAAGTTTAATGATTATTTTGATATGATCATTAACAATGGATTCCGTTCGAAACACCGTCTAATACATATTACTACTATCTACAGTGTACTATTTAACACTAACGCAATCAATATGGAATGTCTTTACTTAGAATTTTCATCTCTATTAGCCTTTGTAATGGAAACTGTAGATTGTATCCATTTGAATGTCTTATGGGCGCTGAGTTCAATAAGTACAGTCAAATTCGCATCTAAGCTTGAAATTATATTTATCAATGAATACTTACAGTATCGTTTGGTTCTTTAGGTTTCAGTTTAAGACGAATTTTCGAATTCGGTATGCAACCTGGTGAAAATAATATTTATACTTATTTTGTTCATATGAATATCAGTAGTGTAGTTTAATAAAAATATAAAATCACATGTTTATTGAAATCATAAATCAAAGAAATTAACCAGTTTCGTTCGAAGAACTAGAATTTCATTCATAAGCTAATATCATTTTACACATTTATTCATCCTACTAAATGTCGAGGGAGTTGTGGAGATTTGGAAAAATTTCAAGTTGTTATTCATCGTAGACTGACATGAGTTGGAGGAACAAAGGAAACCTGGGAGCACTGGACAGCTGCTTCGTCCTAGTATGGGACTCCTCAGCAGTGCGCACCCACGACCCGCATCCCCCAGGGATCTAACCCGCGACTTTCAGGTTCCGCGGCCAGCGAATTACCGCTGAGCCACTGGGCCAAAATCCAATGCTCCATATTTCCAACCTCTGTTAGCTCACGATATAGCACAACCACCACCCAATGTCACCGTTGAGTATCTGTCCTCACGGCCATCAGGCTTTGATTCTGGATTCTGACCAGTGGCTCAATGGTAACGTGCTGGCCACGGAACCTGAAAGTCGCGGGTTCGATCCCTGGGGGGTGGTGGTCGTGGGTGCGCACTGCTGAGGAGTCCCATACTAGGATGAAACAGCTGTCCCGTACTCCCAGGTTTCCTTTGTTCCTCCAACTGATATCAGTCTACGATGAATAACAACTTAAAAAATTTACTCATTCTTTTTGCTCAACTACCTATAAGTAGCTTATCGTTTATAACACTTTTCCTCATGATATATTTCAATATAGTCCCAGCGTGTTTGGAAAATTGTAAATAATATTTTTCTGAACGTTTCGTTGTGTATACCGCAGCTTCTTTAGCAGAATATTCAGAATATAATCTGAATATCAGAATATGAAAGTGGGCACGAGACTTATTTTGACAATGCTGATATATTAGGGAAGGATTTTCATGCACATAAACAAAGGTTGGTCTCAGAAGCCCTGTGTACTTTAACATTAATAAATACTTTAAACAGAAAGAAAGGAATAGATTTGCCACCTATCTAGAAGACTCTAATTCGACAAAAACACTTAACAGGTCATCAAACTGGACTATCAAAAAGCAACCAGAATATATGGATCAATTATTGTTCATGAATAAACATTTTTAAAAATATTGATCTTGGTGACTAGCAAAGGAATCCCGGACGCACATTTCGTCATATTTGGGACTCGTCGGCTGTATGTTGAATAAAAATCCTAATATTCTGCTGGAGAAGCTGTGGCATACACAGCGAAACGTTCAGAAAAATTCTGTTTTCGATTTCCTAAACACGCTGCGATTGTATTAAAACTTACTTATATAATGAATAAACCTGACTCGACTCTCAACTTCTTTCAGGATATTCGAAGCAACTGTGATCTGGATTTTTACTTTTCCTATTTATCTCTGACTGACTGTTTTGTGTTTCGATATTTCCGGTAGCTTAACTAGTCGATTTCATAATTTGATCCTAGCCCTAATGCAATTATTACTTACTACCCATGACTGACCTTAGCTGAGTTGGTTTACAGTCACATAACCTTCGACGTCAGTCAGCAATTTATGTTTAATATAACCAGTTATTGGATCTAGAACTATTTATTATTACGAAAAAACAAGACACTCATCTGAATTAAAGCGACTCCTCACTTTATACATCCAGGGGAAGCAAACAACATGAAAGTGTATGTACAAAATAAATCATAATTAGAGTTAGTCGTGTAATATCTTAAAGCTGCAGAACACACTATTTCCTTCATACATACTGCTGTGAAGCCTACAACTGCAAAACGTAGATGTCTTTTTTTGAAGAATTTACCCACTGAATTCATACTGATTTTTAGATTTATTTATTGTCGCTGCTATTTGTAATTTTAGAGAAGGACACTCTAATTATTATTATTATTTGTCCTTTGGGTTCCCAGTGGAACATAGGGATTCAGTACCACGTCACAATTTCACTCCTTTCTCTGAAGTCTTCCTAACATGGCAACAAGACTGCCCACAATCTTTCATTTCTTCCTCACACCATCCCCCTCCATGTCACCAAAGCCTCCAACGACCAACTCGTCGTTCACTACTTACGTTCCACTCGACGACCTGGACTGGCCTGATGCATGATATCCCTAAACGGTCTTCGCAATCCAATCCATCTCCACTTTCCTCTTCTGCATATTTGTTGGGTGATAGGTTCTTGGTTGGTTAGTTCGTTGCCAGCCACAGTGAGTTTGTTGTTGCTTATTCTTACTATTTTGACCATGTGATCTGATCTTCAGTATGGAATGAGCGTAGACGGCAGCTGTTCATGTATGTTTGCAGTTTGTTGGAAATGCTTTTCGTATCACGATGTCACATCTTGATATGGAAACCTTGGACCAGCCAAAATACACTTAGGGTGAATTTATGCGACTGAGTGGATGGCGACTAGATGTACGTAACACATATCCCTACAACTCAGTCGTTTCAAGTATACAATTTCGTCAAATGACCTAATTATTTTACCCCAAATTCTATACCTGAATCTTGCGTTAGTGACGTAGTGGTCCCACGACATGAGGTCTTTGATAGAAAGTCAGCTGAGGTAGAGAACTTGAGCCTTCCCATGCTGTCCACCTTAAATAACCACGTTTCGCAGCCAAAAAGTAGCACAAGACGAACTGCTGCTTAGTAGTATACTCAAATCCTAATACGCACCCAGATATCGTGCAGGTGCTATAAGTTGGGTTATTTGTCATAAGCTGATCCAGCCTCTTGTTTGTGTACAGAGAATTCATCGGTCACTGAACCACTGTGACTGGTTCGACTCCCCAAGTAATTGATGGTCAGCGAGTTAAACACCGCAATAGATAGTTACTGAGCAATACCAGGTGCTATTTTGAAACCGACTAGGCTTTAGTTTAACTTACAAGAATCTTATTTATCTGAATAAAATAGTCTTCAACACATAAATATTTGTAATTGTTGATCTTAACAGTGAATAAAACTACTTATGCATGCGGCAAAAAAGGAACACGGTCATTAGATTAACAGCCGTAACTAAAATTACCACTAATCCTCTATTTTAAGATTCCCTAGGTGATGAGAGTTCTAGTGATTGAAAAGCAAAAGCATTTTTACTGGTCACATCAATCCTGTGTACAATTCTCATATTTCGAATGCATTGATAGTATAGTTCTGAGCACGTAGGGTTCGACAGAAACGTGGACTGCCATCTAGTGACATATTTGTTCGCACACTCCAGTTCCTCAGAGGTCAGTCATAAGGTGAATAAATTAGTATCATATGCAATAACTTTATTATTTAGTGACGTAAGTTTGACTTTCCGAAATCACCCAACGGTTGTAGGTACGCCTTATTGATGAGTGCTAACAACTTGCTCCTAAGATCTAGTATCAAATGACCAAAGCATCTTAAAAGATAAGTTTTATCCAAAAGGTATACGAGATAATCTAATTCATGGTTCACACTCAGGAGAGTTTCCTTAAAGGAGGCGGGTTTGTAAATTATCAAAGATTGTATTGATCTGTAAGCTATCGAAACAGAACTGTATGATATATAATCTCACATTTCCACTATCTACTAAAAGGTTCATTGGATAAATAAGACTAATTCAATTTGACTATTATCCGATAGATATCACGTAAAAGATTCAATTATGTGAACATAACCTAGTGATTTGTAGTAGTTTTTCAAAATTTCTGGAGTGTTACAAACAGGTAGGGAAACATCAAGCAACGTGCACTGTTTTCAACCTGAAAATTTGATACTGTATAGGGTATAAGCATGAAATGTATATTTACAGATATAGTAAACTTAGACTATCACAAATATTTTAAAAGTAAATATTTTGGCATTCACACAAAAGATGGGATAAGAATCCAACAGTTTTCAAATTGAATTCTCCTTATGCCTAAGTGAAAGCCAAACAGACATAACGTAGAATCTTTATGTAAAAGTGCATAATTTCAATTTGCAGCACTCTACAAATCCCACAGTGGTAAAAAGTAGAAAAAATAGACGTATTTAAATGAATAAAATGAATTTAGAAAGAATAAACAAATGAATGCTGATTAGATTTCCAGTGTTTCCAAGACTTCGACATTTGGGTATTCTGCATAGAGCAGATAGTAGATAATATTTTCAGCATGATAAACAAAACTGTATAAAATATAAAGGCCAATAGCTACTTAGTCATGTATTTTAACCCTCGTCAAAAGTTTGTGGAAAACGGTCTATTAGTTTTGAACTGAATGGTATCATCTTCATACCTTTTTACTTATCCTTTCAGTTTTCATTAGCAAACAACTTACTCAAACTTTTCACAACCCTTCTATGATTCTCCAGTTTCTGGAAGAAGAGGATATGATGTCAGACAAGATGGTTTTTTCACCTATTGCAGTTGTACTTTCAGTTACCGGTTAGGTATTACAAGTTGCAAAGTTTGACATCGGGAGTTTTGTGCTTATTATTTATTGTGCTTTCTTGGTAGGTATAAAATTAACATAACCTCGCCTGGTTAACGTGTTCACTAGTTACTAGCCGGTCCTAAGCCCGGGTAAAGAGGGAAGGTTGGGCATAAAGCTAGCAACCCTACCCTGTAAAACCAATCAAACCTCTAAAGAAACTGCAAAGCACAGACAAAATCTAAAAAATGAAGACAAACTTATTCCACGCTGGAATCGGAGAGGTGAAATGACGCCGGTTGGTGAAAGCCTTTGGGAAGCCCATTGGCCAATGTATCTTCTCTTGATGAAAGCGGAAGTAAATGTGGGGACATGGGATGTCCGCGACATGTTTGAATCTACCACAGCTGCCCAGATTGCAAAAGAGATGAAAAGGTATAGCATAGAAGTGCCAGGAATCTGCAAGAGCAAGTGGAATGGGAGTGGACTCTCCAAACCATCAACTGAAGAGTCAATAATCTACTCTGATATTGTCACTCAGACGACAACTACGTTCACACTGATTTTCGGAGTGGCTATCATCACGTCCCCAAGAGCATTGGAAGCTGTCATGCAGTGGAAACCAATCTCCACCTCCAGGATCATGACTAATTAAACTCAAAAAGGGAAGAAAGTCAAAATCATTCAATTCTACGCGCCTACAAATAGTGGCAACCAAGAGGAGAAGGAGGAATTCTACAGACAACTGCAATCAACACTGGACAAGACCTCAGTTGGCGACATCAAAATTCTAATGGGTGAGGTGATATGAATGCCAAAGTCGGGGCAGACAATACAGGAAGAAAACTGATCATGGGTCGAGAAGCACTGGGTGAAATGAACGAGAATTTAGAACTGTTTGCAGAATTCTGCACATTCAGCGACTTGGTGATTGGAGGCAGTATTCGTAAACAAGGATATTCACAAAGCCAGATGGATTTGATATCACCAGATGAACACACTGCACCAAAAAATTAGATCTACTTCACCTCAATCTCTAGAAGGTGGATATACAGTCTACTGGACACAAGATCAAGGAGAGGAGTAGATGTAGGTTCAGACCACTCACTATCAAGTGCAAGGACCCTTCAGAATCAAGTTGAAAGCTTTTATTTGAAAGGAGCTGGTGATAGATCACAGTCAAGTTCAACACCCACAACAGAAAATGAACTGAAGGACGAAACTACAAAGGAAATCTTCACGTCAGCCATCAAGACAAAATGGGAGACATTGAGCGACATTTCTGAATAAAGCTGTGTGGATGAACACTGGGACCGTTTGAAAGAGATGTGGAAACAAACACACATAACCGTATTATGAAAGAAGGAAGAAGATAAGGAATGAATGTTGACGGACACATGGTTGCTGATAGAAAAGAGGAGGATGGTGAAGCAAAAGATAAACCAGTGCAGGGATGGACAACGAGAAGAGGAGCTGAGTACAATGTATAAAACACTGGACAAAGAAGTGAAGAAGAGTGCGCGGAAAGACGAAAGACACTTCTACGACACACTGGCAAGTGAGGCAGAACAGGCTGCTGGTAGGAGAAACCTGACAACATTGTATCAAATAACCAGGTTACTATCTGAGATGGAAGAGATCAGCATTGATGAAACCAGTAAAAGATGATGAAGGAAATTTAATTATCAAAGACGAGAAACAAAGGAAAGAATGGGGAGGCCACTTCTAAAAGCTGTTGAATCGACCACCACCTGCAACCACTGAACAATAAGTGAACACAAGCCTTCGGCTAAAGTCGAAGCACTGAATATCATAAAGTTGCTGAAATGCTAGAAAGCAGCAGGATCAGATGGAATCCCACCAGGAGCACTGAAAACAGTCTCAGAGACAACAGCGGGCACGCTCACATCACTATTGCATAAGGTCTGAAAGGAAGGAAAGGTACCTGAAGATTGGAAGAAGCGTTAACTTGTCAAACTCCCGAAGGAAGGAGACTTCAGTGTTTGCACGAACTGGCTCGGAATCACTCTCCTGTCCACCCCAAGCAAAATATTAGCCGCATCACCCTGGAGAGACTAAGGGATGCTCTGGATCCCAAACTACGACCGGAGCAGGCTGGATTCAGGAATTACTATTCATATGCGGACTAAATTGCAATACTACACAGAATCACAGAACACAGCATAGAATGGCAGTCAGTCCTCTACCTCAACTTCATCGACTTCGAAAAGGCCTTCGACAACGTCGACCGACAAGTGATTTGGCAACTGCTCCAACACTAAGGAGTACCACAAACCTTTATCAATCTCATTCAACAACTATATGAAGATGTCACATGCCAAGTAATTCACAATGGGATGCTCAGTAATACTTTTGAAGTGAAGACAGGAGTAAAACAAGGCTGTCTACTATCACTCATGACATTCCTGATTGTAGTGGACTGAACTGGATCATGCAACAAACAGTGAGGAGCGAGAAGAGGGGGGATACGCTGGCTGGAGCGCGGAAAATGTCCTAGAAGATCTGGATTTCGTCGATGACTTGCTCCTCATGTCGCACAAACTTGAAGATCTACAGGCAAAAACTAACAAGTTGACAGAAGAGGTGAGGCAGCGAAGACGGCACTTCAAGTGAACGTGGATAAGACAGAAGTGATGAAGATACCCAACCAACGCCACCACCAACAACAAGCTCCAATCACCATCAATGGGAGAAACTTAAAGGAAGTAGTCTCTTTCACCTACCTAGACAGGGCAGCACTGTTTCACCTACAGGCGGCACAGGCACAGATGAGGATGTCAAAGTGAGGATCGAAAAAGCAAGACAGGCATTCATTATCTTGAAACCAATGTGGAGATCTGCATTCAGCGTACAGCGTGAACAAGATCCTGATCTTCAACACCAACGTCAAGTCAGTGCTCCTATTTGGTTCAGAGGTTTGGTGCGTTACGAAAAGCATTTCCAACAAACTGCAGACATTCATCAACAACGGCCCAGGCTTATTACTGCAGCTCAGATAGCCAGAAAGGATGAGCAACAAGGAACTCTGGCAACGTACTAACCAAGAACCCATCGCTCAACAAATATGCAGAAGGAAGTGGAGATGGATTAGATTGGGCATGCACTGAGAAGACTGACTGGGGACATCAAGCGCCAGGCCGTCAAGTGGAACCCAGATAGAAAACGGCGTTTTGGGTGTCGGAGGGTGACATGGGGGAGATCGTGTGAGGAAGAAATGAGAGCTTCTAGGCAGTTGTGGGGCCAGGTTCAAAAGATTTCACAGAATGGAGTGCACTGGAGACGTGCTACTGGAGCCCTATGTTCTATTAGGAACCCAAGGGACAAATGATAATAATAATGATAATAAAATTAACATAAGAATCTATTGACCTTCAAGAAATGTAACGGTGTAGATAATCCACTTGAGAGAATATCTGGCACTTGAAGTACAGCTTCTTGTAAGCATACAGAACTGGAGACAAGTGTAGATGCCATAACCTTCCATCAGCTTCCTAAATGTAACTTTGTTTATAAATATATGTCAGCACCTCATTTAAACAACTATAAATACAATGGAAGAAGCCTAGGCAATCGCTAAGATCGTTAAGATAGTATTATCAGCATACCTTACGCAAATGACATTTTAAAACTACAAATCTTTTCCTGCTTGGTTTGATGAAAACTAAAAGTGCTATGCGAATCAAAATTTGAAATTCGCTCAGTAACCTTGTGCACATTTATGAAATAGGCAATGAACCACACCTAATGTATGAAGGTAACGATACTACCTGACTAAATTCAATAAACAAAATTCTTGGTGTACATTTGATTTTTCAAGGCGGTTAAATCCATTGCCCGGTAATTTGAAAACCATGAAATTATAAGTTTTGATTCATAGAAACTATCTGAAAAGGTTTACAATACAGAAGATGAATAGAAACCCATAAAAACTACATAACTCAATATAAAGCAGTCCATAAATAGATAAAAAAAGTAGGCTTGATGCCAGTCCATGACACTGGACGAATGATTCAGTAAACGGAAAAATGAAGATATTCAGAAAATGTAAATGCGTTTGTTTTTAACCAACCGGATGAATGGTAACGTATTTGCCACGAAAATTGATAGCTGCCAGCCGGATCCCCCAAGGTTTTGTTGGTGTGTAAGCCAAGTGAATTGAAAATGAGAATAAAAGAGTTGTTAAATGCTCCTAGGTTTTCCATAGTTCTTCAGGTAAGAAAAATCATTGGCGGATACCACTTAAAAGTTGATTAACCCATGCAAACACGCAATTAAATTGCATTACATTTGAGATAATCAGATTCTGAAAATAGAGCCTACTTAACATGTCGTTATGTGGGCAGCTTAGGTTATCTCATGCGGCTGATAACAATTACTCTATGCTTCTTGAAGTAAATTATAAATCGATGTAAAGAACAGGAGTATGATACACACGAAGTTCTACATAACCATATTTATCTGTTATATATGAAAAAGAACTGCTTCAACTTACTAGATTTTTCTGAGTAAAAGCAGGTGGAAGATTACAGAGCTTTCAGATAAAAAAGATACTGTCAGTTTATTTGTCCACTGATTGTATAATATTGCATATCGTGTTATTAAAAGCACCTGACTTCTTTGCAACCGGACCAATGTATATTGAAAAACACCGCTGTATCACTGTGTTTACCGCTATGGAAATATGATACACACATTAGAAAGGAAAGACTTAAGTACACAAATCAGAGACCTTTTTAATAACTTCGACTGATCGATTTCCTCAATCACCTAGGCCCTATCTTTATCCCCTAGAGATGTCCCAATCAAAACCACGTTATGCTGAACTGCACCAAATAAGTGTAAGCTTACTTACAATTTAGTCGGTCGCCAACCGTAAATAATACAGTTATAAACTGCACGCTACAGTTAGGGTATACTGATAGTTTATTTTCCTACAAATTCATTTTAAGCAGTGTTTTTATCATCCCAACTCACTAAATACACACGACAAATCAAAGTGATCAACTGATAGCCATGGTTTCATGCTGTCTTGGTCAGTGAAAGGACCATGTTTACCAAAGTACCACTACTTAGTGAGTTTAGAAGCTTTTAATTATTAGGAAAACAGGCTAATATAATCAACCTACCATCAGGTGCAATTACTTTAGTTGGCATATTTTTTTTTGATTTATACATATCCTTCATAATAATCAAACTTTTTTCCGGACATATTGTTATCGGTAAAGAAGTATAATAGTGTTGAAAAGCTTCTATGAGATCCATGTAATTAAAATTTCTTCGAAAGTCTGGTGGTAAACTGATAGAACGTTCAGATTTCAATGATGAAGTACTTCTTCTTATATGACTAACTGATAAAGACTGTGATGACAAATTTAAACGATTGTGCAATTGAAATGATTCCATCAAATTATTTTGATCCATTTTCTACTTTGTGAAGGGAACTCTTTCCCAGTTATTTCAATGCCAATAATCATTCACAATGTTATACAAACACTGTGCATCAGTAATTTGATGGATCATTCATTGATAATTTGAAACATACACAAATAATCGATTTTGGACTGTACATGTATTCACAATACATCAGCAAGAATAAGGTAGTCTCATATACACATACATGTTACATCAAAATACTGTAAATTGTTTTCTGATTATTCGACTCAAAACGGAAAACTCAGTGACGCGTTTTTCAGGTGAAGACAGGTCGACAAGTAAGACAAGGTTGCCGCCTACTAACACCGATCATCTTCCTGATTGTGGTCGACTCGACTCGACTTAACTCGACTCGATTCCACTCAACTGGATCATAAAACATACAACTGTGAGGAGCTGTGAGGAGATGGCCATACGATGTTTGACCGATGAAAAGACATCAGAATGTTTGGATTTCGCCAATGATGATTTATGTCTAATGTCTTGTCACAGAAAGTAGAAGATCAACAGGCGAAAACTAATAAGTTGGTAGGGGAGGTGAGGCAGGGCAGCCAAGGAAGATGGGACTTCCTTCAGGTGAGGGTACAGAATACAGAGGTGAAGAATATACCCAACCAACAATATCAACAACAACGACAAGCACCAATCACCCTTAGAGGTAGAAGTCTAGAGGAAGTTGTTGCGTTCACCTGCCTACCTACTTACCTACCTACCTACCTACCTGCCTACCTACCTACCTACCTACCTACCACCCAACACCTGCCTAACTACCTACCTACCTACCTACCTGCCTACCTACACACCTACCACCTACCTACACACCTACCTAACTACCTACACACCTACCTACCTACCCACACACACACACACACACAAATACCTACCTACCCACCCACACAAACCCCTACCTACCTACCTATACAGAATCGTTTCAACTACAGGCGGCACAGGCACAGATGAGTATGTCGACGCCAGGATCGGAAAGACAGCAGGATAGGCCTTCGTTAATCTGAAATCTGTATGAAGATCTACTGCACTGCACCCAGCATAAAGCGTGAACAAGATCCAGATCCTTAACACTAATCCTTGTCGAGTCAGTGTTTCTATGTGATTGTTGAGTGACTTGACGCGTTAGGAAGTGCATTTCCAACAAACTGCAAACATACATGAACAGCTGCCGTCTTCGCTCATTCCATACTGAAGATCAGATCACATGGTCAAAATAGTAAGAATAAGCAACAACAAACTCACTGTGGCTGGCAACGAACTAACCAACCAAGAACCTATCACCCAACAAATATGCAGAAGAGAAAAGTGGAGATGGATTGGATTGCGAAGACCGTTTAGGGATATCATGCATCAGGCCAGTCCAGGTCGTCGAGTGGAACGTAAGTAGTGAACGACGAGTTGGTCGTTGGAGGCTTTGGTGACATGGGGGGGGATGGTGTGAGGAAGAAATGAAAGATTGTGGGCAGTCTTGTTGCCATGTTAGGAAGACTTCAGAGAAAGGAGTGAAATTGTGACGTGGTACTGAATCCCTATGTTCCACTGGGAACCCAAGGTACGAATAATAATAACAATACTTTTATTCCATGTCTATTTCTATCCTTCTTAACCATTGACGAGCATGCCTGCTTTATTGCAGTGAATTGAAGTTTGAGTAAAACTGCTTTTTTTGATAAGTTACTAATGAAATATGATGGATGCATTATATACTTCTCTCATTGATGTTTTTGCTCTCTTGAGGAACAATTTACTCAGATTTAACACAAAACAACACATGACTCATAGAAATGTTCTAACACTATTCTTACCCTCTATTATTCATTGTTCGAGGTGAAAATGAAGCTACATTCATTTAGGCTGTTCACTGTTTTTATGTGTCATACTATCTAATATTACTAACAATGTATCTGTTCATTGCATCCATATGCATTATTTTTACTTTCACTTAACATGTATTCATTCAATTGATTGACTTTCCTCAAGGTTTCAGTAGCCAATTTTTTGTGACACCATCCAATATCTTCTAGCCGCTGTTTTAATATGGAATCATCTGTTTATTCACAACTACCTGACTTCCGAACTAATTTCCCTTTAACATTAGATTATTAAAAGCATGAACGGTTTTACTTCTTTAATGTAGGAAACTTTATTAGAGTGGTTTCTAATATGATTCTGGAGCTATTTTCATGCAGAATTAGGGTTTGGCTGATGTTTTGTATGCAACTTCGGTTTTGGTTCCCTGTTGGGTCCTGTGATTAACATAGCGAAGGAAACGCCCAAAGCTGGTACTAATTAGTATAATTCCTCGAGTTATTTGCGAGCTGATTCTTTATCGCTGACGTCATACTAGATACCTCAGGGAGAGGACAGAGTTGGGCTGTTAGTGTCCACATTATACAGGTTTATTGTATGCGGCAAGATATATAGGAAGCGTACACACCTTAAAGCTTAGACGAGCTAAACAGAATAACGAGGAATAAAAACAAGACCAACACCTGAAGGACATACATAATTGATTGGTTGTTGCTCTCGTTCTTTCTGGCTATGGAAATAGTATCCCTTCCCTTCTGAGTTATGCGTCTGTTGAGTCATATTATACATGACTTGGGTTAGTCTATATTCTGTTGATTGGTTTTTCCAACCTTGTGGATTTCCCCAAGTTGGGGATATATTTAGCTATAACTGACTGGACGGAGACGTCAAGGTGCCCAGATATCAGTAAGAAGTTGACTAACTTGCCTGTTATTTTTTTCAGCTTGTCTAAACTTAGGACTTTGGTGATTAACATGTATGAACAGAGTGTAGTTCCTCACACCAACTTAACAGATTACGCTACCTTTAACTTCTTTTATCTCTCCGGTCTTCCAATATAAATCACCATCTTTTAAAGATTTGATGTAAATTGAACCATGTGGTTTAACTGATACAGGCTTAACCTCGTGTTTCTGTTTAAATTGAGATTTCATACTTATGCTCCAGCTTCCTTTGTTCTCCTTGGAAAACACGGTGTCTAGGACAAGTTTGAGTTTATGGCCTAGAATTCCTTCGGTAGATGATCTAATATTCAGCAATGAGGGGTTTGATTTTAATCTGTATGACAACAAGAATTTTTGGGGTATTTCTTTGATGTTCACCATACCCTTTTATTTTAAGAAAAACCTCTTTGGGACATGTCCACATAGCGTTCACTTTGACCATTAGGTTGCGTATGAGCTGGTGTTACACAAATAACGCGACAAATGAGAGTAAACTGGTTGAAGATAAATAAACTGTAGCGAATACTAACGCTGCCTTCTTCTCGATGAATTGAGTCGTCTTGAAAAAAGTAAATGCAGCTACTCTTTAGATTGAAAAACCTAACATAAACATACAAGGAATTCTATCAAGTCGACTTGTTCTACACTTGTTATTAGACTAGTGTAGATCTTATTTCTCCAATCATTTTACATTTCTACAAACATTAGTTTGTATGAAGAAAACTGTTTTGCCGAGATAAAATTCAGTCACTCACAAAAAAACATCTCAGAGTTATTCACTGAGTGATAAATCACCCGCTTTCACAAACACACTTGAATGATAAGTAGTGATAACAAATCTATCAATTTTGGAGCACACACACACACACAGTTACACATTGTTTAACATCGTAAGATATGGATTTCGATTTCAATTGTCATACGTTGAAAGAAACATTAACGCTGCTATCATTAGTAAACGAATTATACTGTCTACACGTTTTGGCTCAGTGAAACTGAAATTTAATTTTCCTTCAGTGGTGTGATTCAAGGTCACTCTTCTGTAAAACACACACGTCATCTTGTTTTCAAAGCGAATCATATTTATAAAACAAACAAATGAGTAGTGAAGCGTAAAAGGATGCTCAACACATTCCTGAAGAAAAATTCTTGTTATTGTTTATATTTTGACGCTATGAGGTCATACACATTCTCTGAAAATAAGGAGAAAATAATTGTTACAACTGGTTGAATGACCATAATCTATGCAAGTGGCGTGTGCTTCAACGAGAAATAAATGCGTTTGTAATTGATATTGAGTTTCGAAACGATGTAGACAGATAAATTACAAAATAAGTAAAAGAACTTCTTACCTTTTCTTTTTAGTAAAGTAGCTGATGACTGTAATACGATAGACGATATAATATATTCCTATTTTCACCTACCAGGGATTAGGAAAGGATGAGAAATACATTAATCTAGTTTGTCAATAGTATAGAACCTTCATTAGATGTTGTAGCGAAAGCTATTTAACAGAATGTATATAAGTAGTATGAAGTGCCACATTGGAGAGATCAGACAGGATAACAATGGTGCGGTTAGAATTTAAGAGGCATGCAGCTATGATGCCATGTAGAAAAATTAAAGACAAGAACCCTGGTGGGTCAGTGACAGAAGAAATCTTTGCATGGATACAAAAGGGCTTTTTTTGGCTGTGGTCAACTAACGCCGTCAGGGGCGTCACAGCGACATCTAACTGCCTATTAAGGGTCAAGTGTACTGCGCTGCAGTTCTCTCTGTTCTACTGTATGACTGTGAAACATGGCCCTTAAAGGTAGAAGACACGGGAAAGTGGTTGGTGTTTGACCAACTCTACCTTCGTAGCATGGGCTGTATGCCATGGTGTCACCACGCTAGTAATGCAGAAGTCAGGTGTAGAGTTTTAAGGAGGAAAAGGAAGTCGGTTGACGAAGTTGTGAAACTTCATCTACTAATGGAGGTCGGACATATGTTACGCATGTGTAGTCATCTGTATCGTGCACAATGTTAGCTGAAGTTGGTTTAAGGTGAAAAGGGTTCGAGTTGGTCAGAAATAAACAAGACATCAGTTATTGAAATCGTTGTCTGTCTCTAAAAGCCATATAGAGAGATTCATACTAGCCAGTTGGGGGCAACGTGACAGCAGAAACCAATGGCTGTAGACTGTCGGTGATATGGGTCAGTGGCACAGATGTAATCACATTTTAT